AACTCTGAGTTTTTTCAGAAAGAGAGTTTTGTTTTCACCCTTTTTGTTTGGGCTGATTGAACTCTGGTGCAGACCTAAAAACAGCACAGAGATCACTTGAAAACTGGAGTCTCTGTCCACTTCCAAGTGGTGCGGTTATTTTGTGATGTTAAAGCAAACGAACAAACCACAGGATCTTATGACAGCATATGTGTGTGTTTAGCATTATTTTTCATTTATTATAAGCTAAACTATTAATAAAGCCATCTGCTGATCGTGAAATCTGTTCAGGATGAGAACTTCTAATTGATCTATGTATAAAACATGTATATATTTATGCAAATCATTTGGTAACCATATAAGCATTTCCCTGATTAATATGTCAAAAGCTATCCCACAGTGAAAAGCCCCGAATCATTCCTGTACAAGACAGCTCCTCTTCGTCCTGTCGCAGCCTAATTATTTGTAACATGCTGTTGATTTGCAGTCTAATAATGTTTATAATCCGATATTTCTTTGTGACACCAAAGAGTATAAATGAATAGGCTAAATATACACGTCAGAAGCATTAAAGTGCTGCATAAACTTTCCCTGTAAAAGTCTCTGGAATTTGATTTCCTCATGTGGGTACTAACAATTAGGGTGACATCATCCAGACAGACTGCATCATCAGGACCCACGCCAAAACGTCAACGAGTTACCTGTCAGTCTGTGTAACTTCATGTCTACTCCTCCTGGTTCGTGTGTAAAAAGTCAGTGTGAACATGAACCAGAGCAAAACTAAAGTGTAACAATGGATTATTTTTTCCCTGCTCTGGACAATATAAGTGTGGAAAAAAGTGCACAGTGTGAGGTCTCACTAGAAGTACCTGCTCCCTCCGCAATAAGCCTGCATCTGCTTTTAGCTGGTGACTTAATTTCACATGGTCCTTATTCCTGAAGGCAAGCCTCTTACATTTGAAACAATCCTTGACAACCTTAGTAATGTAGGGATTTATTGTCTTTTGAGGTATCACTGCATTCACCCAGAAGTTAATTTTAACTGTAATGATTTCAGTGGATTCGTTCAGATCAGACTCATGGAAGGAGTCCCAGTCTGCACTCACCCTTCAGAGTTTCACTACGGTCAGTGCACATCATTTAAATAGTTTTAAGAAGAGGCTGGCTCCTCTTAGGGCTGAGGAAGTTGATGGCCATGAGCTGAACAGTGTTGGTGTTAGTTTGTAGCTGTACTTGCGTTCTGGATATTTCCATAGTTTGTCAAGACGTTTGCTGTCACATTAAACATACTGGTGAAACCCAGGTAAAAAAATATACTTTAAATCAGATGATGACGTAGCCTGATATGCCATCGCAGATCTGATTGTCAGCCATAAATCAAAAAAATTACATGATGCCAAATGTTGGAAAGGTTTCACCCAGTCAAGAATTCCAACAGTTAAATATGAAAAAGCACGTCTATACTGTTCAGTTCAGTGCTCGCTGACTTGCATAAGAGAGAGAGACTCTGATCTGAGTGGGGCTTTTATACATGGCGAAAGGAACAGCCGTTACCGTAACTGAATGAGCGAAATAGACGCAGACACCCTACAAGTTTTGTTACCTTACTCTGGATTCAGTTGTTTAGATGATCCTGTAGCTGCATTCAGCCCGACATCACAAATCTGACTGTCCCTGAATCGCATAGCCAGGCTTGTTGGAGACTTGAAGTTAAGTATATAGGGTATATTAGGGGTAAAATTAATGCATTGGTTATAATGGCTCAGGCACAAATTCAGTAGTTTCAGAATGGAGCCCCATAACAGCAACATACCCAATGAACTTATTGTAAAACAAAGTAAAATAATACTGATAGGAAAATCTTGACAGATTGTGACAGACAGTTGCCAGCACTTTCCCACATATGGTCCCACTATCAGCCCTTTGGCCAGTGATAGAGACGCACATTGTGCAAAATTACAAGCTGCTTTACAGAAGGATAATTAAAGTCACATTTACCCTTAGCTGGAAAATAAAAACACAATGGAGATAAGTAGGTCGGCACAGTTGTGAAAATAGCACACAGCGTTCCAACAATTTGAAATCACTTCATGTTTCTTAAAAAAATTTATTTTCTTTAATGTTGTCGTGTTTGGTGTGTGCCAGGCATGTGGTGTGAGCATATCAAAATCCCTGCTAACCCTTAGTCTTTTTTTTCTCCATCTGTTATGATGTCATGCCACATCACTATCTCTCCTGGTATTTCAGATCCTGCCACCCCTCCTTATTAAGTGCCATGTGCTCCAGCATGCTTTAGATCTTAGATCTCGTATGTGTCTCTAGATACAAGACTGACCTCCGAGAGCACCCGACAGGCCTCATTCCTCATGAGTCGAATAAATGCTTCCTTCACGTGCCTAGACGTATTTGTAAATAAGCGTGCGAACCAGCAGACTGTGTCTGGCAACGTGTATTCATAGTATGTTCCCTTAGTTGGACGTCCTGAGATGGTTCAGATAAGTAACTGCTACCTACACTGAGAATGCTTTATGGTGCACTCTTTCTTTTGTCTGGAAAATAGGAGGTAAGAGGTAAAATTACATGTGTGGTGAAAACTACACCCTCCTGTGAACAAAGGATATGCTCCCACTAGCTCATGAGCAATACTGTACCTGTTAGTGTGTGTGAAGGTATAGCCTATTATGGATGTCTATTCGTGTCTACAGAACATTTCAGATGGAGCTGACAAATGAGTGTGTAGAACAGCTGCATGCATCTTTGACCATTTCACACACAGGTGAGCCGCATCACATGATGTGACACGGTGATCAGTGCATGGTGAAGTTATCGTTCCCAACAAACTCCTCCATTTGCCCATTTCACTTTGATAAAAATAGAAAATGAAACAATGGGCCAAATTTAATTTTGATATCTCATGTGTCCGATCTGTGTGACCAGGAGGTTACTGACTTCTTTGTGTGTTGTACTTGATGGCCTCACTTACAGCAGACAGGCCGACACTTCGCTTCTGGTTTTAATGTGATGTAAATGAGACTGAACATCAATAGGGGTTTTTCTTATGTCATGTTAAAAGTCTTGATGTAGCCATGGATTTAGTGAGTTAGACTGCAGCAACATGAGCCCGTTATATATTTGTTTGCCGGATTAAGTAATAACAGTTCTGTTTTGCTGTGTACCACTGGACCTACTGAATGCTGAAGAAGTCTTAAAACCCAGAGGACTCTCTGGAAAGTTCTGCAGCCTTCCCATTCCTGTCCCAGTGCACTCATACAGTACGTTACACTTGGCCAATCCCAGTCTCCACCCTAAAACCTAAGCCCTGAATCCACACAGACTTAGGCTAGTTGACGTCACCTGGTAAGTGCTTAAGTGTGAGAGGCTACAAGGCTCCAAAATGGTATAATGGGCACATATTGTGTCATCATACATGTTACAGTAAGTAGGCTACAATTGTGGGTTTGGGACAGATTTTACTATGGAATGCCTGCTCTGAACATATTCCAGCTCCTGCCTTACAGAACGGATGAGAGGTTGTTTTAAATAGCCTAATCAATGTATGCCTACTTCTTTACACAAGATGTATGCTACATGTGAACTTCTTCCATGTTTGTTTAACTTATCATCGCCTCCAGGCTTCCCCTGGTAATCCCGTGTTTAACGTCATAACGCAATGAACTGTGAGTAATTCCCTCAGGCACATTTCTGGAGAGATGCCTTAGCCAACTTAGGGAAAGTGCGCATTCTGGGCTCAAAATCAAGTCTGGGAGCGCGCCTCACAGTCCGTGATTGTGTGATTCAGCCGCTTTGTGCAGCAAATTGAGCCTCATTTTTTGTTTTTGTCTTTTAACTAAACACTAACTAAAAAACACCACTTGTGTTGAAGCTCATATTCATCAGGCTTCATTAAATAAAGAAGGATACCGCCATCGCCAAATGGATGCTGCGTGTGTATTTGACATTCACATTTATTCATTTAGCTGACACCTTTATCCAAAGGCAACTTACAATTGCTATATATGTCAGAGGTCGCACAGCTCTGGAGCAAGAAGGGGTTAAATGTCACAGTGGGGGGTTGAATCCAGCCATTGCCACACCTTGTATCAAGTGCAAGCAGCTTCCTGGTAACACAAACTGAACACATGAAATGACCATAGGGAAATGACACATAACCTACCACATTCAGCCTCGGCTGATTTTGACATGGCATAAAATCTAAAGTGTGTTAGAATCATGAATGAATAACTTTTATTTTTCTAGATTGTCTATTGAATATTATAGGCCTACATACACAGATTGTTTGGCTATTTCATTTCTTAGGCATAGCTACCTTTTGTGTGTGTGTGTGTGTTCCAATTCATTTTGCTCATCATCATCTTACATTCTGTATCTGCGGCACACCGTGCAGGCTCTCTGTCGGTGTGTGCGTGTGTGTGTGTGTGTGTGTGTGTGTGACACCAACTACTGGCATTGGCTGCAATTTGTTTCCATAACAACAACCGCAGGTAAACATCTAACAAGTTGTCCCCAAACTTAAGATGAAAAATAAACATTTGTTATGTGAACAAATCTTTATCATTATAAAACAAGCGCATTAATCGCTAGCACATAGTTCTTTAGACCCGACAACCAAGTTCAGAGCAGTGACACTCTTCAGTGGGCTATTGTGTTTTCAGTTTTGGGCGAAGAGCTAACGTTACTGATTTGCCTGTATTTCTATATTTTCTATTGCAGAACGCAGCTCAAACACGTGGGTGATAAATGATGTGGAGCTGTGTGCTACGTTTTTCTCGTTTGAATGACAGCCTGGACCCGTCGGACTTCATACCAGCAGCCTGACACAAGTCTCAACTGGCGCAGCAAGTAGCTTACAAGTTCTCTCATTTTACTCTGTCGGCACCCAGCGGAGAAAATATCTTCAGAAAGCAGCCACTGTTTTCACACATCCTCCACCTATCAACGGATCAATGCTCTACCGTTCGCCCGCAGGCCGGAAATCTACACACTCATCATTGTGCACATACCTGATTATTCTCTTTCTTAGTTCCAGCTTTTCCAACTCCTCCTTCCATCTCTTTCTCCAGCTCCTTAATCCTGCGCTACAGCAGCAGCTCTGTAGTCTGACCGGAGAGACCCGGCTCAGCTGTGCATCCTGCAGCCCCGCCCACAACCTCCACACCGCCCAGACCACAAACCCAGCAGGCGGTCCTCCTATAGTAGGCTAAGTATAGTAATTGAAAGTATCCACCTGGAAAAATCCCAACCCCTCCCTTCAGGCCTCCATCCAAAGCCACTCCTCCAAAACACATGTTGAGTGTGCGAGTGCAGGCAGGTGGCAGGTAGACAGGCAAGTCGGCAGGACTCATATTTTTGTATCAGAGCAATTGTTTTATTGATTGCTGTCAAGATGTTAAGAGAAATTCAACCAATACAGTAGAACAAAAAATGCTTCTGAAATAAATTGCATACATCAGTTTCAGGTACAAGTTCCAATACCATAATGTAAGAATACTTTATTACAAATAAAACTCATGTACAGCAGTATGCTCCAAACTTTTTCCACAGACCAACACATTATTATACAGGCCTACCACACGATTAGACTCTTAATAGGGCCTACATCAATGTGTAAGCATCATATTATTGTTGCACTGGAAGAGTTAACCTGCCTGTGCGGGAGGAAGGAGGAGCTCCGGGATGGTTTAAATATTTAAAAGCTTATCATAGGTGTTTTCAAGTGGAATCATAAAAGTAACCACTAACTAGCTGTAAAATACATGGAATGTACAATACTTACCTCTAAAATGTAGTGGAGTCAAAGCAGCATTAAATGGAAGAACAAGCAAGCAAGTGGTTATTGGTATTGTGGTTGGCCAGCGCCCAGTCAAAAGTCATGATATCCCAAACGTCTTTTGCTCCTGATCCCTTTTCAGGGACAGATGTGGGGATACTGAGGATACTGACTGCTAGTGTACTTACATAGTAGGCTATACAACATAGAGTGTAGTGTTAACGGAAAACAAATGTTGTCAGTGTTCAGGTACACAAGTTGATCCTGCATTAGTGTTTACTGTTAAAAAATAACAAACAGTGAAGTGGGCTCAGCAGCCTCTCAGTGATCATGAACCAGACCTTAACACAGCCTCCGAGACCGACAGAGGAATACGGTTCCAAAGTCATGGTTTTGGGATTTCAGGTCTTTTGGGGGTTTTTGGTTCAATGTGTTGTGTTTTTACTGTTCTGTCTTGTTTATTCTTGTGATGAATTTATGTTTGGTTTATTTATGTTTTCACCATCCCTGCTCATCCCCTGTCATGTCCTAGTTGATGTCTTAGTGTGTTGTCCTGGTTCTGTGTTTTAGTTCTGTGTCTCAGTTCTTAGATCTAGTTAGCAGTTAGGTGTTTTACATGTATTATGTTTCTTTAATCCTGGTAAGGTTGTCATTTGTCTATGTGTGCCCTGTCTGTGTCTTGCCTTGCTTCCTATTTTATTCTGAAGTTGTCTGCATTTGCTGTCTGTGTATTGCTTCCTGTTCTGATCTGTTTTTTACCTTGATGTAAACCACCTGTTTTATGTTCCCGCCCCGCTCGTTTGCCTTAGTATTTAATGCCTGTGTTCAGTTTGGTCTCTGTTGGAATATTGTAACTGATATGTCTGTGAAGGTTCTCATTCATCCAGGTCAAACCTGAATTCTGTTGTATTATCAGCCACAAAGTGGTAGGCCAAATAAAATCACAGAGCGGGCTCAGTGCATGCTGAGGCGCTCAGTCCGCAGCAGTCGCCAGCTTTCTGCAGAGTCAGCAGCTACAGACCTCCAAACGTCGTGTGGCCTTCAGATTAGCTCAGTGCGTAGAGAGCTTCATGGAATGGGTTTCCATGGCCGAGCAGCCTTACATCATCAAGTGCAATGCACAGCGTTGGATGCAGTGGTGTAAAGCACGACGCGACTGGACACTAGAGCAGTGGAGACGTGTTCTCTGGAGTGACGAATCACGCTTCTCTCTCTGGCAATCCGATGGACAAGTCTGGGTTTGGCGCTTGCCAGGAGAAGGGTACTTGCCTGACTGCATTGTGCCAAGTGTGTAAAGTTTGGTGGAGGGGGGGTTATGGTGTTGGGGTGTTTTTCAGGGCTTGGCCCCTTAGTTCCAGTGAAAGGAACTGTTAATGCTTCAGCATACCAAGACATTTTGGACAATTTCATGCTCCCAACTTTGTGGAAACAGTTTGGGGATGTCCCCTTCCTGTTCCAACATGACTGGGTACCAGTGCACAAAGCAAGGCCCATAAAGACATGGACGAGTGAGTCTTGTACGGAGAACTTGACTGGCCTGCACAGAGTCCTGACCTCAGCCTGACAGAACACCTTTGGGATGAATTAGAGTGGAGACTGCGAGCCAGGCCTTCTCGTCCAACATCTGTGCCTGACCTCACAAATGCGCTTCTAGAAGAGTGGTCAAAAATTCCCATGAACACAATGAACCACTAACCTTGTGATCAGAGGACGATCCAGTTTAGCTGCTGAGCCATGCTGCCCCACTATTTCTGTTCATTTTTAATGTTTTAAACTTATATTCTGGCCATATCTTACACATTGTACCTTCTCCAGGATCAGCACTGTTTTTCTAGGGGCAGCCAGAGAGCTCAAAGAGAGCCTGAGTGATGTGCTTCATGAGACTGGCGGGGAGTGGCTTAGATGGGGAAGATAAAAGTAAACAGTCTGTGCATGGAACAGGCTGGTCCTCCCATGGGGATGCTGTAGTCATTTCCTTAACACAAGGAAGTCACAAATAAAACACATTCTTCCCACTGGGCAACATGCAAACACACATTCTCATAACTTCATTGTCTCTTCTGAGGTAGGGATGACACGTGATTTGATTTCTAATAATATAAACTCAAAGGTCCTTTTAATAGCTTATCAGAGCTTTCAATCTCACAATCATCATTCACCAACTGGAACTTGCTCCGTTGTTATCACATGAACTAAAAGTGGAACTTTGGTTATGTAATAACAGGTGTACATAAATGTGTGGAGATGGTAACCTCTGTCTCTGTTTAAAGATGTTCTCTGGTGTCCCGTTTGATCTTTCTCTGGCTGTCCACTGACTCCTGGATGGCCTTTGACTGCTTCCCAGTGGATGCTGCTAGCAGGTTTGGTCTGGTCTGACAGTAATTTAAATTATCACAAGACCAGCCCCGTGCTCGGCTCAGTTTCACACTCTTTGGCGACTTGCCATAAATAATTAATAATATTAATTAGACGCTTTTATCCAAAGCGACTGACAAAAGCAATTGTCCGTCTCTTGCTTAGGTACACCTTGAAAGATGTTGCAATGGGAATTGAACCCTGGTCTCCCACACCAGGGTCTGATCCACTGCCCCATCACCACGCCGTAAGATCTGGAAGAGAAACGCTGTGAGCCGAGCTGCTGCTAACGTTTTCTGAGCTTGTTTCTCTGATAACTTGAGATCCACATCCGATGACTTAAATCCTTCATCTGGTTAAACCACCAAGATCTAAAAAGTGTATCGTAACTTAACTCTTAACACTGGATAAAGAATCAATTTATGACAGACAGGCAGACAACCACAAAACTAGTGCATGCACAAGGGTGATCTGACACCAGTGACAGGGAACTAATTCCTTGATTAAAATTACAGATTTCTCTGGGTTTGAAGTGCACACCTGAACAAAATATATTATATAGGTCAAGTTGTTTTTAGACATTTTAATATGGAAAAGTTACATGTTAAATCATTAACTGACTTGGACATAGCAGCCTTCCTCTGGTCATTAAAGTCAGTGTTACTGTTATATTCTGTTGTATATTGATATTAAAAGGGTAATATGTAGTTTTCAGTGGCCTCTAGCTGTGCAGTTTTAAGATTGCAACCAGATGTGTGCTCTTCAGAGTGGAAAGTAGCAAATTACAGTTACTCACACTACTGTAATTGAGTAGTTTTTTGTGTACTTGTATTTTACTTAAGTATGTTTTGTTTAAAGTATTGTATTTTGCTGCATTTTGAATCACATCCATTACTAAGTAAGTGTTGTGTGCGTGCCTCAAAGAGAGGACTGATGTGACTCTTGCTGCAAAGAAACATTCATAGCTGCAAGCATGTAGGCCTAGGCCTGAATGTGAAAATCAGGCATTGGTTATTCTTATTCTTATTCTTATTATTGTTAGCGCGCTGGTCCTACTAGCAACACAACCCATAGTAGGTCTAGAGCATAAAAGGCAAGGGAGAGGTCGCAGAACGGCCCGGTGTGCTGCAGACGGTCGGCGATGGTTCCCTCTGGCTGGATGAAGCCCAATGCTCCTGATTTTACACATTATCCATGAGGATACAGAAAAATAGCATATTGTTAATATTTTAGCATGCCCCTAAAATTTCACACATCATGTTTTCAGGGGTGCTCATGTCTTATTAGGAGGACCCAAGCTCCCCCTAGCTCTCCCTGGCTCCACCCGGCTCCCCCCTAGTTTGCACCGCTTGTACCATTGCATTGGAAGTTAAAAAGACAACTCTGGCGAATTGTATCACTACAATGAGCAAATGAGGCACACCTCTTCATATTAGATTTGAGTGCTTCAGCTATTATCTACATCTATATTTATATAAATTCTGATTTTTCCATCTAACATTATAGTAATTTATTGATAGTCCCTAAGTTATCTCCCTGTGGTTAAGAGTGAGCCCTCGGAGGTGCGCTGTCTGCACCGGTACTGCCAAAACTAGGTGAAAAGGAGAAGAGGCTTCTGGATCCTGAGTGAATCTCTGTCGAATATCTAACTTAAAACTTCACCACGGATATAAACACAGGACGGACCAAGAAGCCCACATTATAAGACTCATATAAATTATCTAAACTTTCCTGAATTAAACTCCGCAGATTAAATCTTTTTTATTTGTACTCAATGATGTGTTTTTAAATATGGAACATTGCACAATTGGCCAATTAGTAGCCTTCCTCTATGAATAAGACAAGACGCTGTGAATGAATCTTTGATTTGACAAGTGAGTATCCTACAGCGACATCTAGTGGTGACTGTTGTCAAAGCAACTTAATTAGTCCTTCAGTACAGGTTAGATCAATATTGCATGTTTTAATGTAAGAGTTAAGTGTCCAAACTTGGATGTCCTTCCAAAACGTAGCCTACCAAAACAAAAAAAAGGGTAAAGAATAGAATAAAGAATCCAACTTCAGTAGGCTTACTGGTCATTCTGACCTTCATCAGGGGTTGAGGGGTCAAACAGGGAGCATCACATGATCACAGATCCACACTAGAATGGATCTTATAAATGACACAAGGTAGCCTAATAGCTGTGTGTGTGGGGATTATTTTCAGAAGGAAGTCTTCTCTGAATAAGCCAATATTGTGAGTTTGTACAAACTAAATATCACTACTTTACATACAGGCACCAAAGAGACTCACTCTTAAAAGTAATTCAGGGGGGCTGTTACCATTACCTAAATAAATGCATTGTTGCAGGGTATAGGTTCAGTGATTTATTTATTTAAACGAGTTGAATTGACGCAATAATATTGGTAAATACTACAACTTACAATTGTAGCTAATGCAAACCCCAGTGTCTTTGTTCACTGAAAAAATTCACACACTCAAGGAAGCATATATATGTTCCCCTTACTATGTGTCATATTAAGAAGACTTTTCAAATGGTTTATTTATTTACTTTTTTTATTTACCAGGGACAATGCACATTAATCAACATTGCGTTTACACTTCAGTGTAAATGAACCGGAGTTAGCTAAATAGCTCATTTTCATCCACAGTCCCTAAGCAGGTTGTAACTGTCCAATATTGTTAGTAGTGCTTCAACAAGTACTGCAAGAGAAATACAATATATTATAATACATGAGTGCAATACAAAAGTGACCAAAGTGTATAAAAACTATTTAGTGCAAATTTCATCAGTCTAGTGCCTGAACAAGTACTGCAAGAAAGGTAAAATACAAGATAAGACATAAATACATGACAAAAGTATAGTGTGTAAAAGCTTTAGATTGTGTAAAGTGCTGAAGATAGGTGGTTAGATTGAAGTCTGATTTGCCTTAAGCCATGTGTTAAGTTTAAGTGTGAATTAATTATTGCATTCTCTCAATTCAGTAGGTAAACTATTCCAGTAGGTGGGGACTCTAACCGAAAATGCTGTTGTTTTTTGACAGTTGTTGTAGCAACTGGCCTTTCTATCAAGAGTTTTTATTTTCTTGTTTACACAGGGACTCACCTGGTTACAGAGTTGTAGTGTTTGTTTGAGACCAGCTTGTGAATGGGAAAAGATCATAGCATGCATGAAGAGGTTGGCTGCCTCTGTTGATAAACATGGTCTGATGTAGCCAAATTGAATTTGATGGTGTTGGTGATTTTATTTAATTTAATTTGCTTTTTAAATGTCATCTTTGAATCCAGGATGATTCCAATGTATTTAAAATTAAACACCACTGGAATCTTTTCGCTGTCAACAACAACATCGGGTTGAGGGGACTCAGAAGCTCTCAGTGAAAAATGTGTACACACAGTTTTGTTAACATTCAAGTGCAAACATGAATTATTTAACTATTTGGAAACCATGCCATGGCTGTAATTAATTAATTAATTAATTTGTTTGCAGCTTGTTGTTTGTTTTTCACATGCATCATATAGAACAGTGTCGTCAGCATATTTTTGTATGTTGACAGATGAACAGGCTAAAGGCAGGTTGTTAATATCCAAGCTAAACAAAATTGGGCTCAGCATTGACCTTTAGGGAATGCCAACATTACAGTTTGGGTATGTAGATAAAGTATTGCCAATACGTACACTTTGCTTCCTGTTTGTTAAGTATGAGTTTATCCATTTAATTGCATCTTTGGGAAAATTAAATAAAGATAGCATTGAAAAGAGTACCTCATGGTTCACTGTGTCAAAATCCTTCTGAAATTAAAAAAGCTCCTATTTCACCACCTTCATCTATTTTTGATTTTATGTTTTCAATGAAGTAGCAGTTGGCTTTTTCAGTTGAGCGATTGGAACGGAATCCAAACTGCATTGGATACAAAGGGGAATGGTTTCTTCAGATGAGCAGTCAGCTGCTTTGCCACCTATCTTTTCTGATGGGTGGTGGGTGTCCTTGGGTATCTATGAAATCAGTAAAATACTGATTGGTCTGTAATTTCAGTTGTTCGGTCACCTGCCTTAAAAATGGGTGTTAAAAACAGTCGACTTCCAGGTGCTTGGAAAAATTCAATGCTTTATTGATAAGTTGATCAGATGGGTAAAGGAACAGGCTAGGACATCCTTACATGATTTAAAAAACGCAGCATCCAATCCAGAAGCATCCTTTGCTTTTGAGTCTCTTAAAGAGATTATGATGTTTGTAACTGTTATTTCTGTTATTCTTAAAAATTGGTTTGGCATGATTGATGTGGGTACAAGCTATGGTTCTGGGAGAGAGGCTCTGGGCAAAGTGCTCAACTGATTTTATTTTGAAGTACTTGTCACCAGGTCATGATCATAGGTTAAAATTTCATTAACCATAAATTCAGGTTCCTTTGTTCTCTGGTCATTATTTTGTCCAGTTTCCCATTTCCCCTGGTTTCATTAACACTAACACTAATAAAAAATCCAGCTGTAGCCTTCTTTGTATTCCTAACTACCTTATTTTGAAGTCATGCGAAGATACGCCTATCACTACTACTACCTGATTTAAGTGCTCTTTTCAGTGCAAAGTCTTGTTCTTTCATTTGTTGTCAGATGGTTTCATTAAGCTATGGTAAAGTGTTTTTATGTCGAGGTTTGTTTTGCCCTTTCCTGGTGAAGGAGGACATTGCTTTGTTAATGGTTGTATTGCAGCTGTTCTCTCTGTTTCTTTCATTTGTTTGCCCTAAAGGTAAATAAAGAATTAAAGAGAATATCCACCATGAGTCTACTTTAATGGCCACACTTGACCATAGCCCCCAAAGCAGATGGAATATGGATCAGGCACATCTTGGGACATGCTTGTTGAGGTTCAACAATAGATATATGAATAATTTCTTAGCCAACTGATGTCCCAAGGTGTTGTGTTTCACTGATGGTGATGTGCCCTGATTCTGTGCTATACCCCAGGTACTAATATTTTAGAAGCTATTCCCATAACTTGATGGAAGCCAGTACAAAAATAAGTACAATATTTTCTTAAGATTCAGCACAAGCAGATTGTGTATTTTTTATACAATGCCATTTCCCCCAGTGACCATTTCATTTTCTTAAGACGAAGAGTAGAGGTAGTTATGTGATTGGCTGTTCAATCAATCTCACATGATTGGCAGAAAGACAAAATTAGTGTGCTTAAACACAAAAATGTTTGCAGTGATGTTACTGTAGTCTTACAAAATGAATTCACATCAAGTTCATTGCCCATATTTCCTTAAGTTTCTCCAATAATTGATTTTAATCCAATAGACGTTTTGTTAAATTCAGTGATTACCACCTCATGGTTTGCTGTTTTGTGTGTGCTCTGAATCTGCTATATATATCTATATATAGATCTCTCTCGGGGAGGGGGGAGCATATGGGACATTGTGGAAACAACAGTCATGTCCATCCTGATCCTAAGCATCTTTGGATCATGCTTAGGATCAGGATGTGACTAAATGATCTCGCCACTTACCTTTTTTTTTTTTTATTTTCACCCGACAGACACTAGCAAAGCATCTGCCAAATAAGTAAATGTCAGACTGAGGATATAGTTGAAGGCCAAAACAGATTTTTTTTTCTAATTGTTGCCACCACATATAAGCGCACATCCTGAACATGAGCAAAATCTTTTACTCTTGAGCAGACGGTTGTCATATTTTCTGGTGCCAGCCAAATATTGAAGGGGAGAATGCTTTTTACATTTCATTATGCTGTTAACTTGTGCAGTCAATGTTCTGTTGATTTTGCCAAGACTGTTTACATTAGTGTCATGTTGCACGTGTTGGCTGTGTCAGTGCGTTTTTGGGCTGGGAATAGAACTCAATGGAGGCCATGAAATTAAACTATATAGAATACCACATAACTCAAAACAATGCACGAAAAGTTAGTTATTGTTTATTAGTTTTATTTAATAAAAAAAAAAGAGCAGCAGACAAAAAAGAAAATAAAAAAACCACGAGAAAAATCAATGGGTGCAGAGTGCCAACATAGGTACTACTGTTCAGACTGACTCAAGCAGCTTCAGACGCAAAACCAAGACAAACACACGGGCTCCAGGACACCTGACGGCACTGTGGAGCCAGCTGGAACCAGGCCTCATATTGGTCTACCAGGCCAGCCTTTTCTTCGTTCAGCAGTAATTAGCACTTCAAGATGCTAAAGTGTGGTTTTCTCAAAAGGGTGAGACTGGATTAAAGCCAGAATGAGGGAGTAGCTGGTATGTTACAAATGCACACGACGTCGGCCAGTTACAAACAGTTGCAAGTTTGCAACAGCTCACATCTACTTATGGTTAGGATCAACAGCATCTCTCAAGCACTGCGTCCCAAATCCAGACTCATTCTAAGCAGGTCTTTAGTATGTGGTGTCACACCGGACAACAAAATGAAGGTTACTCAAACCAGACAGTATTCACACTAAATACAGTTCATTTCTCCCACAAAAATGGGCTCACAACTGAACAGTACAATAGATTATGGTGATCTAGCTCCAATTTCAAATCTTAGGAAAGACATGTTGCTATCCCTTTGCTACTTTGGAAAGCTACTGCCATTTACCCTTCACACATGTATGTGAAGCCTTCTTTTGATTAGTATGTAGTATGGCTTTGGGACACCACCATCGTCAGAGTTCCTGTGACTCCCCAGTCACTGCACAGTGCAACACAAAACAGTTACCACAAGATTAAGAGTAACGTCTGAGACTGATCTCGTAGAACAGATCGATTCAGCAATATCAATTAATGACTGCTTTCTGAATATGCTAGACCTCCTTCCTATTTTGTTTTGAGTGTTGGGCCTGTGCTCCATTTATTTTTTTGGACACCACCACTTCTTATTTTAAGTCTACTTGGGGTGGGGGCAATTATTGTCCATAGCTTTAACACTGTAGCATGGGTAAACTAGGACTGTCGAGGAGAACTGTGGTCACTAAAGGTAACTGGAGCTGTCGCTGCAGAATCCACCTATATTAGCTCATTAATGCATGCAAGCACACACACACTCCTGGTGTAAGACCTTGGGAGTCAATCCAGAAGCCCTGTTTTGTTTTTTTTAAACCAATAGGTCTGAACAGGGCCTAAGGTGTTTGGTGGACAGCTTTCTTGTTACAGATGGTTTCTATTAACAAGTGGAGGAGGCAGAGTTTCTTGAGTACACAGAAATCCAAAGACCAACATACCTACAGCTTTAACAGAATCAAAAAAGGGGAGACCAGGAGCTGGGTCATGTACTGACCATACAGAGGGCCAAAGTGACTGAACAGGAATACTCTGCAGACATGCAGGCATGTCAACACGGCCGGTGCGTTGATGTTTAGATGGATCCCGCACATGCAAAGAGGACAAGAACCCAAAAGCAAAACCTGACAAGATTTGGGACACAAACACCAGGCACAAGTCGAACTCACGTTTTGCTGAGTGACTGCGGCACAATGAATCACCACGCCAATGCACTTTGACCCCAAGGAAGTGAAAACCTTTTAAATACTATTAACGGTTGAACAAGAAAATGACAAAAACAAAAATGACAGTCTTAAAAATGTTGCTGCAGGGGAGCATCAAACTATTGTACAGACTCCCAGTCAAACCGTATAATCTGTCCTCTACTACAGACAAACTAACACAGGGAGGGAGGAAGAGAGACTTCTAACGCATCCTGTACTCTGACGTCTTCGACACCTCACACAGCTGACCCTTGAAGTCGATGTCTACAGTGAAGTCCAGGTCTCTCTGCAAGCCAACAGCAACCAGTCAGACAAGATATGGAAAGCAACACACAATTACATTCTTTAAAATCACAGCACCAGGAGCATTGTTGTGAATGGTGGAGATCTGCTTACATTGTTCTTGACGTTCGGCTTCATGCTGATGGTGCCGAAGATCTCCTCCCCGGTCTTGACAGTCAGGTAGTCATCCAGGTAGAAGACTGTCTGCTTCCAGTGGGTGTAGGGAGACTCTGGGCCTGATGGGGGAGAGCAAGTGTGCATGAATGTAGTCTGCTGCTAAAAACGCAGGCTCATCCTAACTGATTTGTTTCAAATAAGCTGCATAGTTATCTCTAATGAAGGCAGAAATCTGAGCGAGTGAATTCTGATTATGTTGAGATCTGTTCATCCAAATCGACCTTAACGCTGTTGGTGAAACCAATGTGAGACTCTTTATGAACAAGCGCGGGCATTGCACTAGTACATTTAATGCACGTTTCTTTTTCTCCCCTTAACTGCCTGCAAACTGAGAAAATCCGGCAGATTACATAATCGATCTGACTCACTTCATTACATGTTTCAGGAAGGATCATGCAAGTAATGTGGAGCTCAGACACACCTTGCAAATGCTCGCTAAAATGGCAAGCCAACTGACTCCAGCCTGGTGCAGCCGTTTGAGAGAATGACACTGTCTGCGTTTGATTAACTAGTGCACACTCTCCGCTCACTCAACCCATTCTGCCCGGTATAGTGAGAGAAATAGACGTTATCTGGAATTCCTTTCAAAGACACGGCGCATATTTTACAAGCACAAATCAGGTAAAAAACACTGAACACGCCCGTAAGTGCTGATGTCATTCAGTACCACAGTGGTTCCAACAGACTGCTGTGGTGAGTTGTGTTTTTTGGCGACTTTCTAAGGGAGACAGGAACAGAAAAGAGGTGGCACACACACTGAGTGACAGGTGTGTGGGGAAAGCAAGGTGAGCAGATTAAAGCAGTTTGTGTGTGAACCCTGAAATGAGAATTAAAATGGTAAATAAGGGTAATGTGTTCTTTTGAATACAGAAAAGCAGACTGACTGGTGGAGAAGCCGGTCCTCTTGTGACAGCGAGTGAACTCGATGTTGAAGTAGGTGACTAGAGCGTGGATGTAGTCGTTCCTCTTCACCTGAAGGCAGAACGGCGAGGTGAAGGTCAGGTCATCCGCCTTCACTGTGTAGATGTCCACCTCCTAAACACACAGCCACAAGACGGGGGTCAGACCAAATATGTTCAATTTCTGACACTCTCTCTCCCCCTCCCAGAAACCTCTGCAGCCAAGGACAGACATGCCTCTGCCCCAGGATCATTCCAGCAGCACAACATCAAAGCGGTTACTCATCCACCCACCTTGATGAGACAGGCGCTGCTGACCAGCTGCTTGGGGTCCACCACATCAACTAGTGGTTCCTTAATCGCCACCTCCTTGATGCATGACATATCAAAACCATACACGTTCTCCCACCCTGACACAAAGGCACAAACACAGAGCTGTCAGTTCACTGAAAACACATGGCATACAGCTGGTGGCGTCTAGTCCTGTGCCCCGAGTGCTGCTCAGATTTCCATTCCTAACATGTTAGTATTAAAACCCCAGCTCTGTTCTCCCACAGCAAAGAGTTAGACACTACTGGACTACTGCAGGACCTCCTACATACATAAAGCCTTAGGTTGGATCAGGTGGCTACTCACAGTGGATTTTGTAGTCCTTGTACTGCCTGTCTTCGATGGCTGTAACATAAAGGGTTGCCCTGTCTGGGAAAATGAGTCCATCTGGTTTCTGTCAGAGGGGAGAAAAAAAATAAATGCATATAGGTACTCAGACTCACAGGTGTGAGACAACAAATCAACAAGCCTGTACAAGCCTTTTTTTAAATTTTTTTTTATTTTAAGTATCATATCTGCACCTGTACTGCTCTTAATAGCCAATTCCTATTAAATACTGGCTTTTAATCACGTTCTAAATTTGTAACAATGCCAGTTTTCTAAGCCATCTATAACAATATTTAAATTTGCTGTCTGATGTTACCTACTTGTGTTTTTGGTGTTTAGATGCGTTCACTTTAAGATTCAGCCTCTGTTACGAATGTATTCAGTAACTACGGCCCAGTGTTTTGTTCCCGACTACAACCAGTTTTGAATGTGCTGCAGCTCTATTCACACCGCTGACACTCAAGCTCATGGTACTGTAGTATTCCATCCAGACACCATATCTAACAGACTTATCTTAGTTTTACAGTAACATTGAAACTATAAAAAAAAAAAAAAAAAAAAAAAAAAAAAAAGAAAAAAAAGGGTCATAATGATATTAATAGTATATTTAAACTATCCAGGACACTGGTGAAGGAGCATTGAGGAGCTCAAACTCTAAAATGGGAACATGGAGCAGAGAAGATACCCGAGGAAGCGGTGGCTCCCAGTTAACAAATACACATACATACCAGCCATTTGTCCCTGGCATAAATGACTGTGTTGAGCATGGACTCGTAGAAGAGGCAATAGCCCATCCACTCAGATATGATGATGTCTACTCCCTCCACAGGCAGCTCCACCTCCTCCACCTTCCCCTTGATGATAGTCACAACTGAAGACAAAAGGAGGAGGTCAGGTGGTACATCACAACATTCCCACCCGATCCTCATGTGACCCAGAAACCCTACACGTGTCACCACATAACTCAGATCCATTTACTCACCATCATCCAGCTTGTTGGCCTTGACAATTTTCACAGCGTAGTCCGAGATGCTGCTGCACTCAATCTATTAAGACAAAGAACATTAGAATTTTTACAATAGCCAAGAAGCCATTACCATTGGCCAAACCCTACCAACCAGTGATGCAGTTAATCTCGAGAACATCATGACATGGATTTGTTAGCTCAACACTTACCCCTATAACCTTCTTGGCTCCAGCTTTGGCAGCAAACATGCAGAGGATGCCCGTCCCGCTGCCCACGTCCAGCACCACCTTGTCCTTAAACAGATGCTTGTTGTGGAACATGGAATTGCGGTAGGTCAGAGTGCGAACCTCGTCTTTCAGCATCTCCTACAGTGGCAGTAAAAAGGGCCCAACAACAGCAGAAGGATGAAGATCTTGTGAATCTAACAACTTTACACGATTTGATCAGTCGAATATGAAAGCACTGCAGTGTGCTTTGTTCAAAGGAAATTACCTCGTGGATGCCAAAGTGGGCGTATGAGTCAAAGTAGTAGTCCTTTGATGTCATATCCTCAGCTGCAGGCTTGGCTGAGCTCTCCCCCTGAGACACCTCAACAAAAGACACACACAATTAGAACTTTTAGTGAGCTTGGGCTTTCAAAACACTAATGTGTCGGGTGTGAAGAATTGAATTCTCAACTCAGAAAGTGACAAAAAGGTCTTCAGCTGTACATTTCAAACACTAGTCTCTGGGTTCAAGTAGCCCCGCCCCCAGAAAGGCCAATAAACCCGGTATGGCCAACTTCGTCCGGGTCAATTTACTAGCCTGCTTTTGGGAATGGGTGCTTATCGGCCGTCTTAAAAGTCAACATTTCCCTCACGTGTGTCTTTTCAAAAGAAGAAAGGGAGAGGTGCGAGGACAGTCAGAGGACACGTGTCCCTAGAGAAGTGAGACATCCTTTGCACTGAAGCGATGTCAGTTTCTAAAGACTACAGCACAGCTGATTAGCAGGCATGTTTTGAGATTGTGTAGGTTCAAAAAAGGACTGTACCAGTGTCAAAAATCTAGTTTGACTAGCATCCGCACAGTCTTTAAAACTCTGCATTTTGTATTTATGTTGTGAAAAGATCCATCAAGCAGTTTGTTGCTTTTACTGCTCAGACAACGAAAGCTTGTGTCTGCATTTAATGATAGTGTAATTTCATTATGTAATTATCCATAATTTGATGAGGTGGTTCAAATGGCAAAATGACAGAATGAAAGGAAACCTTTGTTTAATGATAGAAGCTGTGTGATGCTTCCTTTTCAAACCAGTAGGGGTGTCATGATTTCAATTCTTTGTCATTGGAATGAGCTTTTGATTTCGATTTTTGAAATGCAGGCGAGGGAACTCAAAGCGGTTTTTGTGGCCTCCTATTAAAGAAAACAGTTGTCAGGGCATAAAACAGATGTGTAGATCTTTACAAATCAAGACTTGACCGTCCACCAAGGCCAGAGCCTTCCGTGCTGAAATCCAAGTGTGTAAAGTGAACCGTGGCTTTTAAAACGCAGAGTCAAATCAAATTATGGATTTGGAGAATTGTGACAGCCCTACTAATCAGACTTTGTTACCACAGATCCACTCATTTTAACTAATATGGTGAATTATAGAAAAATGTAATCTTGTAATAAATGCAGTGACATTCCACTGGAGTTAAATCTGGGGACCAGGTTAGGGAACCAATCAATTTCTGGGTCACTGGAGGACACATGAATGACACAAATGAGAAGCGCCCTATAATGTTTATACAACCAGGCGCAACACCATGAATGTCTTTGAGGAGCGACTGGAAGTGTGCACCATTATCACCATTAATAGTGGGTCACCAATATTGGGAAGCACCTGGACGTCCAAAGAGCCTACGCACACAACTGATGGTTTATTTTAGTAATGCAGACCCTAGGGGCCCTTCGCATACTCGTGGACGCGAGAAGTATAACTCCTGCTTCAGGGGTCAGTGGGGCGCAGCCAGACGAAGGCTATGAAGACCGCCTTTTCAGAAGCTTAAACAACTTTGGATGTGGACATTTTAGTCCAAATTAAAAAAAAGTTTTAAATCAGTGGACATGTTAACTGCGAACTACTCAATTAGTAGTTTACATTCATTCAAACTCTAAAGCACACACACGTTGGTACCAAGCTCTTCCATGGTGGGAAATTAATATATAAAATCTGAAGGTGTACTCGCCACTGACTGAATAGCAGTAAATAGTATATTCGCCAGCCACTCAATGATAAATCCTTGTGTCTGAAATCTAACAGCCACTTTCATAGCTCACCAGCATTTGGCTGGCGATGGAGCCAATTTCCCACCCTGGTCTTTACTAATAAACTAAATCCTGTGAAGATCAAAGCACACTATTCCATAAGAATAGCTTTTAATGTTGACATAGAGCAGTTACCTGCCTTAAGCAAAAAGGTTTTATTGTGGCGGGACTGCGCCTGTTTAACTGGCCGGGTGTCCAGAGAACAGAGCCAGCCTTCTCCGTGGCACAAAAGATGGAGCACATGGTACTTTGGGACCTGGGCCTTCCTCGAGGATTGCCACAACTAGCTTTACTTCGCACGGTGTCAACTAATCGTCTCAAAATTACAGTTAAGCACGTGATCGCCGGGCCTTTAAACTCGACAGAGCCATTTAACGGTTAACTTAAGCGTTAACGTTACCTACGAGCTGTTTGGCTTTTACGAGCTGTAACGTTACTTTACCAATTTGTCAGCCAACAGAAAACCATATGGTAATGTAGTCAGCAAATTTAATGTTGAGCCCGCTAAGAAATCTAGACACCGAAAGAAATGTTTTCGACTTAGTGTGGCATCAGCTTACAGCAAGCCAACAGTGGAAGAGAGCAACGCCTATGGGAGAATGAGGCAGCGTCCATGCCACAAGTAGCTAACTAACGTTAGCTCGGAAGCTAACACGTTAGTCCCCATGCGGTCCCCAAGGCTCTTCAGACACTGCCGGCCGGTCGTCGCACTAACTAAAACAACTCCTCTGCTAACACCAGTCGCTTCAACTTGCAACGGTTACCATCAGCTTGGACTACCAAATAATTACGGAATTGTTAGAGCGTTTTAATCGAATCTTAGCTCTGTTCGATATGCGATGCTAAATGAATGAGCGGCAGCGACCGATGCATCCTACAAGCAACCTTAGCCAAGTTAAAATGGATGCATCACTAACGTTACCTGCTGCGTATGTAACGTTAATGACAAAACCCCAAATGTTAAGCAACATTTTACAACATCTTTCTTTGAATAATTAATATGTTCGTGTATAATTCACAAAGATAACTGAGGAGTGTATTGTATTTCATATATGAGAGACCTTACCTCCATCCTCTCTGTTGGTGCCGCCATTTCGAACTCCTGCCTGGCTGCGTGAGCTCGAAAGACTCTTTCTTAGTCCCGCCCACGAGACACAGCTTTTATTTACGATTGGCCCAGAAAATAGACCCCACCTAAATTTTCATGCTGCGTTCCATTATTTTTGGAAAGTCGGAATACTTAGCTTCGAACTATAAAAAAGAAGCCTTTTGGTGCGATCATGGCCGCCCGGTTGCAATCAGGTTGCAATACGCCATTTAAAGAAAAAAGATTTGTTCTTAACAGTACAAAATAAAATAATACACACATTAAAGATAAAACCTTAATAAAAATAAATGCCACTTCATCAAATAGAGTGTATAATAAAAACAGGTCAAATAAAAGTGAGGGATGGAAACTTGATGTCGGAGAGATATTAATAAACTGACAATAACCCAAAACAACTTTTATCATGGTATTTCACATTCAAAGGGACTGACAGTGCAACTTTAAATGCTGATGCATTCAGGTGACTACAGAATATGTTCGGTCCCAAATCCATACTGCATACTAATTATATATAGTGTAAACTACAAAGTAATCTTAGCCATGTGTCAAACGTTCCTCAGCTACACCTTATCATTTAACAAAGATGTAATAATGTTTTTATTACATATTTGTTAAATAATTTGATTGTTAAATTACTTTAACCATTCTTTTAACTACAGCTCCCATGAGCGCTGAATGTTGTGAAAACTCAATCCACATTTAGCTTATAAACTGTGCAGAAAACAGTCTGACTACGAAAACTACATAGGAAAAATAAACCTTACATTGGGCATCAATACGTCAGCAGAAAGGTCTGACATGATGTCAAATTGTTGTGCCACTTTGGTCTTTCCCCGGCCGTCCATGATCATTGACCTTTAACGCCATCCCATTTTGTCAGACACAAGAGCGTTCTTCTTCTTCTTTTTTAATGTCTTAGTTAATTGAACATTATCAGTTTTTTTAACATGAGGGACAGACATCAAATTGTACATCTGGGTCTGGAAATGAGCAAATAAAGACAAATTGTTTTCTGTACTGTACACTTGTTTTTATAGACCTTCAAAAACACGTTTTAGAGTACTGCTCAAGTAGCATGTTTGTGGTTGTGCTACATTATGATACATTGATGAATGTTTAACCAACCTTTTTATGTACTACATTGATCTATAAGGGGCAGGAAGGGGACTCGCCAGCTTATGTTGCGTACACAATGAAAACAGTGTCGCGTGTTCTGCTCTGGAAGCACAGTGTGTTTTATAAGATCAAAGGGACATGCAGCAATAGCTACATCAGCTAACGTTGGCCAACAAACGTAGCTCATATCCACAGCTTGTGGAACAGCTGGTACCTTCTTCCGCCCGCTGTCTTACTGACTCCCCGATTCCCCGGTGCTCCATCGTTTGTCGTTCAAATAGAGGATTTCATTCGGCTGCATTCGGCCCGTCGTTCGGCCGAAGGAAATGAGCGTACGCGTGCACGAGTGCGTCGCGCGGTCACGCTGTTGGTTCTTCTGTCACGAGCTTTATCCAAGCCGCGGAGTGGAGGCAGGCGAATTAGATCGGACATCAATTATACAGGACATCGTATTTACCACATTTAGTTCGTGATAAAGAGAGCAGGGCTTTACTTTCGTATCGCTGGTTGACAATTCTCAAGACTCCCTACTAAGTTATTCCGGTCAACCGGTGATGTATTCCAGTATTTGAATGATATTGCTAGCCAGCTAGCTAGCTAGCTGTTAAGCTAGCTTTACGGTGCGTGACTCGAAGTAACTTAACGTTATACTGTCGGACGTTATTTTCTTTAACACATCTGACTGCGTTAATCGCAGAGACATCTAAATAGTGGTGATTTAACCTAAGTGAATTATTACTGTACGTGTTACACGCGTCGCCTGTTATCCTAGCTAGAAAAGGATTGAATGAAATAACGTTAGCTTGCCATAGCCAGCGGAAACGAACCAGTTAACAGGGATAACGTTAACTTATCCTGCTGCTGGTTGATCCACTGCCATCCGGCTGATCTAGCAAATGCTATCAGAGCTAGCCACCCACAAGCATACAGTGAGTTTGGTAGGTAACACTCAAAAGTTGTAGCCAACGACTGGAACTGCGGAGTAGCTATCGTCAGCTAACGTTAACGTTACTACTACACGTCAAGTTGGCCATCTTCCACTCCAGTCCAGTGTGAAAAGCTGACCGACGTAAGTTCATTTTACGGATAAGGCCGGAGTGAGGACAGAAACCTGCAAAAATGCCGGCTGTGTCGAAAGGAGATGGAATGCGCGGATTAGCTGTTTTCATTTCGGACATCAGAAATTGTAAGTGACATTTCTTTCCTTCTACATGTTAATTTGTGTCATTACATACCATTTGCTTCAGTTGACATTACTCGTGTTCTACACTGTAGAGAAATGACGTGGGGGACACTAAAGCAAATCGCCTGCAGGTGTCCTTTGTTTTTGTTTTTTAATTAGCAGCTAACTACTCAGTGTAACAAATTTTACTCAGATGTTGCCTGTAACGTGACCGTTCTTATGCTTGGATGCAGAAAACGAGGCCTGTTGTTTTTCACTGTTGCTTTGGTCAAACTGACACCATAAACATCTTTATCATCACGATATTAGAAATCCAGATGTCTAAACTAATGTGGGAAACGGAGTTTCATTTCACAGCTGAAAAGCGGTGTTGATGTCATTATTTGAAGTTGACAGCATGACAGTCCACCCGGCTGAAAGTAACGTTACACACCATGATGCCTTTCACTGAGCAGAGGACACCGCTCTGTCTGCTCAACAAGACAACACAAGCAGGAGAACCTCAACCTGAGCCCTCAGACAGAATCCATTAACAAGCAGAAACCATTGGCCAATATTAAATACACAAGGCATAATGAAATAAATAATATTGCGATGTTGATTTCAAATGTATTGGCCAGATCTAGTTGCTGTAAATGGAGGTTTAGAACTATTAAATTATAAACTAAATGATTGACAGGAATATGCATGCTTAATTGAGGGACTGGTATTCAAATAATGGCCAGTGGTGTGGCCAGCTCAAACAAATAAAGGCTGGGTAAAAAAAAGACATTGAGGGGTGTGGAATCTCCTGTACATGATTTTTATTTTTTTTTATCCATTATGGAAATTAGACACAATTACGCCTGTCTCCAGTATAAGCCAAATAAAGGCCCTGGACATAATTTCCTAATTTAATAATTTTCATGACAAAGTGTATGTTTAGAATAGACTTCTGAAAAATCTTTTGAGGAAATATTGATGGATATGATGCAATATTGTCCACAATGATGTACACCCAGAGAAAAATGTACATGTCACGGTATAAATGCTATGTCTAAATCACAACTCTATTTAGTCTCACAGTATATATATTGTCATGTCACCCAAGTATACTAAACAGCAAGGACAAATCAAAGACTCTATAAGCAATCCTTAGATTTAGCTTAGCAAATCTAGGTTTTTTCCCCAGCCTGGATTAAGATCCAGAATGGAACTGGCAATTGTAACCCAACCCTACAGCTGCTTATATATGTGGAAACTATTTCTTCTGTAGCTACCAACCATTATACCTCCAACAATAAACAAGGGCTTTTGTACAACAGTGCACCCAGTAATTATTTAAGACATTAGCTAAGGTTTTTGACTCCTGTGTTGTTGAGTATTTATGGAACTGGTGCCTTCACCTTCCAAGCCTAGTTGCTTGTTGGCTATCTTACAGTATATCAAACAATTTAATTTGTTGTGAGTAGATGTTATGTAAACAGGTATGTTCTTTCTTTCTTTCCCAGTTGGAGTGAGTGAGTGTACTGAAAATAGTGTTGAATATACCTTTTTAAAGTATTGAATTGAAGTTAACCGTTTTAGTGTCGTGACATTGATACAAAATCATGTATTCTGACTCGTATGTCCTTCAGTAGTAATTTTTGGGAAGCCCTGAAAGTGCTTCTTTTTTCATTTTCAACATGGAGGCTTGCTGCTCACGCCTGATAAGTCACCCATCACTGTCAGTGTGCTCAGAACACACTTGCAAATAAAGCTACATGTCCAGGCTTTAAAACCCAGGACTAAAGTCGCTTTACTAGAAACAGGATACAAAAGTGAAACCACTTCCCAGTGGGCTGACATGTATTTGTAATTTATTCAGTTTTCTTTCTGCATTCAGCTGTTCATATAGCACTCTGTGCATCTGTGCTCTGTAGGTTTTGGCAAGCTGGTTGGATCGGAAACGGAACATTCCTGAAGTACTGGACTATATTCTTTAAATTTGCCGTTACGGTTTTTCAGATGTGCAACTGTGTAGTTTCTAATCATTTTGTGTGACTCTGCATTTTTGGATCACTATCTATCTTGCCTCAATCTGTGTAGGAGCAACCTGGAGCTATGCATGGCCCTGTCGTTCATTCACTTCAGCTTGAAGAGGTTTCCTTATTTCCTCTGCCTTTGATAAAGCTAAATAGACACCTGCAGAGGGGCAGCATGGATGCTTGTTATTCGAGCATCTTCCTCCGCAAAATAGAATTGTACCACTGAGCCTGCCTCATTGATGTAAACTCATGGGAGGAAGTTCTAGCAGAATGTGAGGAGCCTTCACCTGCTGTCTGTCTTGGCCTAAGTGACTGCCTTGCTAGATAGAGGCATGTTAGATGCAGAACTTGCTTTAGTTTTTACAACAGTTAAGTTCCCCTTGACACACAAGCTTTGAGTGAAAGAATACTACAGCTACACAGAGTGGTGCTTTTTAATATGATTCAATTATTGTAATTGAAATACATATTTAGTCATATTGATCATGGTGTTGGTGCTGCTAGGATTTGTGCATGCTGACTGTATGAAGTTTAAGTGCAAGGTAGTGTAGTGAAACAGCTGAGATGCTCCAATCCTCCATTCTGCATAGTTAAAGACAGGACATAATAACACTGATACTGTTCCAGGGTCCCACACTTAGATTTTAGCGGGTTTCTTTGCCACTAAGTCAAAAAATGAAGGCATGCTTTGTACTTCACTAACGCATCCCTTTTCAAATGTGGATTTCCGTGAACATAGAAAGAGTAGAGCTGGCTCATTCTTAGTGAGGCTGTGCAGTTAGGGTTAGGTTAGACAGCATTTTATTGTTACTCTTGGAATGAATGTTAATCAGCTCCAGTTCATAGGATCTGCTGCCAGCCATGTTTGTCATTATAATGGGCTAAAAATGAGAAGCCTGCGACCTTGTTTTATTTTGTACATTGCTATTTGCTAATAAGAGCGAAAGAGAGAGAAAAGATTTGTTAGCCTCGGAGCTTAATGAATCCAGGTATTTTGCCAACCTGGGTGTCAGAACTCAGAGTCACTTGCACTGGAGCACCTAACACATTTTTCATGTTACTGCACTCTAATTGAGTTTGAAGATGTGATGAAGTTGGGATTTTGTGGCAATGTGGAGCCATAATAAAATAAATTACATAATTATGCTTAATATTGTGCCGCTGAAGATGATCAAAAAGACTCTCACACTGATCACTTGGTGCATACTAAAATATATGAAGTCTATTTATAGCTGGTTCCATCCATTTTTAAATGCTGATGTTGTATTACTTTCTTTCCCCCATCAGGTAAGAGCAAGGAAGCCGAGATCAAACGGATCAATAAAGAGCTGGCCAACATTCGCTCCAAGTTTAAAGGGGATAAGGCTCTGGATGGCTACAGCAAGAAGAAGTATGTCTGCAAGCTGCTCTTCATCTTCCTGCTTGGCCATGACATTGACTTTGGACACATGGAGGCAGTCAACCTGCTGAGCTCCAACAAGTACACAGAGAAACAGATTGTGAGTCTTCTACTAGTTGTTTTGTGTGTTGACACCGGCCTTGATTGATGGAGTTTTGTAGGGCTGTACCCGACATAGTTAACTCTGGGTCACCAGTTCAGGCCACATATTCAACTTTCAATTTGAATTCATCAGCATAACAAACACTATACTCCTGCTCTGTTGACCCACACCAGATCTGAGGTTGATGACTGTCAGTGTTGACAGAACTAGAGATCAATGGCCAGTGTGTCATTACCTACATATTAGCCAGAATAACAAGCCCCCAAAATATCATGCTAGGTATTTGCTAGCAAACTGTTGTTTTAATACTTACAATAAAGAACCTAAGAATCTAACCCAGAATAGGTTTCAGGTCCAAACAAGAGGTGAGAAGGGTCAGAAAAGAAGTCACTGGGAGGAATCAGAGGTCCAGTTTTACTGGACTATTACAGAACTGTTTTCTGAAAAAACAAAAAACAATGGAATAGGAGTCATTCTTCCGGGATAAGAAAGGGTCAGGAATATTTTTGTGGGATGGGACAAGAGTGAAAATCCACTCCCATGTCACCCTCTAGTTCTTTGGAACATTGGTTTAACCAATGATAACCACAGACATGAAGCTACTAACTGTGCTGGGCTATCCAACGCAAGAACCTGTACCAACAGAATTGTGGCACAGACAAGTGATATAAGCGAATTTCTGGACTTCACCAATTTAGTATTTTCTCTGTGGTATGAACAGATTTTAGTGGTCCAGAGCTTTCGTACAAGTCATGTACAGATTCCACAGTAGAGAAAAACACTTGTTTGACTTAAGATGCATAGTTTAATACTCTAAATGTTAAAGCAGAACAAATACCTCAACAATTACAACTGTTTCCTGAGTCTGTATGTCTTTTTCTCAGGAAGGGGAAATGTTGAGTAAGCAGAATAATGTTGAGTCAGGATCTCTATCCAAGTGGTTTGAAAGGCGGCTGCTCTACCATCACCGACTGCAGAACTACCACACACCAGTTTCTTCAGTGTCTGTTCCTTGGAATTTATTAAGCCTTAACATAGCAACTTTAAACCAAATGTACCGATGACAGTGAGAGATTTTTAACAAATTTGACCCTGTGGTCGTAGAATTGACCCAGTTGAAACCTTTGACCAAATAATGTTCTTAACCACTTTAATTTTAAGACATGCACATGAGATAGTAAGCGGGACCGGCACTAGCAGTTGCAGAGGTTCAGTAGAATCTGCTATCTGCCACTCCACATGTTCCACAGAGCTCAGTGATAAAGAACCCATGTCTGTATCTGCTGGTTATTGCCCTCCAACGTATTGTGTAACTGTCATTATCTTAACTAGTAGAGTGCAGCTCAGGCCACATATTTCTGTCCGGACTCGACCCAAGTCCAAGATCGTAGTAACCGAGCCCGACCCAACAGGCATTCTAGGTTTTATTTTTCATGTTGAAGTACTGAGTTTGCGTTACCCTGTTGCACAATTGTTGTTACCATGGTTATAGCGTGCCTGTTTACCCTGATTACACATGTGTGGGAAGTGCACCTTGTATATTACCGTCAAGGCAGTGTTTTATATAGGCTTTAGGTACATTGTTTTAATCAACACACACGTCGTTGTCGTCTTCTTTATGAACTCAGCTGTGACTATTAACTGAACTGAGGTGGCACATGTCTTTGATGTGGGGACCTGGGTTCGATTCCCACTGGACATCCACCAATGTGTCAATGAGCAAGACACTTAACCCTTAGTTGCTCCAGAGGTGTGACCTCTCTCTGACCTCTGACATATACAGAAGTTGTAAGTTACTTTGGATAAAAGCATCAGCTAAAATGAATAAATGATTAAGCACACACACGAAGCGCCACAGAGTGCTTCACTGTCACAGTGTCTGTGAATGTTTGTGTAGTTGACACTAGGCTGGCCCGAATGTGTTTTTATATTTTGAGCTTTGACGCTTGGATAGTAATTAAGAGTGAATAATTGAATCTTGTTATAGCACGGCTAGCAGACCCAAGTGCAGGGAAAAGAAAGGGAGAAATATTTATTGTGGGGTTTGTAGGACTATATTGAGCAGGTGAAGAGCAGACAGGGTGAAAATCGATGTGTGCAGGTCTAGAGCAGAATTCGGGAATAGTTTAGCCGGGCGGGGTCCAGACGGAGAGCGCACAGGATGAGCGGTGTTTCCGGTAGCGGAACTAAATCTAACATGTTATTATGCAAAATTCACTTTTAATTTTAATTATAGCGACAAAATGCTCTTCTTCTACAATCGGCCTAATATAATTAGGCTTATTTAAATGCGTTAATTTTGTTCAGTTTGTTTCCAGCCTACAGTTTGATACTGATACTGATTTCTGAAATTTGACTGTTATGATCTGTAATGAAATTAAGCAGTTGTAAAATTAATAAACACCATAACTTCCACACTACTGCTGTCATCACTCAGTTTAAAGTGCTCCCACACAGTTCACTGCTGTCGGCGGAGGTCAGGCGCGTGGAAAAAACCCTCAATAATCGAATCTCATAATTGAAAATCGAATGTGTACCCAACGGTCGAATATTCGGGTCCAGCCCTAGTTGACACATGTGCTTACTAGGGCTGGGCAGTATATCGGTATGAGGTACACCGATATAATTTCCAAAGAGATATTAAATTGGACAGTACCATTTATACTGATATAGTTTGATGTTGAGTTAATTAATGTTTCTGTAAAGTCCTGCCAGCGTTTGCTCCTCTCTCTTCCTCACCGCGCAGCCCCGCCCCTCCCTCTGCATCTGTGTGCAGCCCCCCCTTTAGCTCACAAACTCTCATTTGATGTTGATATTGTTGAATGTGATGTGTGGATGGGCAGCAGGATCGTAAAAATGAACAGTGAATAGCGGCTGGCTGGACGAAGCATCTCCCCAGAGACGCTGTGCACATTTACTCAGGCTACTGTAATCTGTTTTGTTTTTTTTCAACAGATGCTATAATGTTTATTGCAACCTCAAGATGTTTCTACGTGTCTTAATGTTGACAGACATGTTTCTGGATTGTGAAGATCTGATCTGCAGCCTTTTTGTATTTGTAGTGCCGTCAGCTGGCCTGCTCCTCTGACAGAGATCACAGCACAAACAGTGGACAAATGATGCAGATGTGCAACAGGTCATATTTAACTGATGTCGTTTTAAAATGACAGCTCTGAGGAAAGGACATCTCATTTTGTTAAATGCCTGTTTCAACAGTTCACTTTACTTTGGTGGGCCGCCCGGGTATGTTTAGCGTCCCATTGTAGCATTTATCAAAGAAACCGAGTTATTATATTGCGACACGATGGACGGACCAGGTAAAGCGTCAGTGAACACATCAGTCAGATGTCCTTTGTTACCTACCAGGTTGTTTTTGTTTTGTCCCAGAGCGCTTTACAGAACAAAGGAAAAAATGACAAACGATAGTCGCATAAAGTATTCAATTTTTTTTTATAATTTAATGATTTAATTTGGAAATCGTGACCCATCCCTATGTCTTTAGTATGAACCCATGTTTATTTGACATTCTTAGCCATCGTTCTGATTGTAAATCTGGAGATGCATTGATTGCATTTTTCCTGGCTGATTCCGATTTTTGTCCATTCCGGTTTTCTGTCTGTCTAAAAAATATAATTTACAGCATACACAAACATTTTTGTAACTTTTCTTTATTTGAAAAAAAAAAATCTTAGGATATATTAGGATCTACATTAACAGTTGCTCTACTGACTGGGATCCAATTAATGTTCATTATAAAACACTGACTGTGAAATAACTTTAAGTTCCTCCTCACTGCAGCAAGTTACATGACCTCTCACTCGCATCTCAAAATAAAAAGTGCTCCAGATTCAGCTGCTAGATTGACGATTTAACTTTAGAATACATTACCCTATTTCTAGTAGCCTATGTTATGTCTTATCTCACCATTCTACTTATTTAGCCACCTTACTTTAGTGGTTTCTCACAAACTACAGTTTAGAGATACCTGCACCTGTCTGCTCTGTGGACTTTATTTGTCAACAGTTTTATAAAGAAAACTGGTGTTATAATTTTATTTCACCCGTGATTCTCTTTGTGTTTTTTTTCTTTTTTTTTTTGTTAATTACTGATTATGGGACTGAATGACATTGGCACCAACAGCCGTGTTCACTGTGTCTTTAACTGCTCCGTGCTTGTAAAATGTTCACCGTGTCCGCGTCTTCTAACGTAGCCTAATACAAGATAGTGTCTGTGTGTTTCTCTGCTGATGGTAAATGCGAGCATTGTGTTTTCTTAACTCACGGTGAAGAACCTCCACGCCTAGGATATGTTTTGTGTGTGTGTGTGTGTCAATTAATTTGAGAAAACTGGACACTTCAATGCTCTGCACCGGTCACCGGTTGTGGCCGATTAAGCGGAAAACAGGCCAATTCCGGTCCCCAGCCCATCGATCAGGGCATCTCTAAGTAAATCAAATGGATTTTTAATCACCCGCTGCAGAGCCCTCCGGTCCTGGCCGTGCACATCCCATGCCAGTTAGTGATGTTTCCAGTCAGGATGCTTTCTATTGCTCCTCTGTAAAAACTGACAAGAACTTGGCGTGGGAATTTGTCCTTCTTAAGCTTCCTCAAGAAATCCAGTCGTTTCTTCAGCAGCGTGGAGATGTGAGACGACCATGTCAGGTTCTCTGTGATGCTGATTCCCAGGAACCTGAAGCTGTTCGCCTGCTCCACCTCAGCTCCACTGATGTAGACAGGAGTCTTTATCTCCTTTTTCCTGAAACCAACGATCAGCTCTTTGGTTCCGCTGACATTGAGCTGATCGTCGTCGTAGGTTGTTCTTTGTGCGCCACTTTGCAAGACTTTTGATCTCTTCCCCGATATGAAGTCTCTTGTCTTGTTTGTAATCCAGACGATGATGGAGGTGTCGTCCGCATACTTAACAGCGTTATCACCATGTTGGCGGCAGCAGCGTATTTTTATTTCAATTTTGGGTTGAGCTGTGATGGGGCTAATCCATACAGTGGTGGCAGAATAAATGAAAACAGATATAGCAAAGTTTGAAGGTACTACCTGTAGGGCTGAACGATTTTGTAAAATTGCGATTTTTTTTTAATCAATATTGTGATTGCGATTTAATATGTGATTAATTTTTAAGCTCTTTACCTTCTGTATTATTCAAAATGGACAAGCAGTAAATCAGTGTATAGTATAACTAACACAATATTAGATAGATAGAACATACACTGTTCGGTCTTGTGGGTCAGGCCTGTGTGATGATGAATTAGGTAGAATTATTATGAGCAATGGTGGAGAAGATATATCAAATTATAATAATATGAGAATATCTGAGTCAAGTCATGGCATTAAATAATATGATATAATATCATCAGATTGGCCTAGCTACAGACCACAAGAAAAAATAAGTTCACCACAGTGTGTTATACAGTAAGAGCTCCAGACAAAACCCACAGTTCAACCACCAATTAATCCAGTCCATCTTTCTGTATCCCAGTAAGCAAACAAAAAATACTCAGTTTGAGGTTCAGTTCGAAAGATGGCCGACAATAAAACATAGTGACGCCTCTCATGTTTAATAGACAAGCTTAGTAATTCTCCGACAACTCCGGAGTCCCCCTCCCCGCAGCCTGCGATGCTGGTGAGCAGCGCACTGGGTAACCCGGGACAGACTGGGCCTCTTTCGGACCTGTGAGTTTGGGTTGAAACGCCGTTTCACAGATATTTCCTGAGCTGACTGGTGGCTGTGTGTGTGACGCAGGCGCCGATCGCCACTATAGCTTACCTTACTACACGTGTCTTTCTGTTGTGCAGGTGGCCCGACGATTTCACCTACCACCACCACCACATGGGTGTCATGTGACCAGAGTGTAATCGCAGCCTTTGCGATTAGTAAATCTCGTTTTATTACATCGCAATAATGTCGCAAATGCCATTAATCGTTCAGCCCTAGCTACCTGCAACCTGATCTGCACACACAACCATCACCATAGTAAAATATTCCCACCAGGATTCCAATTACAAACATTTGTGCCATCTATCGAGTTAGATAGAGAGTTGATTCAACTTTATTGCCATTGTGGAGGTTGTGGTTTCTGCTGCTGTTGTATTGTGTTATACTGTAATGTCTTTATAATAGCTTGGCCACCCCTTTTATGTTATCTAAAGTAGACTAAATATTTGAACCACCTGTCAGTAAAACAAAATAAAAGCAGTTTTGTAGGAAAAGTGCAATAAATGAGTTAAAGGTTTTTATGAAAAAATCTCTGCCTTGACAGTTATTTACTGTGTGTTGGCTCAGTTACAATACTTCATGACTCTGCAGAGTGAAAGTGATGTTTGGACACCACCTACTGGTTAATGTGGAATTAGCCTTATAATGATGTGGTATATGATGGGGCTGGGTGGGATTAGAGTGAGATAAAGTATAACAGAAACACCCCTGAGTACAAGCCAGTCCAGACTGCGTTAGTTTTAGCTAGGTGAACCTAATAAACGGGACACTGATTGTTTAGAGGTATTATCATGAACAATATTTAAATCCTACTGGTGTTCTCTCTGCACCTGTTACTCCAGGGCTACCTGTTCATCTCAGTGTTGGTAAACAGCAACAGCGAGCTGATCCGTCTGATCAACAACGCCATCAAGAACGACCTTTCCAGCCGCAACCCCACCTTCATGTGCCTGGCGCTTCACTGTATCGCGAACGTGGGAAGCCGTGAAATGGCTGAGGCCTTTGCCAGTGAGATCCCTCGGATCCTGGTTGCTGGGTGAGTGTGACTTTTGCTTTGCAAGGTTGAAAAAGTAAAAAGACTACAAATCTTCCTGATGAAGTCAATTTTTTTATCATATCACTTTACATCACTGTGACATCATGTCGCTGCTGTTAACATGAATGTGATGCACCACAGTGATACGATGGACAGTGTGAAACAGTCAGCGGCCCTGTGCCTGCTGCGGCTCTATAAGACCTCTCCTGACTTGGTGCTGATGGGTGAGTGGACATCGCGCGTGGTGCACCTGCTCAACGACCAACACATGGTGAGAGCACAATCTAGACACCAGGCTTCATGTAGTTACATGAAGCAGCCTTGTTGTTGTTGCATCTAAAATAGTTTTTGTAAGAGATGAAATGGTTTCTAATGTAACGACCAGATAATACATCTGCAGTGTGAATTTAAGGTCAAAATCAGAAATTGGTTTTCCATCTGACATGAGTTTGGAATGATGAAACCAGTTGCACCACTGAGCTGTGATATCGGCGAGAGAGTTAATTCTCTTCTTGTGCGCTTTAGGGTGTGGTGACAGCAGCAATCTCCCTCATCACCTGTCTGAGCCAGAAGAATCCAGATGAGTTCAAGACCTGTGTTTCCCTGGCCGTTTCCCGACTCAGCAGGGTAAGTGTGTGTGCGCGTCAGTCATGAAGAATTAATTGTAAACAGAACTTCATATAACTCTTGTGAAAATGTTGTGGAATTAGTCATCTGTAAATGTCTGTAAAGTGCCCGTTCCTGTATTCTCTTCACCAAATTTGGCACTGACAGCCCTGTTTACCTTGTCTCACCTTACACTGGCAGCATTCATTCCTGTCATTTTTAAAATGTTTTCTAAAGATATATATATATACACTCACTTGCCACTTTATTAGGTAAATAACATAAATAGCTATCAGCCGAGCATCAGAATGGGGAAGAAAGGGGATTTAAGTGACTTTGAACGTGGCATGGTTGGTGGTGATAGACGGGCTGAGTAAATCAGGTATTGCTGATCTACTGGGATTTTCACGCACAACCATAGAGTTTACAGAGAATGGTCCGAAAGAGAGAGAATATCGGGTGAGCAGTAGTTGTGTGGACGAAAATGCCTTGTTTATGTCAGAGGAGAATGGGCAGACTGGTTTGAGATTTCAGTTTTGACTTTCCATAATCAGTCCTGAGAAAAAAAAAAATCTGTTGGTTCTCCAGATTGTGTCGTCGGCCTCCACTGACCTACAGGATTACACCTACTACTTTGTCCCGGCGCCGTGGCTCTCCTGCAAGCTGCTGCGCCTGCTGCAGTGCTACCCTCCACCAGAAGATGGTGCTGTCAAGGGCCGCCTGGTAGAGTGTCTGGAGACCATCCTCAATAAGGCCCAGGAGCCACCCAAGTCCAAGAAGGTGCAGCACTCCAATGCCAAGAATGCGATCTTGTTTGAGGCTATCTCACTTATCATCCACTATGACAGGTGAGCATTCTAATTAACAACACGACTCTTGCAGTACAACAAAACATACAAGCAACTGACACACAGTGATGAGAGATGGTATTTAATCCAGCAACTCAGCAGTGTACCATCTTCAAGGTGTGTGCTGGAACTTTAAATGACTGGTATTAAAGGTGGGTTAAGTGATTCTAATCCAGTACATGTATTTTTGTCAAATTCAGCAAATATCTCCTTGCTGTCTTATAGCTGTCCATTCTGTGTGTGTGCGCTGGAAAAAAAGCCGGTATTTGTTCTCTCTATAAATGTGAAACAATCAAAGCTGTTCCAGCTATGATGTATGTGTCAGTAACGTTAAATGACTTGTCCACAGACCTTCAGCTTACTTTCTAGTTCACCTAGCTGCAGGAGGCCTGTGAGCTAGTGTGAGCTGTCAGTGTCTGGAGCTGCTTTGCTGCTCTCGGACCCTCTCGTCCGCTCTGCATGTTAGCTTTGCGGCAGCAACTGTAGCCACAGTTTGCTAACCCTCATCTTAGCTAACACTAGTTACCTTTCTTGCTGTGTCATTCATTGTTCGCGCTGTCATGGTGTTGGATTGCTCCAGAATCGCTTACTCCACCTTTAAGATTGACAGTTTTTATTGACTGTATATTAGGGATGAAACGGTTACAGGTTTAATGATAAACCGGTAAAATTCCTGAAGGTTATTATTACTGTACACATTTTAATTACTATGATAACATGACAGTCTCTCAGTAGGAGGCGTGCATGCGCAGTATGCAACGTGGGTTTGTTTGGGGCAATGACAACGGGGCGAAGACAGCGCTGCAGAGATTTTCGAGCGTGTCTGAAGTCATATTTTGATTTTTTATAAAAGTGGGAAACTTGATTGAAGAAAATGACCTTATAGCGAACGCAGGGTGAGTTCATTTTTAGCTTTGGTTTGTCTGACTTGCTAACCGCTTGTAAACTGAAGCGCTCAGTGTTAGCTGCTCTTGTAAAAACGCCACACGTTGTTCTGCTGCTTTGTGCGTCCTGTCTGCAGACTCTTTTTGTCCACTGCACATGATAACAATTTACGCAGTTTAGTCTCCCACCAACATATTTTGTTCATAAAAAATCCAGTAGCTGTCAAATTAGTTGTAGAAGTGTCCAAACAGGAGAAACGCTGCAGACTCCGCAGTTGTTGGGCTCATTGTAGTTACTATCACTGTCTTCTAGAGACTTATTTGTCATCATTTAATTGTGTATGGGGTCATTGCATTACTTATGATATAAAATAATATAAAATATTTAATGAAATGCACACTGACTAGATGGTTTTCATATGTTTGCAAAAGGTATTTATCTATGATGATTTTATTTGTAGTTTTCAATATAAAACTTGTTGAAGTGCTTTCAGTGTGTATCAGTACATTTTAATAATACCGTGATAATACTGATAACTGTGATAATTTTGGTCATTATAATCGTGAGATGAAATTTTCATACCGTTTCATCCTTACTGTATGTTTTGGATTGATGTTGATGAAACTTTTAAACGACTATCTTCCTGGTTGGTTATTGTGAGTTTAACCCAAATGCATGTTCATTTAGATTATTGCACACATGAAGGTAATAATTAATTCATTTTGTAGATCATTCGAAGGGCTGAACGATTAATTGCATTTGCGATAATATTGCGATATGATAGAACAAGATTTTCTAATCGCAAAGGCTGCGATTAAACTCTGAGCACATGACACAACTTGAGTCAAATTATCTTTCTCTGAAATTATTATAATTTGATACTACTTCTCCACCATTTAATAATTCATGCAATTCAAGCATCATCTAATTTCATCATAACATAGGAAAGAAAGAACAGTGTATGTTTCTATCTAATATTGTGTTGGTCATATCACACACTGATTTATTGCTTGTCCATTTGAATAATACAGAAGATAAAGAGCGTAAAAAATAATCGCATATTAAATCGCAATCACAATATTGGTAAAAAATACATTGCAATTAGATTCTTTTCCAAAATCGTTCAGCCCTAATCGTTCATTACTGTATTAATTGTTGTTTTTCTTGTGGTTAATGAATTAGCATGAAATAAAATTTCAGCTAGTCTTGCTTAGCCCTAACTGTGGCTTACTGATGTACCTTTTCGCAACCTGATGACACAAGGAGTGTGTTGCCAGGCTACCAGTGAACGCTGTGGTTTCTGTTCCGCAGTGAGCCAAACTTGCTGGTGCGAGCCTGTAACCAACTGGGTCAGTTCCTGCAGCACAGAGAGACTAACCTGCGCTACCTTGCTCTGGAGAGCATGTGCACTCTGGCCAGCTCTGAGTTTTCCCATGAAGCAGTCAAGACGCACATCGAGACCGTCATCAACGCCCTCAAGGTGGTGCCTCACGCTTTGAACTAAACACAGGCACACTGTTGACATCAGGCCTGAGAAATATTTTGATTAAATGATGAAGTGTGACAGAGTTGTGCCATCAACCTTCCTATGTACATTTCAAAGCCACAGCAACACACCATAGCTTTAAAAAATGATGCAGGATAACTGTGCTATAGTGGTCAGTAGCACGGGACAATCCACTCGTAGTTAAACACCTGTCTATAGGTCTGTCTCTACCTCATCAAGTCTTATTCTTTTATTTTGTCACTATGTGTGTCTCTGCAGACTGAGCGGGACGTGAGTGTTCGACAGAGGGCAGCTGATCTGCTGTATGCCATGTGTGATCGAAGCAACGCCAAGCAGATCGTAGCTGAGATGCTCAGCTACCTTGAGACAGCAGACTATTCCATCAGAGAGGAGATGGTGGGTGTGCCAAGAAAGATTTCACTCTATGCTATTGTCTTTTTTTCTTCACATATATGTGACTATATTCCTCTAAATGGTGAATATGTTTTGTTTCTGCCAGCTGCATATTCTATTCATCAGCATCAAAAAACAATCCAGTACTCTTATGAACTCTTAACATGATTTAATACTGACAAACCAAACTGTTAACCTAAATTTGAGCCAACTGACTGAGCTGGGATTTGTCATGCCTTCTTCATTCAGGTGCTGAAAGTGGCCATACTTGCAGAAAAGTATGCTGTGGATTACTCCTGGTACGTGGACACTATTCTCAACCTCATCCGCATTGCTGGCGACTATGTCAGCGAGGAGGTGTGGTATCGCGTCATTCAGATCGTCATCAACCGAGACGATGTGCAGGGCTACGCCGCCAAGACGGTCTTTGAGGTACCACTACATGAAACCTTAGTACTGCAGCTTTTGACAGCAGTAGTGGATTAAGATGCTGTTGTTTAGCTGAGAGGGACAGGGATGATCAAGATTGGTAAAATGGTTATGAAACCACAATCATTGTGTTGTTTAAAACATACTAAAATGTCTGTAGCGTGTGTCTGTAGAAAATTGATGTAGTGTCTGCTCTGATTCATAATCTTGTTGACATATTCTTTGATCAGGCAGCACTTAGTTAAATCAAAATATTGCCTGTTTCAGACTTATTTATTAGGACAAATTGAATGAAAAATCCCCAACCTCTCTTCAGGCCTCCCTCCAATTGCATTCCCCAGCTTTAGACTCTAGCGTTATTTCTTAGGAAACAAGCAGTGAATAAACTTTTCCTTGTTGGAATTAAAAAAGAGTAATTTGAATCATCGTCTCCTCCAGGCCTTGCAGGCCCCTGCCTGCCATGAGAACATGGTGAAGGTTGGGGGCTACATCCTGGGAGAGTTTGGTAACCTTATTGCTGGTGACCCACGCTCCAGGTATGTTGGTTTTTGGCTGCCAAGGCACTAAGTTGACAGTTGAAATGATAAATAGTAAGTTTGCTGTCCTGTCATCCAGCCCCCTGGTCCAGTTCAACCTTCTCCACTCCAAGTTCCATCTGTGCTCTGTGCCGACTCGTGCCCTGCTGCTGTCAGCCTACATCAAGTTTATCAACCTGTTCCCAGAGACCAAGGCCACCATCCAAGAGGTGCTGCGCTGTGACAGCCAGATCCGCAACTCGGACGTGGAGTTGCAGCAGCGTGCTGTGGAGTACCTGAAGCTTTCTTCCATTGCTAGCACTGATGTCCTGGTTAGTTCTGATGACCCTGTCAAACTCAGCTCAGCTGAGGTCCAAAAATGAATGATAAAATAACATCTGCAAAGATCACTGGTATATGTTATTACATTTTTGTTACACTGTTTCCAAAAAGGTCACAGTCCAGAGGCTTGCAGTCCTGTTCCTGCTGAACGTGTTGACCATCTAATAGGGTGTGTATTTTCAGTCCATACCCACAGCATGATGTGTCCTCCTGTTCCCTCAGGCCACTGTCCTGGAAGAGATGCCTCCCTTCCCAGAGAGGGAGTCATCAATCCTGGCTAAGCTGAAGAAGAAGAAAGGGCCCGGTGCTGTGTCAGTGACAGAGCTGGAAGATAGCAAAAGGGAGGGCGGGGAGTTGAATGGAGGGTCTGACCGAGGCCCAGACACAGCAGCCATGGCTTCCTCCAACGCTGTAAGCAGACCCTCTCTTTGGCTTATTCAAATATTAACAGAAGTGCCTGGTTGCTTTCAGCTGCTTTTATGCATCCCAGCAGTTGAAGTATTACATTTCTTTTGTGGGCCAACTGCAAGTTTCCTTTGTTTCCAGTCCACCCCATCACCATCAGCAGACCTCCTCGGAATTCGTTCTGCTGCTCCCCTCGGTGCTGCTCCGACCACCGCTGGCAGCTTATTGGTGGATGTGTTCTCAGAGGCGGGGCCTGCCGCACCCTCTCCTGCTGTGAATGACGACGGCTTCCTAAGGTGAAAGGTCATCTCTTGATGAGCAGATGTAGAATCCACCTTGGCCAAAGTCCAGTATGGGTCGCTGATAACACAGTCTAGCTGCCAGAGGAAAGAGCCTGTCTGCTTGAGACAGCAGTACTGTAGAAAAAAATGAGAAGTGTTAAAAACCAAACTTGCAAGTCAATGAAACGAGAAGCATAAAGAGGATGTAATGTAAACCATATATTTTTCTTAAATAAGTACAACCATAAAACCACCACCAGTTTTGTGACTTTATTGACCACGACCATTGATTGAACATTATTTCTGCTAGGGATGACCCGAGTCCTAATGTCTGCTGTCTGCCATCTGCCAATAGAGTCCAATCTGATACTTATATTTACCTAAATGTTAATAATAATAATGCCTTGAAATAACAGCTGTAGCCTCCTTAATCTGAGACACCTTTTTCACAAGCTACTACTGAAGGTCCTGCTTCAGAACTACTAAGTTGATCAGCTTAATTTATTGATAAATAAATGGAAGATGTACAAGGAGAATGCCACACCTGAAAGTTATATGCACTGCCCAGAAAGAAGCAGGAGAGATTACGGATTGATTACCATTAAGGTTCCGAAAATCTGAAAATCTTTTGCCAACCTTGTAGTCTCAGCTCAGAATTTTCACTCTCACATGCAGCACAATGCTGTGTTCAGTGACGAAAGTATCAGAATTTGATCAGCTATTTTAGCCGATAACAATCTAATAAAATATGCCTGGACCTGCCCAGATACCTATCCTTAGGGCCGGTACTGGACAACTCTAATTTCTACTGTACTGCTGCCTTCACTCCATGTGTTTACATGCACTAAAGTAACCAGGTTACTTAAAGAAACGCATTTACATGCACTGTTCAGTGGTGCAAACCAATTTATTTAGACTTCTAGAGTTAGTTTCAGTAGGACGTTGGATGGACTTAAAATACAAGGACACATTGCTGTGAGTCATGATCTCTCCTTTCATCCATCCACTCCACCGTCACTTCTCCTGTCTTCAGTCTTTTGTCTTGCACATGTGTATTTGTACAAAGCTGATAAGAAACCCAGTTACCTACATGGCAGAAACCGTGTTTCTTGTTTACATGCCATTTAAGGAATGAGCTTAGTGAAGAAGGTTGACTGCAACCCAGTTACTTAGTGCATGTATACACGCAGACTGTTCAGACGGTGGCTCTCGTACTGGACTGAGCAAAACTGGTCTTGAGCATTAATGGGGAAGCACCCGAATTTGTCGTGAAGTGTAATTTCCTGTTGATGTAAATAGATGTTGTGTTTGTGGTGTTTGCACTGTTAGACTACTATGCAACTACTTGTAATGTGTCCATGCTGGTTGTTGCTGTGTTGGTTCTGTCTTTCTTTGCTCTATCTTTGTCTAATGTGGACCTGTCAACCTGAAGACATTCGTAGTCAGACACTGTATGCTGTTCAAAAACCACAATCAGCCCACTAGGGCTCCTGCTTGAATCTGACCCCCGCCCTCCCTCCTGTCTTTGCTGTGACTGTTTTTTCTTTAGAAGTCAGTGCTGACTCGGGGCAAACTTGTTTGAACTAGTTTGAACTTGTTCACGTCAGTATTTAGGTTTGATATGACAAGTTGGTAATCAGAGGTATGTAGTAGGAGTGTACAAGCATGACTTGGAAATATCCAGACAGCCTCATAGCTAAACATAGCATTGCGTTCAGTGAGACCCGTGGTAGGTAATGCTAAAGCAAGGCTTAGTTAAACAATAACAGATTATCCTGAGAGATGTGTGACAGAGTGACATGCATACAGTAAAATGTTACTATAATGAAATGACAAAATAGCTGCTACTTCCAGGAAAGTCTGTTACTTCAGCATTTGAATAGTGGGGCTTATTTGCTGTCTTTTCCAAAGCTGGACAGTAGAGTTGATATCCGTGTTTTCTCTGTGTTTGTACGAGACTGGTACGGGAATGTTGGCTTTACCTGGATGCTGGAGGTGATGAAGGCTTCTAGCCTCCCTGAAGAAGGAGGGACATGCCTTTCAGTAACTTGTCTTCTGTACATGTTGTGTCTTAGCTGGCTAGCTAGCCACTGGTACATCTGGGAATCACTTAGTCTTTGTTCATAGTTGGTGGAGTGTGAAACTGACAGCTCCACCCTGGGGAAGTGGTCAGGTTTTATTACAATGATTAGATCAAAGTGGCCTCGGTTGAATTCTCTGTGCAGGAAGTTAAGCAAGAATTAGGATTTGCACTAAAATTTCACCAAGTTTAAAAGCAAAGGTGTGTGCAGTGCCCCTGGTTAGGAGATAACATACCAGCATGCTGTAGAGTGCCTTGAGTGGCTTCAGTGTACTGTGCACCTAACCGTGCTGTGAGCAGAGGAAGTGGTACTAGACACCCCTCGTCCAGGGGAGCTGTCCAGGCAGTGTAAAGGGGCAACCATGATGAGATGGTGTAGATTTTTCTTCATGGTTGGCAGGTCTGCTACACTTGTCTGTTCTTTTTATCTTGCTGTGTATGTGACTGTCTTTCGTCTTTTTCTCTCCTTCCCTTCTCTCCATTTCCCTCTGTGTGTGTGTGTGTGTGTGTGTGTGTGTGTGTGTGTTGATTCGAATGTGTGTCTGTCTCCTGTCCTCTACCGTGTTTGGACATTGACAGAGATCTGGAACAGCCCACCGAGACCTCTGATTCCCTATTGGTGGAGGGTTCTGGTGACTCGGAGTAAGGGACCAGTAGTAAACTATAGAACTAGCTAGAAAACTACAAATATTGCAACTCCACATTATTCCTCTATAGAGATGCACCGATTGCAATTTTCTTGTCCGAGTTTTTTAAAGTCTGACCTGCCGATTCCGATTTTCTTTCTAAGAATTACAATTGACAGCATACACAAACATTTTTGTAAATATGGTTTAATGGACAATTCTTTCTTTCTTTATTAGGATCCCCATTAGCACCAGCAAAAACATTGGCTGTTCTTCCTGGGGTCCATTCAATTGTATGTTCATAACAAAACACTGACTTTTAAATAACTAACATTTTCACCAAAACCTTTTTACACAAAAACTCTGCTCGTGTTGTTTGTCCCTTCAGACACACACACATCTACACCTGTCTCTCTCTGTTTCTCTCCCTGTATGTGTGTGCTCTGTTGACTTTCTTTGTCAGCAGTATGCTTTATAAAGTCACCAATCGAGAACAACGTGGTACCGAATGACGTCAGCACCAAAAGGTGTGTTCACCGTTGCTTCACCTGGTCCATGCTTTAAAATATCCACCGTATCCGCGGCGTCTAACGATTTCCAGCTAATGTCTGCGTGTGTTTCTCTGCAAATAGCTAAAATGGGTGGCCGAAAATAGCCTAATATATTATTTTTTCGGCCTTGCAGGTATTACAAATTGTGAGCGATGTCTTATTTAATCACAGTGATAAACTTCCACGGCGACAACGTGTTTTAGCGTGTGTGGCTGTGAGAATAGACGATTAATGTCTACGTCGCTCTGCACATGACGTGAACCATCGTGCGGCACAGCATGCGTGGAAATCTGACAGACACAGAATCTATTATGCGAGACAGATCGGCCCGGTCACCCATCATTGACGATCAAGCTGAAAACCGATCGCAGGCCAATCGATCAGTGCATCTCTATTTTTCTAGGACAGGCTTTTCATCTTGAACACGTCATTGGTAATGTACTCTACACTGAGTGGGTAGCTTGATGCACATGTGCTGTTTAGGTTTACACAAGACATCTGACTCGCTCTACATATGCGTTGATGCCTTTCAACATTTTTTAGAACTGAAACCTTAATAAAATGAGCTGCCTTCCATTACCATCAGATTAATTGAAAATGACGATTAGCGAAAAAAGAATATTCAAGCCCAGTTTGGTGCAACATAGGATTGGAATACACAGTACATTGTTCTCCATTTTCCCAAGGTAGGCCAAAATGGGCCCCATGCTGTTTCCTGGCAAGATAATCTGCCAAACGTGCACACAATGTACATGTGAAAATGGGAGGTGACAATTGGACGTCATCAGAGTTGGACGCACAGTTTACTGCACGGCAGCGTATTCACAGTGGTTGACTGTGACCGGCTTTCTGTCAAATCAATGTTCTAAAGTAGCCTGAACTGCCAAAGTTTGTCAGTCAGGGCATCTGAAAAGGAGGTTTGTGCTTCCTAACTAACAATGAAATTGGTGTGAGCGGTATAAATTACAATGTGGATTTAGCTGTGTTTTGTTTTTTTGTCTAAGGAATAGATTTCAATTGTCACATAAGCATTTGCATGAAATAAAGATAAGCAGGAGAATGCACCCAGGTTCTTCCACAAAAGGGCTTAGCCATATTATAAAAAGAAAAACTGCCAGGCAACCATGATTTCCCGAGTCACTAGCCATTTTCCATCCCAATGTAGCACACATTTTAACTGAGTTATCAGAAAATGGCCAAAAGGAAATGCAAATAAATGCACATTTCTATCCATTGCTGTTGTGAGTCTATAGAAAAAGTTGAGTGCATTGACATAAACAGTTGGAGGTGGCAGTTCTCCAGTCGGTGCTGTTAAACCATTGCAGAAGCACAATGGCATAACGAGGTGCCGTTCTTCTGACACACACTGTAATTGTGCATCTACATAATAACATACATAGTACATTGTTACAGTTCAACAAATGTAATACAAAGCTGCAAACTAAATCCTTATGCTGCAATGTGGCTGTTGTAAAGTGGGGAAAATGCTGTGCACACACACTTTTTCATACCAAAAATGTTCATGGCATCAAGCTTCTAAACATGTGAGCAGTGTCTGGAGTAGAGTACAGTCTGTGGGCATTTGGATAGTGGCTACTTTTCTGTTGTTTTGGCACTGTAACCTAGCACATAGGATTTCAAAGGAACCAGTGCCCTAAGGTGTCTTAAAGGGTGTTGCTGCAACTAAACTATAGGAGTCGTGGTCCACAAAGCTAGACGTCTGTCCATTTAGCCTCATAGCTATTGTTTCATTTCTTGTTCAATGTGCGAGAGAATAGAAGCAAAACAACAGAAATCGTCCAAATACATACTGGCTGCATTGGATGAGTTTTTACACGGTGTTACTACCCAGCAGATACCTTACATTGTGTAATGATGTCATTTTTGTACAAACTGCTTTACTAACCTCTACATTTTATCCTTTTATCCTTCCTTGTCTTCTCTCACGTTTCTCTTAACCAATCTTAATCACGCTGTTGCTGGACCCTGCGCTGAATGGATGGCTTTTCCATCTCCTATTTCTGCCCTATCAATTCATTCCTCCTTTATCCTGCTGCCTATCTGTGTCCATCCCTCCTCTGTCCTGTGGTCTCTCAGCTCTGCTCCTCCCTCTGAGGATCCTGCTCCTCCTCTGTCTGAGGCAGACGAACTTCTCAACAAGTAAGGTCTTCCCCTGTTTGTAAGCTTTGTGGTGTGTTTACATTACTGCATCTCTGCTAAGGGTTTGACATCTTGTCAGAAAGAAACTCTTACAGTAGACTCGGAATGAGCCTTTGCATCAACTGGTTTGAGTTTTGATGCATTTGAGTGCATCTATCTAACCAGCATAGTCCTATAATAATGATGATGATCCAGTACTGATTGCTGATGAGTTCCTGTTTTTAACAATAGACACTGCAAAATCCACCACTTTACCTCATCTGTTAACCATGCTGTTCTCCAAATCATGAAATATTCTTCTATATTCTGAAAAGTCATTCATTACTTCTGATACATTCTGTATGATGTATTTGATGATCTATCCATTGATTTGATGTTCTTACCTTCAAATCAGCAGATAGGTTTGTCTCTCCTGCCATCTCTTTCAAACTCTAGTGACACCTGTGAACGGGGACATGACATCACATTTGTTGTTGTCACTAATCCATCAAGCCTTAAAACCCAACTGTACTCTTACTATTTGACTGAAAGAAAACTGTTCAAAGCCTCATAATTAAGAAGCTAAAAACTGAATTTCTGGCATTTTTGCTTACTAAATGACATTGGAGATTATCACAGTTCACTCAACAAATTGTGAAATCATTGAGTCGTTTTAGCACTGATCAAGAATCTGTGTGGATCCAGACATGAACATAAACTTTATAAAATAGGTGATAAGTTAGCGATGTGAATACCAATGTGATACAGTCATTGGTGCAATACTATCAGCTGATTGGTGCCTGTCAGATTAGAGCATCCATAGTAATAACATAACTGGGTCACTGGCTAAACACCGGAGCATGTAGGTCAGTGGTTGTGGAACTCGGACTTCTCGCTGTGTGGCTACAGTTTTACACATTAACTAGTGACAATCTGGCTAGTTTTTCAGGACAGTGGACAACATGACTGTTAAAAGACTAACCCTTGAAATGCCCTTATTCTACAGGTTTGTGTGCAAGAACAACGGAGTTCTGTTTGAGAATCAGCTTCTACAGATTGGCATCAAGTCAGAGTATCGTCAGAATTTGGGTGAGTTGTCTTCACTGAAAAGCAGTTTGTTACTTGGTGGCCATCTGTATCAAATGGGCCGTATTGCCAAATGGGCGTGGCCTTGTGCGTTCTTACGGACTCTTCTTTTACTTGTAATATGAATGAGATATAAAGGTACAGCTGCGTATTAGGGCCATTGTAAATAAAATAAAAAATAAAAAAATTTAAAATACAGAGCTGGAACACAACCGTGAGTTATCAATCAATCAACATTTATTTCTATAGCGCTTTACAACAACCGTCAGGTTTCCAAAGTGCTTCACATCATAGAATATAATAAAACAGCATATTATACAATAGATACATATAACAAGAAAAGAAAAGTTAAAAAGAAACAAAAAAAAGGAAATTGTCACACCACAACTGCGGATTAAAAGCCAGTCTAAACAGGTGGGTTTTAAGTTTAGACCTAAAAATAGTTTCATCTGCAATTGTGCAAATATCAGGGGGTAGCTTGTTCCAGAGTCTCGGAGCAGCAACTGCAAACGCCTGATCACCCCATCGCTTATACTTTGACCTTGGGACTTCTAAAACCAATTGGTTTGAAGACCGTAACGACCGGCTGTGCTCACGCAGGGTTAAAATCTCAGTTAAGTACTCCGGGGCCAGGCCATTTAGGGTCTTTAAAAACTTATTCTATACTGCACTGGGAGCCAATGTAAAGTGTAGAGGACGGGATTTAGATTTTTTTTCTTGTAAATTTGTGACTTTAATCTCAGACTTTCAGATTTTTTTTTTTTCTGGTAAAACTCACCACTTTCATCTTGGATCTGGCTCCGTATTTTTGAGACACATACACACGTGGACAAAATTGTTAGTACCCTTCCGTTATACACAGAATGGTCCCTGAAATAACTTGAAACTGACAAAAGTAATAATAAATAAAAATTGACTGAAAATTAACTGGTGAAAGTCAGATATTGCTTTTTAATTGTGGTTCAGAACAGAATCATTTTAAAAAGCAAACTAATGAAACTGGCCTGGACAAAAATGATGGTACCCCTAGAAAAGATTGGAAATGATTTGACCATAGAGACATGTTAAACTATGGTGTGTCCTGCAATTAGCATCACAGGTGTCTTCAAACTTGTAATCAGTCGGTCTGCCTATTTAAAGGGTGAAAAGTAGTCACTGTACTGTTTGGTATCATGGTGTGTACCACACTGAACATGGACCACAGAAAGCTAAGGAGAGAGCTGCCTCAGGAGATTAGAAAGAAAATTATAGGCAAGCATGTTAAAGGTAAAGGATATCTCCAAGACTATCTCCAAGCAGCTTGATGTTCCTGTGACAACAGCTGCACATATTATTCAGAAGGTTAAGGTCCACAGGACTGTAGCCAACCTCCCTGGAGGTGGCCACAAGAGGAAAATTGATGACAAATAGAAGAGATGGGTTATACGATGGTAACCAAAGAGCCCAGAACAACTTTCACAGACAGTAGAACTCCTAGGACAGGACGGTTATGTTTTGGGGCTGCTTTGCTGCAGCTGGCACAGGGTGTCTTGAATCTGTACAGGGTACAGTGAAATCTCATGACTTTCAAGGCTTTCTGGAGCAAAATGTGCTGACCAGTGTCAGGAAGCCTGGTCTCAGCTGCAGGTCATGGGTCCTCCAACAGGATAATGACCCAAAACACATCGAAAAACACCCAAGAATGGCTAAGAGCAGAACATTGGACTATTATGAAGTGGACTTCTATGAGCCCTGATCTAAATCCTATTGAACATGTGGAAGGAGCTGAAACATGCAGTCTGGAGAAGGCAGCCTTCGAGCATGAAACAGCTGGAGCAGTTTGCTTATGAGGAGTGGGCCAAAATACCTGTTGACAAGTGCAGAAGTCTCATTAGGAGTCACAGAAATCGCTTGATTGTAGTGACCACCTCAAAAGGTTGTGCAACAAAATATTAAGTTCAGGGTACCATCATTTTTGTCCAGGCCAGTTTCATTAGTTTGTTTTTTAAAATGATTCCGTTGAACCACAATTCAAAAGCAATGTCTGATTTTCAATTAATTTGTATTTCTTATTAATTTTTCAGTTTCAAGTTACTTCAGGGACCATTTTGTGTATTTTTCTTTAACGGAAGGGTACCAACAATTTTTTCGACATCTGTATCTACATATTTAAATGTGAAATCACCTAGGATAATTCAGTTATACACTTAAGCATATCCACTTTTGCTAGTACACAGAAGATCCACCCAATGTCACAAACATTACTGCTGAAGTTACCTGGTTATGCCAGTTTTCTTGCTTCAGAGTACTGGCCTCTGGTGTGTTGGCTGGGCCTGTTGTAGTTTAAATGTTTATTCCATAAAACACAAGCCATATTAATAAACAGAATGACCTTATAACAACTGTGTGTGTCTCTTTCAGGGAGAATGTACTTATTCTACGGGAACAAGACGTCAGTGCAGTTTGCCAGCTTCACTACCACAGTCAGCTGTCCTGGGGAGCTGCAGTCTCATATCCTTTCTGTGCAGTTATGTTTCATTATGTTCAGACACCAGCAAAGCTCCACGTGGGGTAACTGGGAAACATTGTGCACGGAAGCATCTGCATTTAATGTTTCTCCACTCTCAGGTTTTTTCCTTTCGTGTGTGTGTGTGTGTGTGTGTGTGTGTATCTCTCTTTATCAGGAATGTTTTTTATAATCAGTGCTTACTTTTCTCCAGGCATTGACCTTTTTTGTCCTGTCTCTGTATAAATATGAAGTTGAGCTCTGGATGCCCACTGACGGCTTCAGTAAAGACAGTTCCTGGCAGTAAACGGCTCCCAATCCTATGCACATATTTTGTGTATTCGCACCACTCGCGTCGCCTAATTGTCCTTTGCATTGACTTTGTATGTAATCGCACCGCGTGACAGATTTACTTTGCTTTCTGTGTGAGCACAGCAGTAGGTGTGCGGTCATGTCAATGGATTACTGAGATCAGTGTGACTGTGGCTAAAGTTTTGCATTTGCAGTTCAGATTCCTGGCATTGTTTTAATCTATTGAGGATTATGAGTTCAAGTATGAGGAAGTTGTTGGTGTGTGAAAAAGACTAGAAAGGTGCTATACAAATACGGAGCATTTGGTGTCATCACATATTCAGCAAGACTATATGATATGTGATGTAATGCTTTTATTTAGGACCTTTGTTAACCTCAGCTGCAGAGGGTACCAAGCCTTTATTTGAAGCAAACGTATGTTAGAGACAGGCCTTGGTTTCTAATTCCCACTGTTTGATAAGTATATGCTTATATTTTAGTATGAAGCATCCTTGTTTTCTGATCTGCTACCGTTTCCGTTTGAATTTAAAAGCCCTCTAGCGTTCTTCAGACTCCTCTCCACGCCAAAACAGTGACCAAAAGTTGAACCTGAAAACCACTGACGCTGGGGGGGAAAAGACGGTGTAAACAATAAATGCCACTGAAAGGTGATATGAAGAAAAACTCATCAGAATGCACAAGATTTGAAAATATTATGAAATAATTCATTGAAACGTTTGACCGTCTGAGCGTCTGTGCTTTCAATGCAAATATTTCCCTATTCAGTTCCGGTTTTGTTTTCAATGCCAAATTCTGTTTTCCAAATTTTAAAGTCACTGTTCTGGCACAGTCGCAGTTAATAGGGATAGTAGGGAATCTTGTTAGGCAAACTCTTGAAACTGCATCTAGTTCTCTTCACACAGAGATGGAGAGGTCACAAGTACTTTTATAATTTAAAGATTGTCCCATCCATGAGTGGACAGTCTCTGTGAGTCAAACTGTACTCTCAGTAAAAGCAAGTTTTACTAATGATGGTCTTGCTTAATGTTACTTGAGACTTTGACTTAGATTGACGTCATTAAACTGACTTGTGACTTCCCTAATGAGGATTAATGAAATGAGCTTATGTTGTCTCATGACTTGTGCACTGCTATTGAAACCCTTGTTAAAGAGAGGAATCTACAGCGAATCATAAGTGGCAGAAAACGCTACAAAGACCATGCCATGTACAAAATGGATGGCTGATTATTGTATCGGTAGAATCAACTGCCTGAAGTTGTCACTATCAATGTTAAATAGGAGCCCTAAACCATCATAATGCTGCCTTATCAAGAAAGCCTAGGGCTACACTGACTGTGTAAGGCAGTGTGGGCACTGCTCACAGTTGGAGGTGTTTGGAAGTCAGTCTATGTGATGTCTTGATGGTCCTTGACAACTGGCCACAGCTCAACGTTCAGACCAAACAAGTGGAGCCGCTGGTAGAGGGTGGAGCGCAGATCCAGCAGGTCCTCAACATCGAGTGTCTGACCGACTTCTCTGACGCCCCGCTGCTCAACATCAAATTCAGGTGAGCTCTTACAGCCAGAGGTGGAAAAACTACAAAAATCTAACCATTTTTTAACAAAAACCCACCGTTATTAACTTTGGTATTTTTCACCCTGGACAATATTTCCAACTGTTTTGTGTCTGTGACTAATTGGGACATGTTTTGATTACGGCCCAGTATTGGTCGAGCACACTGCAGTCTGCAGCAGTAAAACAGGGGTGCAACTTAATCCTTGCAGCCAATTGCACCCCGTCAGTTACCCTTTTAAGCATTCTAAACATCTTAACACAAGCAGATGCACTTTGTCTCGATACAAAACAGGAGCTATCTGATCAAAGAGTAAGACATCTAAATTAGAATCTCACCTGATGCCAACTTTTGGTACTTTTTTTTTTTTTTCTTGAAATGCCCATCATAGTTGTATTTGTGTACACATTTACAAACATAGAACACTTGACTTGTAAACTGTTGCGTGAAATTAATGCTGGAAAGAATGCTTTCAAAAGTAGTTAACAGATTAGTTAAGTTAATGCATTGCATTTAGCTAATTGAAAAATATAAAGTGAGTGAACAGAAATTTGGTGTGACCATCTTTTAAAACAGCATTAGGTCTGCAGGGTATAGCTGCTTCTCTCTCTTCATGTAATCCCAGACAGACTGGATGATGTTGAGATCAGGGCTCTGTGTGGGCCACACCATCACTTTCAGGACACCTTGTTCTTCTTTACGCTAAAGATAATTCTTAAGGACTTCCGATGTATGTGTGTCTTCCTGTCAATAGTTCTTTAGAGGAACTTAAAACTCCTTGCCTGGCCAATAAAGCTGATTCTGATATTAGTTATAAATCACGGATATTGCTAAGCATGTCCTTTAGCTTCAAGATGGACCGCAGCAGCCTCTGGTACAGGCTGGTAGGAGTCACAGGTGCATTGCAAACTCAGTAACTGAAAAGGGCACACTTTGAAAGCACCAACCATTGCACCAACAACAGTAGGTAATTCGGACTGTAGTTTGCACTGGAATATGGGGAGGAAAACTCATGACGTGTAACCAATCAGATGCTGAGGGCGGGACACTGAGTAAGACAACACAGTCATGACTACAGACAGAGAGAGGCAGCCACATCAGAGCCAAAGTGGAGCATTTTAAAATAAATTTAACCTTGATATGAAAACACGAGCCGATCCAGTACTCTAACCGTGATATGTAACTGGAATGCCCTATCAGATATGGTGGAGCTCTGCAGAACCTGACACTCAAGCTGCCTGTGACCATCAACAAGTTCTTCCAGCCAACTGAGATGTCCTCACATGACTTCTTCCAGCGCTGGAAACAGCTTAGCCAGTAAGTGTGTGTGTGTGTTGGTGTGTGTTCAGTGCATTTAGCTTCCCTGCATAACTGACGTCTCCTGTGTGAATTCTCCTCAGGCCTCAGCAAGAAGCACAGAAGATATTCAAGGCCAACCACAGCATGGACACCGAAGTACTCAAGGCCAAGGTACGACCCCGTTTAGCAGCTCATTCTTCTGTGTGCTCGATCTGCAACTTTTTATCTTCACACATGGCCTTCTCAACCAAATCTGTTTCCAAAATAAAGGCTGTTAGAGGAACTAGCTGTTTACTTCTAAATGCACAGTACATAACTGTGTATAAATATAGACTACGAGTCTCTACTGTACAAAAATTTTGTCATTTGTACACTATGCGCAGCAGTGATCGGTGTTGGAGAATGGATGTATTATTACAGGGTACCCGCAGGGTCTTAAAAGTCTTAAATTTCATATTCCAAAAATAAGGCCTTAAAAGTCTCGTTTACCAAGGTCTTAAATATTTTCTTGTCCTTTCGTAGGATTTAATTAATGCCGTAACGTCATAAAAGAATACTTTGTGTGTGAGATTTCATAATATACTCCATTTGGTGTGACTCTGATGTTACAGCAGTACAGGTAACGTTCCTGTTTACGTCAGTGTTCAGCTTTACGCTCTGGACTGTGAAGCGTTCACAGTGCAAGAGCTCTGGCATTCAAGCTCTGTGCGAATCAGTCAGTTGTTAGAAAAGAAAAGAAAACGTCTCTGACGTGCTACTAACATTAGCTCGACGACTCAGACTGGGAAAGTGTCTGAAATTCAGAAAGCCAGAGATACGAACAAGTTGGCGGCCGAGGCTGAGGGCAGTGGCGCTGAGGTCAGAGCAACAAGCTGATTGGCGCGCGAGCCAGTCCACACTGTGGCGAACGCTAATGGAATAGCAGAGCTGGAAGACCCGCTGAAGGTTACTGGTCAGTGAATGATATAACAGCAACGAAGAGACAGGTGTGTATGAGACGAGGACCGTGTCTGTGTGTCGGCGTTGCGCCGCTGTTGTAATCTAACGTTATGCGAATGGAAACATCAAACTAACGCACATTAAACTTACATCACCCAGATGCGCCGATCACAGGAACGAGGGAAAAACAGACCGGAGCCCAACTCCTTATCCCCGCTGCTTTCAAGCCAATACTATTTAATACTACATTTCAAGTAGCCTTTAGATGCTTTAGAAAAACAGAACAGGATGAATAATCACTGAAGCAGTTGGCATATTACATTACATTACCTTATCTAGCCAAGGTGTAACTAATTGCAACAACTCATACCACACAATTTGTTTGTATTTTTGATTTGACCCCTTAAGAGTTCTTAGTGCACAAATATTGTTTTCATTTCATAGGTGTCATTTACACTGTGGATCCTGGGGACGTGTCTCCATCACTTTTTTTTAAAGCATTTGTTAAATATGTTATGAAAAATGGCTTGCAACAAGAAATGTTGAAAAAACAAATCAAAATACTTTGAGAAAGGTTTATTTGCACAATAAGAAAACATGCAATGCAATTTGCATTGTTCAAAAAAATTTAAGCTAAAACAAATCTGAATCACTTTATATGAATAAATACAATTGTACCTTAAATTGGTGCAGAAAATGTCTCCAGAATGCAGGAAATTAAGTGTTTAGTGCTCAAAATTTTGTAGGGGACCCCCAGACCCCCATTTAAATATATTTCAGCATTGAATATTTCATCAAATGGTGTAAAAATATCTTCTTGTTCTTATGAACCCAATATTGTGAATCGTGCATGTGAGCTAAGTGTATCGTCACACCCCTAATCTCAACCCTTATGTCCCGAACACTTTTCAACACAGTGACCTCCTTGATTCATTTTATCTTATCAAAGTACAAACACACCCCAAGCTATAGTGTGTTAAATATGAATGTATTAAAATAAAATGTTTTATTAAATTCATGTAACTTTGTAAATAATTTTCTTGGGCTTAAAATTAATACAGATTTTCCATTAAACGGCGGTGAAGTTGGTATTAAATTTCATCCTAGGTGGTATTAAAAAGGTCTTAAAATGTCTCAAATTTAACTTTGAGAATCCTGGGGCCCTGTATTAGAACTGGATACTGGACCCAAAGATGGCGTCTATTCAGTCCAATGAGAATTGCTCGCATGGCGCATACACCAAAAACGTTTCAAGCTTCCGGGTTTCCTGCCGGGGTATGCATCCCACCGAATATGCACAGTGATGTTTCTCCTGCTGGGCCCTGCCCATTGTGATGATGTCACAGATTTTTAAATCACTTGTCTCAGCTCAAGGAAAGTTTTACAAATATATAATCTCTGTTAATCAAACATTCTTAACAGAATGAGTCATCGAGCTGCCGCCCATACACCCGACCGACTGAATCGCAGACGGGGCTGTCGATCATGACGTGAAACTTTCTTTTTATACTGTCAAATAACTAATAAAACCAAAGTCTTTCAGACAAATGAACAGTGCGATAAGAAACTAAAATGACAGAAACCATCTTTGCGTAAAAGTTTGGCCATGACCCCTTCTCTAACACAGCCCGGGAGAGATTTATGACCCGTACTGCACCACCGGGGGAGATCCAGATGTTTCGGCTTCTCTTTTGGGGAGCTGTCATGTTGTACATCTTTTATATGCAGTCTATGTAACACTCCAGTACTTAACATGTTAATATCCATCTGTATATCTTTCATTTACCAATTGGCCAAGTAAACAAGGTGTAAAATGATCTAAACCAGGTTGATCATGCTGCCTTTTCAGTTACACTGGTAAGTAAACTGAAGAAAAACTGTTCTGTCCTCTCGTATCGTGGTAGATACTTTAGCTTAATTGGTTTTGAAAGTGTGTGAAAATCCATATCTATTGACCGAACAGCTGTTACCTTCTGTAATACTCCTGTTTTTGTCTGTGCAGTACACATAATGCACCTGATTATGCGTGGTATAAAAAAAAATAGTGATCAAAAAAGGAAAAAGACCCTCATGAAACCATCCTCACCTCTCCCTCTGTATGTGGTATAGACAAAATGACTTCTCTGTATTGTTGGAAATCCTATTATGGTCCCCTCCCTTCTTTGTGATACCCATGCGTTGATATGTTTGTGTGTAGCTACTAGGACTAGGATCGGCCCTGCTGGACAACGTCGATCCCAACCCAGAGAACTACGTGTGTGCTGGAGTGATCCAGACCAAGAGCCAGCAGGTTGGCTGTCTGCTTAGACTGGAGCCTAACGCCCAGGCGCAGGTACGGCACACAGACTCCCTGAGAGGTCACTGCTGTATAGATCCATCTTTATAGCTCAGTGTCCCTCTTGTCAATAAACACTGGAGATGACACTAAATATACTGTTTAATCAGAAACAGGCCAGTGAACCAGAAACAAGCGTTTTCTGTGTACCAGAAGGTGAAATGTAACACTAAGGTGTGGACAGTTTTCCTAACCACTGCTGTCAGGTCAATAGAAACCGATATTGTTGGTTCAGTTTTTATACACGTTCCAATTCTGGAACCAAGTTGTACAAGTAACCAGTTTTGGTGCATTTACCGGTGTTAAATTTCTCGGTTTGGTCTGATCGCAGCTGAGGTGGGTTGTTCTCTGCAGTGGAGCATTTTACAGGTCCTCTCAGTTACCCACATCTGACCCAGGACCAGAAAAAGACCCTGTCCAAATTATATTCAGCCTCACAGGTTTTAAGCTCCACTTATATTGCTGCTGGTCTTGTTTCCAAACGTTTGGGCGTCTATGCAGGAACGCCACCCCAGTATTCATGTGTTGTCATCACCACAGAGTAAAGTATGCGTTTCTGTTCCGGGCATACAGCAACGCCCTTTACTTTGGCAGTGTTCCTGTTTACATGTTTCATTTACGTAGTTGAGCGTATTGTTAATTAGCAGAGACAGCCTCACCACTCTTACAGGCAGGCCCTTGTTATATTTTCTCCTGGAGTCAATGTCTCTCCTGACTGTGTGTGTGTGTGCAGATGTACCGTCTGACTCTGCGCTGCAGCAAGGACTCTGTTTCCAGACGTCTCTGCGAGCTGCTGGCCCAACAGTTCTAGAGTCCAGACCTCTACCGTGACCAGTACTCCCACCATCCCCACCAGCGACCCCTCCCTCGAGCCCTCCTGCCACATCTCTCCTCCTCCCTCCAACAAAGAATCTTTGAGTAAAAAAAAGGTGTGACCTACATAAGGGAAAAAGCAGCCACTGCTAGCAGCAGCGGCGATATTATTGTCATTATTCTTGTCCCAGATTCTGATTCCAGTTCATCTTCTACTTGTTTATTAACATGATGCTCTTGTTTTTGTTGGTGTTTACCTGTGTAGCTGGTGTGTGTGTGTGTGGGTGGCCAGAGTGTGTGTGTGTGTGTGGGGGGGGGGGGGGCAGAGTGTGTGTGTGTGTGTGTGTGTGTGCGCGCGCGTCCCATGGGTGTACTAGGGTCCCATCTGACTGCTTTGTAATACTGATGCTATGTGTGTGTGCGCGCGCGTGTGTATGCGCACGAGCACACACGCGGGCATGCTTGACGTTTCATTTGAATTGGTAGAACAGTCTTTGAGGTCAAATGGGTGAAGCTGTTCACATGCACTCAACCCCTCCCTACACACACACACACACACACACACACACACACACACACACACACACACACACACACACACACACACACACACACACAGGTATAAGGCCATCATGATTCCTTGTGGTTATGGTGGAACCCCCTAATGAAGTGAGACCTGAGGGTCCAGCATTCTGATCTCTGCTGCTTCTGCCCACTCATTTTCATCAAGCATTCCCAGTGGAAATGCACTTAAGGCGTTGGGATCCTCTCTGAGACCCTCCGGCGGGGAGCCCTCTTACTCTTCCTCTCCTGTGAGGAGGAGCCCTTCATTTCAGTGAGCTAGTACACGTTTATGTTATTGATGTGTGTGTGTGTGTGTAAATATGTGCCAGTGTATTACTTTATTTTATACATTCCCATCGTGCTTGTGTAGAACGCCTGTGATTATCTAGCCCAAGCCACCCTATATAGGAGAATATATATATATATGAGGATGGCAGAGAATGGACACTACGTAGACGAGGGCACAGGGACAACACTTGCAGTGTAAAAAACATTTGAGTAAGTCTCATTCACTGCCCGCCTTGGAGATGGTTCCAGGTGCTTGCCACTGGAAAAGCCTAGGGAAGGGTCCCTTGTGCTGCTCTTTATTGGAGGCGTGGAACGTAATCAGATGTACACCTGGCAAGCAGACCACATAGTGCCAGTCAGTGTAGTCTTTTCTCCTGTAAAACTGGAGCATTCTTTTTGAAAACTCACCTTCTCAGGTGAGATTGGTGTTTTACTTTAAGCATGCTCAGCACACTTAGTTTTACAAGAGAGAAGACTTCAGTGACGAGGACTAACTGGGTATGGCTCCCCACTTCTGAAAAAGAGTAGTGCACAGCTGCGTCCCTGAGCTTTTCAATGGGAAGCTCTGGGACCGAGGACAAGACAGACCCAAACGGAGGTGACAACATTTTAGAGCTTTCATGGCTCCAGAGGATGCTGGTACTGGCTCGGGTTGCTGCATCAGTGTCTATATGGAGTCCTATTGGTTTGCACAGCCTTAAGCGTGATCAGAAAAGGGCACAGATAGGTGCACCATGAGCATCTAAAGGATATAACAGTTTTGTAGTCAGACAGCGATGCAGCTAAATCCAGCACCAACATAGGTGTGAGCTAGTTCCATCCCAGGCTGGACAGGGAGATCGGTCTGACATATGTATATGCACATTCATATCCCTGCTTCTGCAGCCAAGCATTTATAGAAGAGATCAACGCCAACAAATCAGATGCAGTGCACACAACCACTACAGTAAATGGTTAGAGAACACTGAGATGTTCAGCGACCTCACAATATTTAGATCCATGCTTGCACAGCTTTCTAACTCTTCCCGGGCTTCCTCTCACGCACAAGCACTGATGTGGGAGAGGACAGGATGCAAGACACCCAGATGTCCATTACAGCTACAGGGGATATGTGTGTGAATGTGAGTGTGGCTGTAAGCAGGTAAGAAAAAGCGATAAAAAGCCTAAAGACATTTCTAATACATGGTCACATTACATTCTGTGGCTGCACGGCAATCACAGGACATTGAACTTCGTAGTGGAAAATTTAGTCATTCTGTCATTCTGTGAGTGTGTGTGTATGTGAGTTTGTGTGTCTGCAGTATCCACTAGCTAATGCAGCCTCATGTATCGGTGTTAAGAACCTGTCCAATACCTGTGTTAGAATTAAGATTTACTCTGTAATGAAAAAATGTGAAAGTAAAACTATGCCATATATCCGACATGACGCCTCCTGTCTTGTGTCCCAGTGATCCTCTGTGAGAGCAGCTTCTCCCAGCACAGCACATGTACAGCAGGTGGTCAACAGGATTGAACAGTAAACAAATCCTAAACCTTTCTTACAGTTTCAGAAATGCCTATGCTCCTGTACAAACCTGTAGAAATACTCAACAGTGCCACCAGAATAAAGAGGTAGGGGAGCCCGGGGATGGTCGTAACACGTCCAATTTCTCCAATCAGGAACAAGTTACAATTCATCCTATTCCTTCTGCACATGCTCAGTTTTGTCCTTATTTTACATGGGAAAAAAGTAGGACCCTGTGCCAGGTACAGCCACTTTTAGAAGGGAAAAACAATTTTTGAGAGTTTTTTTAAACTTTTTATTTATTTTTGTTATTGCAGTGCCTGATTTGTAGTTAAACTCAAAATTAAATCATGTTTATTGTGTGTCTAGATATCTTTTAGGCAAGTTGTTAGTGCTAATGTTGTAGCTGTATGGTAAGCTAGTTCATGGCAACAAGAGTGTGGGTTAGCTGTAACAACAAAGACTATGTTAAGTTGTTACAGTCACTACCAAAATACGGGCACCCCTGCATGTCTGTCACATAATGCGCTACTAAAAATGTTGCAGTTTCACATTCTCGTGTTTATTTCTTTTGTTTGCATTGGAACAACACAAAAAAAGCCAAATCTGAGACATTCTGCAAAGAACACCAAAAATGGACTGGACAAAATGATTGGCACCACTACTAATATTTGGTAGCACACTCTTTGGAAAAATAACTGAAATCAATTCCCTCCTGTAATCATCAGTGAGTTTCTTACACCTCTGTACTGGAATTTTGGACTACTCTTGTTTTGCCTACTGCTCTAGGTCTGAGATTCGATGGGTTACTTCTCCCAACAGCTGTTTTGAGATCTCTCCACAGGTGCTGTGTGGGATTTAGATCTAGACTCATTGCTGGTCAGAACTCTCCAGTGTTTTTTCTTCACATACACACACAGGCAAGACAAAACATCAGTGAACCTCCACCACTCTCTCAGAAACTCCATTCTGGCTTTGTTTTTCTGTGTCAGCAGCAGGGTCCTCCATTTTCATTCACATGGCCATAGATAGTGCGAGTTGACACTGTTGTACCCTGTGTCTACAGGTCAGTCTGAATTTGTTTGGAAGTTGATCAAGGTTCTTTATCCACTATTTGAACAATCCTTTGTTGCAGTCTCATCAGTTATTCTCTTGTGTCCTGGGAGATTGCTCCAGTGCTGTTGGCTGTAAAGTTCTTCACAATGTTGCTGACAGTGGACATAGGGGGACAGTAAGATCTCTGGAGATGGACTTGAAGGCTTAATAATGTCCATGTTTTCCTAAAATTTTGGTTCTCAAATCCTCGGACAACTCTTTTCTTTTGTCCATGCTCAGTGTGGTACACAACACAAATGTTGAGTCAACCTTTCTTCATTGTAGTGTGTTTTCCATGTTGCCAGTGCCTGTGGATTTCTACAGGTGAGTTTAATTACAGATTACAGGAGCATCACATGCTTGAGATACAATTATTTCTGAAGATTGTGAAAAGTTGTCAATCATTTTGTCCAGTCCATTTTTGGAATTCTGTGTGGAATGTCTCAGATTAGGCCTTTTTTCTCTGCTTTTTTTGTCTCCCAATGAAAACAAAAGAAATCAACATATTACCAAAGCATTTGTAATTGAGATAAGTTTCTGGGAGATGTAGTGCATTACATGACATGCAGGGGTGCCTATATTTTTGGCCATGACTGTATGTGTTTTCTTTGCATTTCAGTATGTGTCTGACACACACACACACACACACACACACACACACACACACACACACACACAGTACTATACTGTTTAATTGATTTATTATGTTCAAATGTTAGTGTAACATTTAAATGTTGAATAAAAAGCTTTCAATATCATGTATTTCTGAAATATCTTATTACATAATGTTACAATTCAGACTATGGAGTGAATAGTAACGTTTTACTCCTTGTGTTAGAAAATGCATGTTTTAGTCTCTGTCTGTGTTGTAGAGAGAACAGTTGCACCATTTTCTAGCTGACACATAGAACTAGTTTGTAGCCCATTTTGAAGGCACTGGCTTATGAGTCCCCAGATAGGCTACAGACAGAAATGTTACAACCATCCCCGGTCTACATGAAAACAGGAAATGCAAAGTTGACTGCATAAAATATTTCTTTAAATATTTCCCGCTCTGCAGAATGCAGCAGTGAGTGGTTTAATGCTGTAAAAACAATTTGATTTAAAATATGCCCGATTTGTCTCGATCACCTTAGCGACATAGACTGTTTCTAGTTTAACAAAAAGGATATTACTCTTTTAAAACAAAAACAAAAAAAACAACAACTCTGTTCTTTCCTTTCCATAATGTTGTCAGACTCTTGTAGTAATAATCTGAGCCTGTCGGTGGCAAAAACAAGAACTGTAATGGACGCACTCTGAAGGGGCACAATTGCCCGCATGGATTATCTTGCAGTTCTGTTTCACTGCTGCTGACTGCAGCGCGCTCCTCAATACTGGGCCAATATGAGAAAAATAAAATGCTGTCCCCATTGGTGTCATTTACATTGGGGAACATGTCCCCACCAAAATGTTCTCAAAAAAAGATTGCAACAAGAAATGTTAAATAAGAATAAAAAGGCTTTGACATGTTTATTTGCATAATGAGAACACATGCAATACAATGTAAATATAGTGGAAACAAATGTGCATTGTCCAAAAAAACCCAAAAACGAGTTAAAAAAATCTACTGATTACGTCATTATATTCCATTTTATAATTTGAATTGCACCTGCCATCTTAGTTTTGTGTTTCAGTTTATGATGGAAATATCTTTATTTAAAGTGTGATATCCAGAATGCAGGATATCAATTGTTTAATGCTCAAACTCTTCTCTAAATAGTGTTAAAATATCTTCTCTTGTTCTCTTTAACCCAGTACTGTGGATCCTCACGTCTGTGACCTAAATATCACACCCCTAATCAAAACCCTGATGTCCCCCCCACTTATCAACACAAAGTGAGGCCCTTGGTTGTCCCAGTCAGTCACACAGACAAAAATATGTGGAAATAAAGTCCAATTTGGGAAATACAAAAGTCACCCAGAAGGGAGTACATATAGGGGCAGACATTGCACAAGCAGTCCACATCTGTATGAAATGGCTCTACTGAGTCATCTTGAGAGAACTGGTGTTGAAAGCAGCAGTCCAGCTGTCCTCTCTAAGGTGCACATGAATGTTGCGTGGTGAGCTAATACTCTGCTCGCTTCGCTGGGCTGGAGGCTGACAGCCTGCTGAGGGGCGCGCTGATACAGCGGAGATGCGTCTGCGCGAGTGGAAGTCCTGCAAGGTGCCGATTGGCTGATGGTGACATCATCTAGTCAAGATCTATTGTTGGAACGAGGATGAGCTCATCGTTTAGAAGCCAGTTTCAGAGCAGAGCGAGGACGCAGCAGCAGCAGCAGTGGACAAACACTCTGCAAACCTTTGAGCTTCAGGAAGAGGACGAGAAGGGACACTTCCAGTAAGTATAATATTAAATATGTACACCATTCTGCATGAGATTAAAGACTATCCCTAAACTGCATAATTTGCTGGAATCTGTGTGCTAAGAATAGGGGGAAGTCTGAGAGTAGCTCTGATGGATCAGACCAACATGTTGGGCACCGCAGCGACAACTTTAGTCTTATGTCATTAGAGCTGCGAGAGAAGAATGCCTGCAGGTGTTCCATGTGCTGCTTGTTGTTGTGCTGCAGGTATGGTTTGGTCCCGGGAGAGAGAGGCGGAGCGGCCTCCACTGTCCGTCATCCTGCCGCGGCTCTACCTTGGAGCGGAGAGCGACGTGACGCAGGTAGGGACCAGATCCTACACTTTCAGCTATGTAAAAAAAAAAAAACTCGCTTCAGTTCAAAGTCCAGTATTCTAAAGTGTACTGCAGTAAAATTATCAGCAACATGTAGAAAAGTAACAGTCGCTACTTTGCAGAGTGGGCCCTGTAGGTGTTATCTTATTAAATTGGATTATTAGGCTATTGCTGATGCATTCAGGTGTAAGCTGCATTTTATTATTGTATTTGAGGTGAACCTCAGTTGGGCAGTTAAACATATGCTTTCAGACACTCATCACATGTTTTGTAGCTTATGTAAACTACAAATGAGACATCTCTGTGGAATGAAGTGGAGTAAAGCATACAATGTTTGCCTCTGAAATGTAGTGCTGGGAAAAAAAACATTGTGGGACACTACCAACACTGTCAGAGCTTCCTGAAAGTAGCAATAATCTCACTGTATCAGAGGTGATACAACCAATAGTGAAAATCACTGAAAGAGCCAAAATATAGGCTAGTTTCTTTTTTTATGGAAAGTATACATTACTCTCTTTTTTGTGTGTGTGTGCGTGTGTGCGTGCGTGTGTGTGTGCGTGCGTGCAGGACCGGCTGGCCTCTCTGGGTATCTCCTACGTTCTGAGCGTGAGCCGCTGCAGCCCCCAGCCCTCCTTCCTGCCTTGCTCCAGATATCTTCGCATCCCCATTGATGACTCCCTGTGGGACGACCTGCTGCCCTGGATCCCACAGGCTCTGCATTTCATCGGTCAGCACTCTCACTCACCATTCCACAGTATCCCTGCACAAACGACCACTACCTCAAGATGCCATTTAACAAGCTGATTACCTCCAATTTCTAATGCAAATACATCCAATACAGATAACAGTCCAGAGCGTGTGTGAATGTGCAAATATTGATCATATTGATGTTTTGAATGATAGTTAACTGTATGGTACTGTGTGGTGTACGTTCAGATGCAGCCATGTCCTCTGGGGCCTCTGTGTTGGTTCACTGTGCAGCGGGAATCTCTCGCTCCCCGGCTCTAGCTGTAGCCTACATCATGTACAGCTTGGGAATGGACCTGGACCACGCCTACAGGTAGGGCCGTTGGTACACCTTCATACTGCAGATGGCTCTGAGTTGTGCACTAATTCATCACATACGCATGCCAGTGTGAAGAACAGGCTTGTGAAAGTTCCATATTTTTATCCTGTACATTTGTTTTTTATTTTATATTATTAGGCAGGCCAAATCTGAAGACATGTAAACACATACATACACTAGGCCTATACAATTAGGCATACCTGTATTTACATAATGCTTAACCTCGTAAAGAAAAATGATAGAAATGATTAATTTAGCAGCTTCACATTTCTACTTCATAATTATGAAAGTAGTTTTGAAATGGCCACTGAATCTGTGGCTGCAATCTGAGGACCTGCGTAAGGAAGCAAAATGACTTTGCTGATCTTTAACACACGAATTTCCGCTGTTGATCAAAAGCGAGCCATCTTGACAGTGCTGACCTTTGAGAGGACGGAGAGTGAAAGAATCCAAAATAGAGACCGCTATGTAGCTAGTAATGGGCAATACCAAACCTTTTATTTTCAATACGGTACAGGTACTTTTTGTTAACGAAAACAATACTGATAATTTCTCATGATAAGTGGCATGGTATGTGATTTCTCAAAATAATGGTCCTTATTAGAAAAAAACCTAGATCATTATACTTAAAGGCAAATCACATGACACATATTGGTCACTAACAACACATTTATAACTAAAGGGAATATGAGTACAGTTAAATAAAAATGCTTGTGCTAATAAGTGTAAAAGTAGTGTAGTGTAATATAGATTTGGGAAGAAACACTCGGTTCTCATGTCACATATGTTTCCAGCTCTCATTGCCATTCATTGGCACAAACATCATACAAAAGTAGGGAAACGTTTGGAAGTGATGCAGACACGCACATTTTGTATTCATCATATTTCATATTATTACAGATATTTATTTTAAAGGAATCGATACCAAATCAGTGGCTTATGAGTATGTATTGAATATGTATTGATCTCGCAGTATCGATCTGCCCATCCCCAATCGTAGCTTATTAGCTTTGATACACCATCCCTTTTTATTGAAGCTCCTCTGTCCGAGTAGAAACTGCTCCACAACAGAGACCTTGTTAGCAGACGCAAACGGCACAATACGTTCACACACTTTATTCAAATGACAAAGTTGTACTATGGACTCCTGTCTCATTTGAATAAAGTGTGTGAACGTATTGTGTCGTTAGCAACTGAGCTAAAGTATTGAGCTAACAAGCTTGCTAAATGACTGCAAGCTCATTCTGACAGAGAGCTTTATTTTCCCTCTTGTACAATGAGGAACAATGCCTGGGGGGAACTAAACAGAGCTGTTGTGACTAGCACAAGAAACCCCAAAGTGCTAACCTGGGAGGCTAGTGAGTTAACAGTTAGTACAGTACTTGGTGAACTACAGTAGTTCACCAAGTAGCCCTACAAGTACAGTATAGCCACTATGTAGCAAAGCTTCTGGCCCAACCTAATTTGCATGGACGAGTGAATCACTTTACAGTAGAGTAAATGCTCCCTATTTGTATATCACCTTTCTATTCTTTTCAACCGCTCAAAGCACTTTTACAGTACATCTGCATTCACACACTGAGCCTAAGTGCTCAAACAGAAACTAACATTCACACACTGGTGGAACAGCCACCAGAGGCAATTCGGGGTTCAGTATCTTGCCTCAACATGCAGCCTGGAGGAGCCGGGGATTGAACCGCCGACAACAGAGCCCGACCGATATGGGTTTTTAGGGGCCAATGCTGATATTAAAGTGAAAAAGAGCCTCACATTTATATACATGTCTGCTTTAATCATCTCAGACATTACTGTAACTACAGACAAGTGGGTCACAGGTATTTTAAGAATATGTTATACGTACGCAAACACGGCATTAGCTTTGTGGTTAATTTAGCCATTTTAAACGGGCAGCGTTAGCTGCTGTAAGCGATGTTAGTGAATATTGAGAAGTGATGAACTAGTGTGTTCCATTTGACGTGGGAATTTCTGGCCAAGCGAGGTCTTCCGACTTGTTAATAGGAAAGTCGTCAACTCGGGTGTGACGTCAACAAAAGCAAACGTATCTCTGTCCTGCTACTGTATGACTGCACTGTACACCAGTGTATAATATCAACGAGAGTCCGTTTGTGATCTGACCCACATCCTGTCTGTCCCCTCATAAGGTTTGTGAAAGAGCGTCGGCCCTCCATTTCCCCAAACTTCAACTTCCTGGGTCAGCTGCAGCATTTTCAGGGCACTCTGAACCAGAAGGCCTCTGGTGGCGACCTCCTCACCCAGCAGCTGGACAATCGCCTGCCGTCCATCAATGACAGAGTTAACCACATACACACCAGTCAGAACATCAATTATCAGGCTGACAGCGTCACCAGCGACTCAGCAGAGGTCAAGCAGGCCCACAAAGAGAATTTCTACCACACAGACAAAACACAGCAGCGACACTCACATTCAGATGGAAGTGGAAACCTGTCGGGGAGACTTCGGACTCTACATTTGACTCTCAATCAAAACCAGCAGCATGTCCAGACTCCATGTGAGGTTCCAGCTCCAAGCCCCTGTGAGCCAGTCAGACCAGCAGCAAAGCCCACACAGCTACAACTCCCAGCAGGCCCTGCTTCTCTATTAGAGAAACGCAAAAGTCTCACCCTCTCTTTAACCCCTTTGGGAATCTGCCCTCCGTTCCCTGCAAGTGGCAGCCAGCAAGCAAGGGGCACCACCACGTCCAAAACTGTCCACAGTAGGGAGATGGGAGACAGGCCTGGGGCAAAGATGCAGAGTAACACTGGCTCCTGCCGGCAGGCAGAGGACACCCTCAGGGAGCAGAGCCCCTCCCACAGCAAGTGCAGCATAGCCGAGGTGAAGGAGCAAGGCCTGCTGTCGCCGTTCAGCTTCACTCTCAACAAGCTGCTTGGCTGGGGGGAGAGGGTGCTGCTGGGAGGGGTCTTTGTCCACCCTGTAAGGATGGGACAGCCTGCACTGCCACACAGGTGCTGAGGGGGTGGGGCATGGGGGGCTTGGTGTGTCTGTGCATGTTTGTCATAAGGAACCAAACCACACATGTGATTCATACATACAGGTCTGATTCTATTTATTTAATTATTTATTGCAGAGCTGAATATAAGAACTATACTTGACAATAAACCTCCACACAAATGCATCTTGTCTGTTACACATTGACACTGGGCAGCTTATCTGGTCATTTGTAAGATGCAGTTATTTTGAAAGACTTTAAAAGACTTTTGGCACAATGGCTTGAAATGTATTTACTGATGATTAAAGATGACATTTTAACCCTGTATCTTCGACCTATTTCTCAGTGGGAGGGCTTCAGTTTAGAGTGGGGCTTCTCAACAGTGTTGGTTGGTGTCTCTGTTTTAGCATATTATTTTTGTATATGGCTACAGTCTTCTGGTCATGGCAACCTTCACGTGGCTCTAAAATGGGCCCAATGTTGGCTAAAAGCAAGATGTTCCATCTCATCAGTAAAGTAAGGGTAATTCAGTATTTCAGACAACAATCAAGGCCGGATTGCAGAGCGAACAAAGTGAGCAACTACAGAACCCCTCGGGCTCCAGCAGGTCCAGGCTCACTGTGAGTGGTTTGTACTGATTTCATTATGTCCCATGACACGATGAGGGCTTTATGGATCCTGGTCCAGCAGCCCTGCATAGGGGCGTCCTGTCGGTTTATTTACGAATGAAACTGAGATGTCATTTTACCACTGGAAGGTGAGGGCTAACAGAGTTACAGAAGCAACATGTGTTGTGTGTTGTAAAGTAGTAGCCTTCTTTATCTCTGGTTGAACGAATATTCTGTTTCTATAGAATTAGTCATTTAAAGCATGCTGTTTTGATCTTCCTTTTTTAAGAAGGTAGCTGGTCATATTTATTTGGATTTACATGAGCTTTGTATTTCCATTATTAGGCTACCCAGTAGATTTATGAAAACCTGTGTAAAATTTAGCTTTGGTCGGGGGCCACGGATTTGACTCCCGAAATGCAGAGGGGGAGGAACAGGAGGCGCTAACAGGGGCCCAGCAGGTTAATCCGCCCATAACACTGATTTGTAAAGTGATTCCTCACTGATAACCTGCACATAAAATTCAATGAAAATGTCACATGTGATAAAAGTGAATTGCATTGTGCGTTCAGGGCAGTTATACACACTAATGCCTTCATGACAGCTCGTGGGCTGCAGGTGAACTAACTTTGTGGAAAGATTGCTGACAGACGCGGAGGAATGTGTGGCCCCGGGCTGCAGATTTCCAGCTCTGCACGGTTGGATTCAGACACAATGGCGCGGTGAAAGTTCCCTCTGAACAAGTTTTGTCTTATTAACCGCCTGTTGTGAAGTTCCATGTTCTTATTCCAGCTAACACACTGGAGCCAGTGAAAGCAACGGCCCAGCATCGGTTTAATAACGAATAACTCGTTATAAATTAAGCGTACAGTGTAATAGTTCGGGGCCTCGTGCCGCTTCTACATCCTGTGCGAGCCAGAGGGCTGAAATGATGTCACGCATACTCCAAATGACCAAATAAGGAAACTGACGCACGAAAGTGGAATTTGTTCTGGTCAGTTTTCAGGCTGAAGTGTGCCTGTGCGCCCGCTCTGAGAGCTGCTTTACTTTCTAGGAGAAAGAGGAAGCAGATCCGCCCTCAGAAGCTGTCTGAAGGCCGAAGAGAGAAAAGAAGCGAGCGACACAGCCCGCATCGACCCGCAAACTAACGCAGAGGCTCGGAGCTCCTCAGTTGTTGTATCGTCGGATGGACGGCGGGACTGCGGCGGGACTCCGGATCTCAGGTGTGGCGCTGAACGCGGCGGCTGTGTGTTGTAGAAAATGCGCTTCATGTGAAGAAGTTTGAGTTTGAAGCTGCAGCGGCCAGGTCCTCCATGCTGGTGTCTTCTGCTAACATCAACGTGAACGGGCGGAGTTTCTCGACTACTTTGCTTCGGAGTTTGGTTTGACTTTAGCTGCTGGTGGCGGAACTGAGACGGGACTCAGGCCCTGGAAGGTTTTTGATCAGGACAGAGCCCAGTTCAAAACCAGGATGAGCGGAGACGAGGAAAGATTCAAACTGGTGGTGGTGGGAGGAGGAGGGGTGGGGAAGAGCGCCCTGACCATCCAGTTCATCCAGGTACGGACCCGATCTGTAGCCTACTGACCACGGACACAGAGCCTCAGCACTCTGTTGCATGTAGGCCTATCATTGTTTATTTCCATAACTAACTAATAACACAGGCCTATTAGTTAGCGCTGTTAGAAAGCGTTTCTAAGCTGTAAAGAGTGCCTTTGTCACGGGTTAATAAATCACTCACTAATGCTGCTGGATATTAAAATGAAAACATCTCTCCGGCTGGTGAGTCATTAGTAGTCAAGGCAGTCATCCGGAAAGTGTCACAGGTTTCTCACTTTCTCATGAGCCAAAGTTATTAGCTAAATGTAAGTAACAATGAGAGCCTTCAGGCCTTTAATCGTAGCCAACATGTGAATAATTATTATTATTATAATTACTATTCGATTATTTGATCCAGATTCTCTGCAGCTCTTTCTAGAAGGTAAGCGGTCAAACAGTGCACTGTTTAGTGTGCCTGCTGAACTTAGGAGCTAAAAACTTCAAAGCAAAGTGTGAGGAGGATTTTTCACAACCTGGCAACCCCAAATCGTTGTTCACATCCATGGCCTATTACTGATCTATAAAGCAGAGATTCATAAAGCCATTAATTTCAACCTTTAAACCCTTCATAAAGATTGCAGCAATTGTGTAGGCCGATAGGATTACCTTTGCATTCCCATCCTGTAGCCTGTGAAAATCAACTTGAAATGTTAGCAGTAGGTAGGCCTGTTCCCTCACGGTGACCGTCACCTCTTTTTATTTATTGGAACTACGCAGTAACAAGTTTTGACAAATGTGAGCATGCAGGCGTGATGTTCCTCTGAACCGTCGAAACGCTCGGTGCAGCACAGGTCAGTACGTTCACTTGTTAATGATCAGTTTTCCTTCATGCCTCTAATTGTCTGGCTGGATTGCCTCAATGCAATACACACGAAAGTCCAGCTACAAGCAAGACAAGTCAAAGCATCAGAGCTATAAAAGCAATAAAACATGTTCAAAATTCATTAAGGATGGCGTAGAAAATGTCAGCAGTAAGCTTTGGGCGGTACCACGGTGTATCAGGGTATTTAGAAATCCTAAAAGTATGACTTTCAATGCCGTCAAAACAGACGCTCCTCTTTCTACTAAACTGCTACAGAGATGGTGTATGGATACACACACACACACACACACAGGAGCTTCAGCTGCAGCTGCAGCCTTTCTTCTCCGACAGACTGTAACCTACACTGTACATTTACTGCTGAACTTCCCCGCTCAACTTTTGCTCTGCTCCGCTGCATTCACCTGCCGCTCGCTCTCTCTCGCTCAGCCTCATGAATAGTGAACAAGACAATTGACTCTTCTGCTGTTTGGGAATTTGGGTTTAGCCCACTGATGTGTCGGTATCCACAGTGTCAACAACTCCGGCAAGAATCTTTGGAAGAAAGCGCTTATTTCCTATCGGTTCATTATTCTGTGGGCCATAAGCATTTAAACCCAGCGTGACTTGTCTGAGCAGGCTACATGCTATACATGCTACTATGAATTCTATCACCACACTTGCCAAGCCTCACGATTTACACGGGAGACTCCACTCCTGGGGTTAATTCTTCAGATTTCCCGTATTTCTCCGATTTACAAGCAGTAGCAGTATTTGGCCATTTAACATACATATTTTATTTGTGTGGTGTTTTAAGAGTGTAGGCTCATTTCATCAGCAATGCACTACCAACTAACCGTGGCTGGTCAGATAAATGACCATTGCAGTTTTAGTACTTGATTACAGATCTCAAAAAAACTTTGTTGTCACTGGCCACGTTTTCTTTTGAATGCGGTTTTTCTACCCTCGAGGCGTCCGTTGCTTCAGAAAGCCACGGTTAGCTGATGTTTGTGGCAGAAGCAAGTTCACGTCAGCTACAGAGATAGGGATTTTGCTGTCAAAGCCAAAAAACAGCTGAGCTACAACTCTGTTTTGGACACTACAGTAAAGGCGAAAGTCCTGTTACAGGCAGTAACAAGTCTTCACATTAGAGGAACAATACCACACTGTTTGTAAAATCTGTGCAGACAAATGTAGTGGAGTAAAAAGTACAATAACTGCCTGTGAAATGTGTTGAGTAAATGAAATTAGTTATGATCCACCTCGCACAGACCTATCTTACTGCAGGATTTTGTAGCACTCCTGAATGATTGTACGGCATCTTTTCTATTCCCACAGTCCTACTTTGTGTCAGACTACGACCCCACCATCGAAGACTCCTACACCAAGATCTGTACCGTGGACGGAAAGGAGACCCGGCTTGACAGTAAGGCCCCGTCACACTGGACATGAATCCGTGCTTCATGCTGTTTGTAAGAGTGATTGCAGGGTGTGTGGAAGGCTTTGTTTGAAAGCAGAGGGTGTGTTTCACCCTGATGTGATATGACACAGGCAGTGTGTTTGCTCTCTGGATGTTTCATTCCCTTGTTAGGACTTGTACTTGGCCAGTGTTGCTGCATGGAGTCAGGCTGTGGGCCACACTGCTGTTTCACCACACAGTAATATGTGAATCATCAGATGTATACAGATGAACACTGCAGAGCTGCTGTTTGTCTGGCTCTCTTTATCTGTTTCCACTTGTGTTTACAGGACTGGAGATCTGACTCCGGTTTTAGAATCTCCTCTGTTTCCTTAGCAAACACTACTGAAGACCCCATGAGACAGATGATATTTAAGCTTCTCTGTGAACAGAGGCAGCAGGAAGTCATTATCTCTAAAGGATTTGATTTGGATATTTGGAGCGCTTATTATGTCTCCCAGTGTCTTCACAGATGTTGCAACAACACATGTTGCTGTGGGTGGTGTAAAGGGAGGGCCCTGCACATTATTACACACAAGTGCTCCGTCTAGTCACTGGCTCATGCAGCGTTACATTACATTGTATTCAATCCCTGGAAAAACCCAGATGGTTGTTAAAGAAAACTTTCTGTTTTAAATGCAAGATTTATAACTCGTTTCTTAAGTTGTGACTCTGTTTCCTAATCCAATCAAAGACGGTATCTTGAAATCTCACTGACTGATCTGTACGACATGAACCAAAATCTGAAAGTTTTATTATCATTGTTTTGTCTATATTAGCGTTTCTTTCCATTATTTATTATCCTGGCATACAGTTAAGTATCTTTTGGATCAGCAAATAGAGTTCCAACTTATAAAGCTCATCACAAAGAATTTTTATTGAGCAGATGTGTTTTTATCCAGATTCGACCATATGGGGTTTAGACAGCTCTTCAGAGGTCAAGCAGGTCAAGGTCAACGGCTTGATCACCCGCTCCTTCAGTCTGTGTGTTGAAGTGTCCTTGGGCAAGATACTGAACCCAAAATGCTCCCGATGGCTGTGCCATTGGTGTGTGAGTGTGTGAGTGTGTGTGTGTGAATGATTAGTTTCTGTTTCTGTTGAGCAGCTGGCACATTGCATGGCAGCCTCTGCCATCACTGTATGAATGTGTGTGATTGGGTGAATGTGACATGTAGGGTCGAGCGCTTGGAGTGGTTGCAAGACTACAAAGGTGCTATACAAGAACAAATCGTTTACCGTTAATCATGCAGAAAAAACAGACGCTTAGCTTAGTGGCACGATTGTAATGATAAAACGCAAGAGACACAAACTGGGGCTTCCCTCCACCCACGCATCTTAACAGTACAGTCAGGACACCTTCATCTTCCAACCATGTCGATGTTTCAGCACAACCATTATAAACATGAACCAACACCAATAACCACATCTTAACATAACTAGCAAATGCTGTTTCCTACATCATTCCTGTGTTCCAGCTTTGTCTGTTAAGGGCTGGTCATGACAGGCAAGGTACTGCATTTTAATAAAATGTGTGTGTGTGTGTCTCAGTCTTGGATACAGCAGGTCAGGAGGAGTTTGGGGCGATGAGGGAGCAGTACATGCGCTCAGGAGAAGGCTTCTTACTGGTGTTTGCGCTCAACGACCGGGGCAGGTAATGGAAAGTGTGGGTGTCTGTGTGTGTGCGTAACTTTCACTTACAGATGGGTGCTTCTAGCTTAACATGTTCCTCAGAGATGGACACAGGTTGCTGAATGGTTCCTGTGTTATGACGGTCTGTCTTCCTGCTAAAGAGGAAGTGCAGCGAGCTGGTGGTGAGACTGACGTGAGGACTCGCTGTCCAGCTGTTATTTACACAGGGAGTGCACTCAGTATCAAGGATATCTGCACATTTGAGTGCATTCTGTTACAACAAAACCACAAACTCGTTTAATGCACATGTCTCACACACACACTCTAAAAGTATGTGAGAAAATAGTCTGTGTTGCAAAACATTTGCTGGGGGATTGGTAGGTTGTGTCAACCCCTGTTCTGTGTAGCTTTTGAAGTTTTCATGTGGTTTGCAGCTGAGCTGAATGTAAACCAGTATATTTTCCGGCTGTATTAACGGGGTCTGTCAGTTCATTAAATAAAGACCCTGCGCTTCACCACGCCAAAGCTCTGTGGTTAGTCGTTCACACCTACACAAATATTCATCTATACGGCACAGTCTTGAGTTGGCATTGGCAGTATTGTGTTGGCATTGGCAATATTTTCTCTTGTGTCAACGGAGTGGGGGTTTTCAGACAGTAGTGACTTTTGTAATTCCTGTGCACATGTAAACATACCCAGACATGACTAACTGAAGGAGACCTGTTTAATGACTGGGTCAACATCGGTTTTGGGAAGATTTGATTGGTTGTTATTGTTTCTGTTTCCTGTACATGCACTGTGTTCTTTCCTGTAAATCCGAATCGTTGATTGTTGACACTGTGACTGCTCTCTCCTCCCAACAGCTACCATGAGGTCCAGAAATTCCACACCCAGATCCTGAGAGTGAAGGACCGAGATGACTTCCCCATGGTACTGGTTGGTAACAAGGCTGACTTGGAACAGCAGAGAGTGGTAAGTAACACCCTCATGCATCCATATGGTGTCAGGTAGCTTTCCCATTGTTCCTGGAATATGGTGGAGTGCAGACATATACCATGCAACTTCCATTAAAAGCCTAGTCTCAGTTAGAAGCCTGTCCCTTTTACTGGCCTGTGTGGCTACATGTTTTGACAAATAAACACTGGTCTCAATTAGAAGCCCGGTCTGGTTTTTATAGAAGTTCTTTGGATGTATAAAACCTTTTGGAGGCCACCGTGTCACCTGCTTGAGGTAGTTCTGCTTAGATTGTGCATACCAATATAAATGTTTAAACTTTTGTCAGTATGGACATGCTACACATTGGTTTCATTCTCCACAATTCAATCATTTTACAGAAACAATGAGCACCAAAGTATAATTCCTTCAGATTTACCGTACCGCACTATACCCTTCCGCCTGTCCCAAATAGAGGCAGGGTGAGTTCAGTGATTTAAGCAAATAAATGCCCGGGCTGGGAAGTTTTACTGTATAGTCAAATTGACAACACCAATTTATCTGCATATATCATGCAAAGGAACAGAAACCTTTTACTTGGTGGCTGTGGCTCAGGAGGTAGAGCAAGCCATCCACTACTCAGAAGGTCTGTGGTTCAATCCCCAGCTTGTTGAAGTGTCTTTGAGCAAGATACTGAGCTCCCAATGGTTCCTGATGTGTGTGTTGGTTCCTCTCTAGTCTGCCATCAGTGTTTGAAGGTGAATGCGATCACTCAAAGCGGAATACCAGAAAGGCGCTATACAAGTACAGACCGTTTACCATTTATTACAGCCCAAGCACAAAATGTGTTGAAATGGAAGGATTTTTTTTCTCTCCTATGGGCATGGATGTAGCAAAAATGGCTCCATAGCGCCACCTACAAAATTTAAACCAAGGAGTACATGTATCATCCCAAGACACAAAAAAGACCGGCAGTCAGCCATTTTGAATTGAAAGTGCAATTTTTGCTATTTACAGGATCTGTACTTTAACAAACTCCTCCTACATAATTAACTATATCAACTTCAAATTTTCACAGTGCAATCTAAACCCTTTGGCAATAAAAGGTTCACTGAAGGGTGTGTCCGTGGGATGGCGTGGATGTTTCTCCAGGAAACAGGAAGTTGTTGTAACTTTAGTGTACGTGCTCAAATCTGTACCAAACTTTACTTGTTTAATAAGGGTCCCGCCACTCTTAATATTCAGTCGTATTCATAGCGCCACCTACTGGCAAAAGGAATTGACAAGTTTCATGTTGTGATATAATACTATTGGCAGGTTGACCACAACCACTTCACATTTGGCGAGAAAAGCCTTAACACATAGATGATTCTTTGTGAAGCTTTTCATTAAAAGTTGTTGTAACTTGAGTATCCATTATCCAATCTGCCCCCATCTTCACATGTAAGACTCAAGGCCCGACAACCGCTACATGCCCCTCAAGCCAAGTATCATTACCACAGCCATCACCGAGTGTGTGCCTAAACTAAAGATATTGATTGCATTGATATGCATGTCGACCGGTTAACCCTACAACTGCGGACATCGGCCGTGCTAGCAGACAGGGTTAACCTCCTTTGGTTGCTGTGCATTACCACCACCACTCCACTAGATGGCGTTGTAGCAAAAGAACTGCGGTCCCAGGATTGCGGGGCTCCTGAAACTGCAGCTACATAATATTGACGTTGTGGGCCACACTTGTAGAAGTGGGAGGTACCGTATGATTTGTGGGTGTTCTCTAGCGCCACATAGGGGACACAGGAAGTGACGTTCAACTCTTTTGTGCAGTGTCCAAAACACTTGTAAATTCAGAGCCATGTCAACCGACCTACGGTACATGCGCTGCAGCACGCCCCGACCAGTGTGAAGGTGCAATTCATCGCAGCTGGCAGCTTTCATTTTAGCTATATGGTTTTTTTTGTAGAGGGAAGCGAACCCAGTTTCAGACATATGCTCCTACATTTGTTATTGAAAGCTTTTATCTTCTGTCTGGGCTAATCTCAAAATACAGTAACATACAGGTCATTGTATGCTTTTTCTGCAGATCTCCAGGGAGGATGCTCAGGCGTTTGCCAGAGAGAACAGGATCCACTACATGGAGTCTTCGGCCAAGAATCGCTATAACGTGGATGAGGTCTTCTTGGAGCTAGTGCAAATTATCAGGTATAGTTCTTATTTAGTTTACCTAAATTTAGTTACAGGAGGAGGAGAACAGGGAGACAGACAGCACAGGAGGAGGAGAACAGGGAGTCAGAGGAGAACAGGGAGACAGACAGCACAGGAGGAGGAGAACAGGGAGACAGACAGCACAGGAGGAGGAGAACAGGGAGACAGACAGCACAGGAGGAGGAGAACAGGGAGACAGACAGCACAGGAGGAGGAGAACAGGGAGACAGACAACACAGGAGGAGGAGAACAGGGAGTCAGAGGAGAACAGGGAGACAGACGGCACAGGAGGAGGAGAACAGGGAGACAGACGGCACAGGAGGAGGAGAACAGGGAGACAGAGGAGAAGAGGGAGACAGACAGCACAGGAGGAGGAGAACAGGGAGACAGACAGCACAGGAGGAGGAGGAGAACAGGGAGACAGACAGCACAGGAGGAGGAGAACAGGGAGGCAGAGGAGAAGAGGGAGACAGCCAGCACAGGAGGAGGAGAACAGGGAGACAGACAACACAGGAGGAGGAGAACAGGGAGGCAGAGGAGAAGAGGGAGACAGCCAGCACAGGAGGAGGAGAACAGGGAGGCAGCCAGCACAGGAGGAGGAGAACAGGGAGACAGACAGCACAGGAGGAGGAGAACAGGGAGACAGACAGCACAGGAGGAGGAGAACAGGGAGACAGACAGCACAGGAGGAGGAGAACAGGGAGACAGACAACACAGGAGGAGGAGAACAGGGAGGCAGAGGAGAAGAGGGAGACAGCCAGCACAGGAGGAGGAGAACAGGGAGACAGACGGCACAGGAGGAGGAGAACAGGGAGACAGACGGCACAGGAGGAGGAGAACAGGGAGACAGACGGCACAGGAGGAGGAGAACAGGGAGACAGAGGAGAAGAGGGAGACAGACGGCACAGGAGGAGGAGAAGAGGGAGACAGACGGCACAGGAGGAGGAGAACAGGGAGACAGACGGCACAGGAGGAGGAGAACAGGGAGACAGAGGAGAAGAGGGAGACAGACAACACAGGAGGAGGAGAAGAGGGAGTCAGAGGAGAAGAGGGAGACAGACAACACAGGAGGAGGAGAACAGGGAGTCAGAGGAGAAGAGGGAGACAGACAACACAGGAGGAGGAGAACAGGGAGACAGCCAGCACAGGAGGAGGAGAACAGGGAGACAGACAGCACAGGAGGAGGAGAACAGGGAGACAGGGAGGCAGACGGCACAGGAGGAGGAGAACAGGAAACAGGGAGGCAGACGGCACAGGAGGAGTAGAACAGGGAGACAGACGGCACAGGAGGAGGAGAACAGGGAGACAGACGGCACAGGAGGAGGAGAAGAGGGAGGCAGACAGCACAGGAGGAGGAGAACAGGGAACAGGGAGGCAGACAGCACAGGAGGAGAACAGGGAACAGGGAGGCAGACAGAGCACAGGAGGAGGAGAACAGGGAGGCAGACAGCACAGGAGGAGGAGAAGAGGGAGACAGAGGAGAACAGGGAGGCAGACAGCACAGGAGGAGGAGAAGAGGGAGACAGAGGAGAAGAGGGAGACAGACAACACAGGAGGAGGAGAACAGGGAGACAGACAACACAGGAGGAGGAGAAAAGGGAGACAGACGGCACAGGAGGAGGAGAACAGGGAGACAGACGGCACAGGATGAGGACAACAGGGAGACAGACGGCACAGGAGGAGGAGAACAGGGAGACAGACGGCACAGGAGGAGGAGAACAGGGAGACAGACGGCACAGGAGGAGGAGAACAGGGAACAGGGAGACAGACAGCACAGGAGGAGAACAGGGAGACAGACGGCACAGGAGGAGGAGAACAGGGAGACAGACGGCACAGGAGGAGGAGAACAGGGAGACAGACGGCACAGGAGGAGGAGAACAGGGAGACAGACGGCACAGGAGGAGGAGAACAGGGAGGCAGACAGCACAGGAGGAGGAGGAGAACAGGGAGGCAGACAGCACAGGAGGAGGAGGAGAACAGGGAGGCAGACAGCACAGGAGGAGGAGAACAGGGAGGCAGACAGCACAGGAGGAGGAGAAAAGGGAGACAGAGCACAGGAGGAGGAGAACAGGGAGACAGACAGCACAGGAGGAGGAGAACAGGGAGACAGACAGCACAGGAGGAGGAGAACAGGGAGACAGACAGCACAGGAGGAGGAGAACAGGGAGACAGACAGCACAGGAGGAGGAGAACAGGGAGGCAGACAGCACAGGAGGAGGAGAAAAGGGAGACAGAGCACAGGAGGAGGAGAACAGGGAACAGGGAGGCAGACAGAGCACAGGAGGAGGAGAACAGGGAACAGGGAGGCAGACAGAGCACAGGAGGAGGAGAACAGGGAGACAGACAGCACAGGAGGAGGAGAACAGGGAGACAGACAGCACAGGAGGAGGAGAACAGGGAGACAGACAGCACAGGAGGAGAACGGGGAGACAGACAGCACAGGAGGAGGAGAACAGGGAGAAAGACAGCACAGGAGGAGAACGGGGAGACACAGGAGGAGTGGTAGAGAACATAGGCCTAGTTGGAACAGACTTTGTGATGATGAGAAGATGGTTTTGTTCATCATCTCCTTGCGAACTCGATCATGAACTTTCTGTTTGTCCTCTTCTTCATCATCCACAGAAGGTTTCAGGAGATGGAGTGTCCTCCTCCTCAGGCTCAGCACACAGGCAAAAAGAAGAGTGGTGGCTGTCCCTGTGTCCTCCTCTAAGTACTGTTACCATGGACACCAAAGCCTCGTCTTTCTACAGCTTGTCCAAAAAGGAGTGTGTGTAAATGTGTGTGTGTGTGTGAGAGAGAGAGAGAGAGAGAGAGGGTGCATCATTATTTTCCAAATGGTTTAATTTGCACTTTTGCCAAAAAGCATCTTTTAAATCAGTATAATCTTTTATTTTATTTTAACAAGAGGATCTGAAGGGAGAGGTACCAGCAGCAGCAGTTAGTTAGTTTGGTGGAGAAACAGGAAGTCAGTACTGTGGGCAGGGTACTAGTGACACGGAGTGTCCACAATTAGAAATATCATCACACTGTCTCTTGTTGTAGAAATGACCAAACTGCTGTTAGAACAGACAGGTACAGATGTCAGCAGTGATGTCATCACCACACAGCTGACTGTGTAAGGGATATCACCCGAACAAATTTCTATGAATACTATGTCTTTAATGTACAAAAATGTGCATGTAACATTTCTACTTGGCACGCACGCCCACAGACAAGACACAGCGTCCATGTGCTGTCATGTTCCAGGCCTCCTGCAGGGGGCAGCAGAGCCGAGGAAACGTAGCAGCAGTTCCAGACTGTAGTTGTGTTTCCAGCCGCTGTGTTTGTCTTTTGTTGCCTCCTCCCCATCTTTCCACTTGTGTTGCTATAATGAGACAGAATACTGAAAACATTAAAAACCAGGTGAATTCAAGGGCCTGATCAGATTGTACATGATCCAGATCAGACTGTTTCAGTACGGGAACTCCTGGTGCCTTGGTCTCTCACAGCCTACACTAGCTGGATGAGGAAGTGTATAAATTGGATAAATGTCAGGTTACATGAGATCATGACAGAAGAATGTGTTTCTGTGTTTGCACATTTCAACATTTGACACAAATACGCCCTCAGTGTTCTTTGGTGGACTGCTACTAATTTCCCATTCATTTAGTTTTTACACCCGCATCATCAATGTGTAAAGATGTTTGGTCAGAAATCAACACTGACCACAAAGACAACACAGTTGTAATGAACTGCTAGCAGGTTAAAGTTCATTCTTACAAAATAATCAAGCTCAAGGTTCACTTACTAGCTTTCTCCAGAGCTATCAACTGCTTCGAATTGTCTTCATGGGGAATTCAAGTTGTTGAGAAGGTTCACTTGTCATCACATGACCTAAGTGTGGAACTTCATTCACATAATGGCAGGGGGTCATATGGGTGGAGATGGAAAACCCTGCCTCTCTTCTAAGATGGCCTCTGGTGTCAGACCTGAATGATCTCTGACTCCTGCTCAATGTCCTCTGGTCTCTCATCCAGGCTCCTTGTGTTCCCCACAGCTGTTGCACGTTGGTCCTGACTTTAGGGTGTAGCAGCAGATCTTAAGATGATGAGTGGATGGAGGTGCTGGCTCTGTGAGACTTGGAGCCTCTGGTTAGATGTTCTGCTTCTGCGGGTCCCTGGTCACCATATATGACCTGTTGCCAAGTGACTGCGTTTTTCAACGAAGCCATCTGCATGACAACTGAGCAAGTGTTATTTACTAACGAAGACAGGGATATGAGGTTGAAACTTGCTGAAAAGCTAATAAGAGGGCTTTAAGTTAAGACTGTGGGCGGGAAGATGTGTTTTTTCAGTCTTGATGGTGTGTAATATTCTAGTATTTTCCAACATATCACATTTGAGATTTTTATTCCCTGTATTCCTGGAATACAGGGTGTGTTTGTTTGTTCTTTTTTCCCACTATTATTTCATTTGGACTCCGAGGTGCAGCCTAACTTTACAGACTTGTGAGATCTATGCCCCCACCCCTGCTCCCAATGCAGTAGCCCCAACCAACCAGTAGAGGTCACTATTGCAGCCACAGAGATGAGCAACCGGCAGTCCTCCCCATCTTGCCATACACAGATCTTTGCCAATTGCACATCCAGACAAGATGATCCAGGGCCTGTGGTGTCATGTCCTGTGATCTTCAATTGGTAGTGCAACAATCAAAAAAAAAACCCAATCCAATTCACATCTTCACGCACCTTCTTCATTGCTTTTTATTTGCATTGGAGGATTAACTCAAGATGATGCACACAAGAAAAAAAAAATCTCAGTATTTTTTCAAATCCAGTTTGATATGTGACCTTTGTAATGCTTCGGGCTGTTTGGTTTCTCTTCTTTTTCTTTTTCATGAGAATTCCTATTTATATCTACCTTACCTATTCACATCATCAGTTTTATATTGAAATAAAAGTCAAACCCTTTTATACATGATTAAAACATTTACTCAAACTTGTCTTTCTGTTGTGTCCTCTTATTTTTTCTGACTCAGCTTTGAGAAATGTTTTAGGGCCTTAGGGATGATCTAAAATCCTTATATTTGGATTTTGTTGTCTCCGTGAATGGCTTTGGGAAAAAGATCATACGTTATACATCTGAAGGTGTTAGTTTGGTCATATGAGAGACTATGCCCTGATGTGTACACTGTGTATGGTGACACTGCACCATTCTGGAAGTTGCAATTCAAAAAAATTAAATGTATGTTTTGTGCTAACTGGAAACCAACAGGTGCTAGTCAATGTAAAATAGTATCTGTCTCCCTGTTCTCCTCCATGTTAGTGGAGGAGTTGAGGAAGAGACACAAGGAGAGAGAAGTCGAGGCAACAGGCATTAAAGGAAATGAGACATTCAGAGCCCTCATTTTAAAGCAACGTCAATTAAATATGACATGTGGCACAGGTGCATCACCTGCCCATGTTCTGTTCCAGCCTATGATCTCTGTCAGAGGATCAGCTGTCGGCACCAAAACACAAAGGCTCCAGATCATTTCCTCACAATCCACAAACATGTCTGCCAACATTATGACATGGAGACACATGTCAAGGTCGCAGTAAACATTATAAGGTATGTTGAGAGCAACAATATGGTCACAACTGAAATTATAAACTTGACAGAACATAGCTACGCACCAGAGGAAACACTTAAACGTTTAACTCTGATGGAGCTCAGGACTGATCAGGAGGACGGCTGCTTTAGGCCAAACAGTTTCACTGTATGAACCTGGACTGTGTAGAAGAACACTAACCTAATTAACATTAGGCTAATTAACTTTAGATGTGTCGGCGTGTCCCGCTGACAAATTTAAATAACTGATGAAGTTACGCTGCTGTGTGTCGTGCGTAAATGGGCACAGCGTCACCTCACCCTATTCCACCCACCCGCTATTAATCCAAATGGTAATTTTTAAGACCGTGCATCACTGGCCTATAGCTTATATTTAGCTATCGATCAAAACATTATATAGGCTAACAGCATATAAAGGTTCAATGTCATTAAGGAATGCGATCATCTTAAAAAACCTATGAATCGCTGTAGAGCCCTGCTCCCGTCATGGGCCGTGTCACGCCTCTTTTAAACGTCACAGGTGCAGAAAAGGCTTCCGCAAAGGATCCACCGGTGCATCCTCCGCCAAGCCCCCTCTCCTCTCTCCTCGAGATGCATTTGTGGAATTGAGACGTCCTTCAAGATGACGTGCTGAGATCGATATCCGGGTCACATGCAGGAGGACGGAGGATCGAGGAGGCACAAAGTAGAGAAACGAAAAGAGCCCGGAGAGCGTCCCCGTAACCATAGTAACCCGAGCTGTGCGCGAGGGGAGGGAGAGAACTGACTGAGATTACTGTGAGCAGCATGGGGAGTGTATGGAGCTAGAATTGTGTCTTTATTACATGCGAGAAAATAAATGATCTGAGAGAAGAAGTTATCACACTGATAGCAAAAAAGCATTTCATGAGAGAAAAAAATAATATTTGTTCGGTTCACCTAGTAGGATGCATCTATTTAGGTGAACCGAACAATGGTGTAATGATTCAGTTGGACTCCCAAGAAAAGATGATGCTCACCCGACTGGCCAGTAGGAACGTGGCCCCGCCCATGACACATTTTACACAGCGAAAGCAAAATCCTGACACAAGAGCAAGAAATTGCATGAGAGAAAAGAAAAGCGTTTTGAGAGAGACCCTTTTTTTTTACACTGATAGCAAAAAATATATTTGAGAAGTAATATAATTTTAAAGTATTTTGAGAGAGATTTTTTTTTCTCAGAAATAATTTATAAAAATTTAAAATTTATATTTTTTTTATGTTCTATGAGAAAATACTGAGAAATAATTTTTTGCTATTGGTATGAAAACTTTTTCACTCAAATATTCTTTTTTCTCTCATGAAATGCTTTTTTGCTATCAATGTGATAACTTTTTCTCAATTCTAGCTCCATAGGTTAGTTATAGTGGCCTAATTAATAGACGATCATTTTTCTGCAGAGTTCATAGCTTTCTCTGTACTAAACGCCAGAGCCGTTAAGCCGATCAGAAATTCAAATGTGTTGTTTCCGGGTAAATTCTGTGATCCCGCTGCAAGCACGTTCCTTACTAACATGGATGCGCGTGCACACACGGAGTGAGTGGAAGTTGGAAGCGCAAGAACCGATGGATGCGGTAACTGTAGGTGCCGAATCTTTTTTTTCTTGGAAGAAATCACTTGCCTGTGATCAAAGAGCAGCTGATGTTGTATAGTTATAGTATATGTTGTAGTATCCTGTAGCCAAATTCATGCTAAATGATTACTGACGCAGACAAAAACTCTCCAACCTCTTACAACCAGAAGCTTTGGCTTTTTCACCCAGTGGTGAACAAAAAGTTACTTAGGCATATTCAGATCCTTTTTTCTTTTTCTTTTAATAAAAGTGCTAATAGGCCTACCTCGCTGTAAAAATACTCAAGTAGGCCTACTGCATTGAAAAAGTTAAGTAAAAGTATGTTATTAGGCTATAAGCAGGAAAATGTAGAAAATGTAAAAGTAGCCTACTCAAAGCAGAAAGAAAAATGTCCCATATGACTGTTTACTACTAATACTATTAGCCTATATATCATATCATTAGATTATTATTCCTTATGCATGAATGAAGTTGGTTGTGGTTTAACTACTTTTATCAGGCTATTAATGAATATTTTTAGCATTAATCAGCTGATTATTTTCTCCATTAATTGTAATAAATTCTGAAAATAGTGTGAGCCCTGCGTGACACCTTGCATGCTTATTTTGTCAGTCCAAACCTCAAAATCAATAATAATACATTAAAATAATAAAAAGTTAAAGCAGCAAATCTTCAGGTTTGTAAAGCTGGAACCATGAAATGTTCTTACATGAAAAATGACTAAGAGATGCCAATTCAGTTTCTGTCAATTAGCCTGATGTAGTTCTACTAGCTAGACTTGTATAAGCTGTTAAGTAATTAAAATTATATAAAAACATCATATTTAAACTCTCTCAAAGCCTATTTCTTAAAGTAACTAGTAATTGAAGGGCAAGTTCTGCAATACTACAGGAGGCCTATGTGTACCTATACATTGAGCACTGCTGTTCATTGGGCTCATTTGGGGCCAAATCTCTTTTTATTTTTGATTGGCTATATTTGTTTTTTTGAAATATAAGTAGGCCTATCAATTGTCTTTTATCAGATTTACCTATTTTTATAATTTCTATTTATTCGGGTCAATTATAAACTATAGGTCAAATTTAACTGTTAGTAAAAACTTGAGAGAATTGGCTGGGGCCGCTGCTGCAAATATTTGAGTGGCTCCTCCTCTAACACGTGTTATCTCACTCCAAACTTGGTTGTGTGCGTGATACAGTCAACACCTCAAATAAAGTGTTTGAACAAACCCAGCTTCATTATTCAGTACACCGCTTTCGTTTTAGTAGCTAATGAACTGGCAACTGAGTGTACACACATACACACACACACACACGCACACGCACACGCACACACACACACGCACACACACACACACACACACACACACACAACTGGTGGACAGAATAAGGAAGCAAAGACAGCAGTGTGTACAGTTGGACAGGCAGACAGGCAGGTTGGTGGTGGTTCCTCCCTCCAGCTGTATGTTGTCCAACAGGTTTGTGACGAGACGTTTCTCTCAGGTAACAAGCATTTAATGGCCTGGCGGTTTCACCACTGAACTCAGCATAAACAACGTCAGTTTCAGGTAATACTGGTGCCTCCGTGTTTCTGAAACTCCGGAAGAAGTGTCGTTCTCTCCTGGACTCACACGGAGCAGACTGCAGCCAGGTGAGGGGGCCACAGCTTTGGACTGGACAGGTGAGTTCTGGAGACTCTTCCTCAACATCCTCATGTTGGCGTCCTCCCCACAGAAACTCTTCCTTGTCATTTCCCGTGTAGTGTTCTTGCTTCAATGGCAGCCTTGTCAGCGGTCTGGATTGTCGTGCTGTCCCTGCAGAAGCTGGCCCACTGCTCGGTCGCCTACAGAGGAGCTCCAGGTAAACCACACCACTTGTCACGCACAGTCGGTCACTTTAAACACACAACATTTTAAACTGTAAATATACCAACCATTTTATTTGAATTCATTTTATGTGTCGTGTTTCTAAAATAAATGTATCTATTAAAGGCTCACCTCCTGCCCCAGTGCATGTTCTACCACTCTGAGGTTATACCTGTTATGACATTCAGGATGGTATATTAAGTTTATATCAGCATTGTTTTTCAAGCATTGGCAGCCACAAGCTAAGGTCAAGAGTAGTTTAGTTCAACTTTCACAAGTTTGTTTGAACTGTGAACTATTTTAGCTAATGCAGGGCCGGTCCTGACAGTGTTGGAGCCCCAGGCGAGATTTGAAATTGCCCCCCCACCCCCTCAGCAACAGCATTGGTTTGGTTTCAACAGTGGAGAGGACAAATTGGGGGGACCTCCATCCAAACATTTTAAGCCTTAAAATCTTCATTTACTGGTAAAAATCCCTGCACCAATTTATAGTGGAAAGGTCTATATAAAGGAAAACAATATTCAGGCAGCAGGAGACAATTCAAAATATTAAAAAAGTAAATATAATGCTTTAAGGCTTTCAGGCATTCTGTAGCTATTGCTTTTAAATAGGCTGTTTTCTCCTGTAGATCTACTTTTCCAATTTAACAAAATCCCTGCTGAGTCAACAAATGATTTAGTCTTCTTTCCTCTTTGTGTCTTTGTTTGAGGAAGTAACCTCTTTAAATGTGCATGTGCCAGCTTTTCACCTAAATGATCAATGAATTCATTTTAATTCAGTTAGAAACTCCTGGACTTTAATAGCTCCTGTGTTTCAGCAGCTTTTCTGCTCATGTTCAAAACTTCCTGCACATTTAGAACCTCTCCAACATATCTGTGTTCTCTGACATGTCCAGAAAAAAAAGTCGCAATATTACAAGACTATCATCTAGGGCTGTCCCCAACTAAGGATTTACATAGTCGAATCAGAATTGTCAAGTGTTGCCTATAGTAGAATCATGTACTGTGTTTGTGTGCAGCTACTGTGAGTGTTTTCTCTCTCTGTCTATCGCCTGTGATTCACTGGTCTTGTGCAGAGTGTAGCGTCAGCCCTACTATCATCATTTAATGGGAATTCACAATATTTTTAAGTCTACCTGCCCTATACTCTGCTGTGCATTATATTATTGCTCCGCTGGTTGTGGCTATCCCCTTTAGACCGTTTGACCGACAGAGCGTGGGAAATCTCGCCACAAATGCACACGTGTTAACGTCAGCACCTCAGATAAAGTGCAGCTAACAGTCCCAAACAGAGCAACGTTGCACCTCAGTTTTGAGATGTTTATATTGCAAAACCCTATCAGCTACGTTACCACTTGTTACAGCTGTCTGGGCTCACAGCGCGAGGTGCACTTGATTACTGTCACGGCTTAAGCAGGTGTCGCATAAGTTGGGAAAAATTGATTCACGCCAAGCCGAAAACTTTCTCTTGCGGCGCCCCGACATTTTGCACCCTAGGCAACCGCCTATGTTGCTTATGCCACGGGCCGGCCCTGAGCTAATGGGCTTGGGACTTTATTGACTGATTGATTGTATTTTCATTTTAGTCCTCTGACTGACCATTTTCTTTTTATCCAACGAAGGTTAAAGTCAAGGGCAACTGGACTTGGTTGAAGATACTGGAAGATGTTTCGTCCCTCATCCAAGGGACTTTTTCAGTTCAAGTCCAGTTGCCCTTGACTTTAACCTTCGTTGGATAACTATGACCTGGATGACTGAAAATCTTCACAGACATTTTCTTTTTAGTTCCTTTTTCTCTACATTTAGCAGTTTGGTCATTTCAGTGAGGAACACATTTTTTTCCGCTTCATCTCCTCTTTTCTTCTGGAAACAACTTTGCTAGTCCCACACACTTTCACATGTTGAAATGTTCTCCTTCTGGGCAAAGCAACAAATCCCACGGAAAGACCCAAACCAACAACAAGTTAGTTCGTCTGACTCAGCTACTTTATTTGTAGCACTCAGTCCCCAGCCCATTAGTTCCTACGGAAGACATACATTTTTAAAAACACCTCACAAGTAGGCTATATAGTTTCATGTTTAAAAAGATTCCCTAAAACAGCTACTCACTGTAGTTTTTATCAAGCAAATAGGAGGAAATGGTGCATCTAGTGAGTATTTGGGGCAGCAGGATGGTGTTTGTGGGACTGAGTCAGAATAAACTACAGTGTGTGTGTTCATGGTGATGAAGTAACATGTCACCCAGTGCAACAGTGAGGCTCACTGATGTGTTTTTGTACAGTGTTTGGACAACAATGGAGCTCTATGGCTCAGAGAGATATCAGTTGGTTTGGCTCTGCACGTGAGATAAGAAAATGACAGGCTTTATCCTTTAAAGCTAGAAGAACATTGACCTCATTCATTGTTGCATCTGAAACCCTACGAGCCAAAACAGTGAAAAGGATTTTTTATCAAATATCCTAATAACTTAATATTAATTTATGTATTGGGGTCTGCACTCAGTGTGAACAGTGTGTATATGGCCTGTGTCCTGCAGAAGATCCGGTGTTGCTGGATGAACAGTCAGCGACCTCCTTCCTGTCCCGCAAACTGCTCTTCAACAGCTGGGACTTTGAGCTGGTGACGCCTGGCAATCTGGAGAGGGAGTGCATAGAAGAGAAGTGTAGCTATGAGGAGGCCAGAGAGGTGTTTGAGGACGACGCTAAGACGGTAATGTCTCTAATGCTGTGCTCTCATATCCACCAGTTTTGGTCAGTTTAATCAAACAGATAGATAGAACAGTATGCTCTGTATTTGTATAGCGCCTTTCTAGTCTTTTCGACCACTCAAAGCGCTTTTTACATTACATCAGCATTCACCATTCACACACATTCATATACTGGCAGAACCCGCTAGGGGAAATTCGGGGTTCAGTATCTTGCCCAAGGACCCCTCCTACCTCCTGAGCTACAGCCGCCCCTCAACATTTATGTTAAACTTTGTGTGACAGTTGTGTGAACAGTGACGAGAATGCCTTGTAGTGTCATTATCCCTGCATTCTTGCATTTGCAGCTTTAGAGTGGCGAAAAACTGCAGGATACTCCATATAATTGAACTCCCAGTAAGTCTACCTGAACATACTTTAGAAAACATTTTTATTTTGCATTTGAAAAAAAGGACACATAGGAAACGTCCCCATAGCTTATTACACATGCTCTGTGGTGGCGGCTAGATGTTTCTTTTCTTCTGCTTCATTACATATTTTTTTGCTTCCATTTTTAGGAATCATTTTGGGCCAGTTATGTCAACAGTCAAGGTAATGCTTAAAAAGAGATATTTTCCATTATTGTAGTCTATGGGCAGAATGTAGTGTTTTCACATTAAAAATACACGCATAACAAAAAAATAATAATCATTGACATTATAATAATGTTACATAATGATTGTTGAAATCTTATTTATTCTATATGCCTGGTTAAAGATGCATGCCCTGATTTTGTTATAGTGCTTACAGCTCCAAATTCTGTAATGTTTAATTTGGTCATGCTAACATAAGCTAAAATATCATTTAGAATATTCTTTTAAAGTAGGCTTTTATCGTGAAATTCTTTGTGAACTTGTACTCAAAATACATTCTTATCATAGGAGGAAATCACGGGGGGGACGGGGGGGTCAAGTCCCCCCCTTTCTGATAATCAAAAGAAAACCAGTTAAATCCTCGGTAATGTTAAGTAAACTGGCAGAGCTGTTTTATGCACTTTAAACATTGGATGAACTGATTCTTGTCTTTAATCCAGGTGCTGCTGCAAATTTTATCTTTGCGACACTTTCCTCGCGAGTACATTCGCTGCAAGTGTTCACACACAACGCGAGAAGGCGATTAGAACTCGAGTTGGAAATTTTCTACTCACGCGAAGGCCTTCATGTTGTCAGCACCGCCCCCTTCGCAAACAGGCTGCACAGCACCGTGTGCTTACAGATAGTAACCTCATGTCACAGCCACACACACAGGCTAAAACACGTCTTAGAAGTTATTCACGAAAGTGAAGAAGACGCAACGTTATCTATTTACATCTGCAGAGAAACAAACAGAAAGTGACACTGTGGATATTGTAAAGCAGGGAGCAGGTAAAGCAACAGTGAACACAGCTGTTGGTGAGGATGTCATTCACACCACGGTGGTATCAGTTCACATACAAATTTATGCCCATGATTCTTATGCTGCAACTTTAGCTTAGAACTGCACAGAAACTTTAGCACTAGCTCAGGGTTCACAGGTGTCATATTCAGTTCAGTCATCTGTGCATTAATTAGTGACTGACTAGCTGACTGACTGGTCTGAGAACTGTCATAAGAAACAAAAGGTTTGATATTAATGATGTTTGTCTTTGAAGCAAATACACCCAGAGTGGATGTGGCAGGACTGGTGGCAGGGATCCTGGCTGTCGTAGTGTCTGCTATTTTTGCCATTGTGCTGGGAATCTACTGCTACAAATCCAAGAACAAGACTGGACAGAGGTCAGCACAGTAAGTTCACTCTGACATGGAACATTTGCAGCGAAATGTTTGCCCAGTTAACCTAGGGATGTGGAATAAATGATGACTGTGGTACATCAGGCCTTCCATCATGCCCTTAAGCTCTGACCAGAACACTTTAACGCTGCTGGCTGTGGAATGATATCTAACAGCTTCAGTGACCCCCTGACTTTTTGTGTATCAGAAGGTCATTTGACGACTGGCTTAAACTTGTTACAGTCTGTATAACAAGTTATACATGATACTCTGTCCTTCAGAGGAAAATTCTATGTTTTGCAGCAAAGGGTGTTATTCCTTGTGAGGTTAATTCATTCAAGTGAGTTATGATACAAAGGAAGCCCCAGTTTGGGCCTCTTGCATAATCACTTTTACATTTGATAAATTAGATGTGGTCATATTTTCAAAAACACAGCAACCTGATCTGAATGATAGCAGTATTCGGATAGCTCGCACAGTAAATGCTGGTCTGGTCAGTAATGGCTACTTCCGTTGGTCACATGAATCCTGATGTCTGACCCCATGAACCTTTTGAGGTACCGCCATCGATGAAAATGTCCACTTGCACACAACACAATCTATAAAAACAGGAAATCAAACATATTTATTATAAGATTTACAGAGCCCATTCATGTTTGCTTTAGCCTTGATTATCTCTGCAGTGACTTAATATCTTGTTGAATTCTTCTGAGATCATGTTCTGTATGTTGTCGTGTGTGCAGGTCCAGAGCTCCAGTGAGGATGGAAGCAGATGGGCTTCCAGCCCCAGAGATGGTGCCCCTGGCTGGGATAACCGTCCCAGGTCTGCCCTCCTACAATGATGCTCTAAACAGCAGTGGGCAGCACGATGCCCCGCCGCCTCCTTATTCAGGGTAAGTGGGCGTTCCAGTATGCACATGCTCCAGGCCTGTAGTGGTCCAAGGTCCAGCCAAAAGACGGATACAGACACGGACCTACATTTAATCAGGTCCAGCACTGTTAATCTGTGGGACCTAAGCAGGATAAGTTTGGTAGCCCTGCCTCACAGTGGATAGTTTGCAGTCATAACCCTTATGCAGTTTATTTGTTTGACCAGCAACAGGAGGGCCGTGTTTTTTTTACTGCTTATTAAATACACTAACTGAAACTGTCAAAGTCAAACTGACTGACATTTTACTTCTACTTTGTATAAAAAGAGGCAGCTCCAAACCTGCAGTATTAAAACATCGAATCTTGATGTAGCTGAATACAAAGAAGCTACTTTGATTTTATATATATATTTTACAGTATTATCTATACATCAAGATAATAATTTGGCACAGTATGAAAAACTACCTAGTGCAAAACAACTTCAGTACAAAACAAATCACTGCAGTACACAGTAAATGTAATTGGCCAATGGCCACGAAGGGAACACTGTGCAAATACTTGATTCGTTCAACATTCAATAAAACATCAAGGACCCCTGCAAACCAAGTCTACGGAAGCCCTAAACGGCCATCAATTCAAATAATTTTACTCCGTTTTCTGGTGATAACAGGATAACAGGATAATTATCTTTCTTAATGGTAATTTCAGTGAGGATTTTAGTGTCACTGGTTAGCTCAGTGGTGGAGCACAGGACTCATAGGTAAAGAGTTGTGTGTTTGATCCCACTGAAGACCATTTTATTTCATTTTGTTTTTCATAATCCTCTTCAACAAAGTTCTTATAAAGAGACTGTTTCACAAGCTCATAATAAAGCACTTGTGCATCCCAGTGATTGGTCCACATTCATCAACCTATGGACTTCATTTCCCCATCATTCCCAGGCAGAGGAAATTCCTGCATTTCTCATTCTGGGGAATCCATTTAACATTACACATTTCCTGATGGCTATTTCATAACTTTTGAAATAGCCGTCGGGAAATGTGTTATTAGATTCCCCTGAATCTCTTCATAACAACTTTGCTGAAGATGATAATAAAAAACACACAAAAGCAGAAAAAAAGTAATTGAGAGTGGGAGTCAAACACGCGAGTCCTGTGCTAAAGAAACACACCTGCTGACCCCTGTATTCAGCTATGATTTGTGATCTCGAGATCACAAAATAATATCCCGTTAACACCAGGTTAACATGGGAAAACGGAGTAAAAAAAATAATTAAATGGATGGCCGCTTAGGGCTTCCGTACAAGTCAGTCCTTACTTGGTCTGACAGCCATCACATCTGATGGCCACAGAGCAGGATCAGTTGGTGGAGCAGAGTTCCCACAAACAGAAGACGTCGGTTGGCATTCATCAGCAGTTACCTTTGGAGCTGTGGGGTAAAATCAGTTAGCTATTGTTTACACACAATTGAATTTCCCAACAGAGATAAAGACATAGTGGCAACAAACAGGAAACTTACCAACTGTTGCACTGGAACCTGTCATAGGGTACAAAGATGTGTCAGCTTGAGTGTGGTATGACAACGGATAATGGTAGGAAATAAAAACATTAACATTTGTTGTGATTAGTTACTTTATTAATTTAGAAGTCTATTATCTTAGCATTATCTTGATTATTATACTCATAGATTAGGTCAATTAGTTGTAAACAAAGACAAATGATTAATTTACCATTGGCAGCATATAGTTAACATAACAGCAATATTACCTGTTGTGGTAGAGTCCTCTTCAGCTGCTGTGTGGGACAATTCAAATAGTGGAACGTGCAGAGTAGATAAAACAAGATCTCACAAGGTACAAGAACACAACACAGTGCACTGTGATTTAGTTTAGTGTATTACTGTATTTGACAGGGACAGTGCATATTAATAACGTTTCTGAAAAAGATTTTTGTTTGTATTTGCTAGACTACATGTAGCTATGTAAGTGTACAGGTTGCACAAAAAAACAATTCTTACCAGTGCTTTCATCATCTCTTCCACCAACATCCTTCATTATTGCTCCTGCAGAAGATGGTGAATATTGTTTTTACAATTATTGTGAACAGAAAATAATGCTACATATAGGGCCTATATATATTATGTGCCTTCTTTTGCATTCCAAGTAAACATATCATATCTTCTTTTGAAGCCTCTTTCTAGGTATGAAAACACAGCCTGTCAGACCCTCATAGATCGTGCTGCCCTGCAAATACGCTCACAAAGATTTTTCCTCTCTTTGACCACAGGAGTGTGCCATCAGCGCCGGGTAATCCAGGAGAAAATGAATGAGAGGGCTGGCAGAGCCTCGTTATTATGGTTGATGGGCATCGGTGATTTGAGTGAACTTTTAAATGTTGCATGTTTTTTTGAGATACTGTATTTATGAGTGAAGTTATGACACAATCCCAGAACAGGACACTACTGCCAGTATGATCTGCATATTGGCTGGCCAGTAGTCTGTCCACAGTCTACAGATTTGATGTTTTAAAGTGGGTGCAGCTTAGGGTGGATAGCATTTTGTCTGTACACTCAACTGTGTTCCTCAAGAAAACCCAGATATGTTTATATAATAAATGACATAACAGTTACACATGCCTCCAGTCATTTTGTGATCCATCTACTGTAACTTGTCAATGCATGTGTAGGCTATCCACAACTCAGGAGGATGTCAGCCCTCATTCTTTACATGTTGCAACAGTTTAATAGAGAAATACAGCTGGCTACAGAAGCTGAGCTCTTTCACCAGACTCAATTCCACAATGCTACACCACACTGCGCTGCTGTGCATGACAAATTGTGTGTGTGTGTGTGTGTGTGTGTGAGAGAGAGAGAGAGAGAGAGACAGAGAGAGCGAGCGAGGGAGGGAAGGAGAGGATGAACGCCAGCCCAGTCATTGCTCTTAAAAATGGCGTCTTCTGAACAAAATGAGCGAAAATAGCTTTAGTGTGCTGTGAGGGAGCAGCAGCAGAGCAGCTGTCCGCGCTGGATCCACGTGAATGTAGCTTCGCTTCTTAAAGCTGCTAAAGAACGCGGAGCATCTGTTCTACGGCCCATCAGCTTAACACAGGAGACAATAGACAGTGAAATATATGGGGAGAGGAGAGGAGGGAGGAGGTGCTCCTGGCTGCTGTGACCCCCTCCCCTCCTCCTCCTCCTCTCGCTCCTTCGCCTCCCTCCATTCCTCCCAGTCTACGGGCTCGCCAAGCAGAGAAATAAACAGAAGCGAGCGCAGAGAAGAGAAGACATTCCTCCCTCCCCTCCCCCTCGCTATCTGTCCATCTTCATCCAGCCCTTTCTTTCATGGAGAGGAATTATCCCGCTGCAGGCTTCGGAGATCTAGGGGCTGGGACGGGATGGAGTTACGACAGATCGGCCAAAGCAAGGTAAGCTTAGGTGGGCAAAGCATGGGCACCCATATGATCTTAACTGGCTGTAACAATGCCGTGGGCACACAGCGCAGCCTGCGCCTCTGCATTCAGCCAGGCTGCACGGTGCTGCTACACGGCCACCGTCTCAGGTACAGCCAGCCGTATTGTCATTCGGGGGAGGGGAGGGGTATGGGGGCTGTCTCCAAAATGCATGGAATGCGATGGAAGGTTAATAGTGATACGGAGACAGAGGAGAGGGGAGGAACGAAGGGGGATGGGTTGCTGGGAGCCGAGTGTGTTATTAAAAAAATGAAGGATCACATCCAGGTTCCAGCACTGCATTGTCTCCGCTGCAGCTTTGTGTTGAGACTGACTTCACAAATGCATGACAGGGGCATTGGCAGGCTGGCTGGTACAACAGCCTACTAATTGGCTATAGCCTACAAATCAAAGCAGTGCGATGCACAGAGCTGCTGCCTGCCAACCCTGCACTCCAGGAAATAAATAAAGCGCTTGCTAATGGAATAATGTGCCAGATACAGACTAATGTCTTTCATGTATGAAGTTTATATGAAGGCCTTCATTCAAAGATGGTCAAACTGAAACAAAACTGTTACCGTAGCTAATTACGGCAAGAGCAGCTGCTTGAATGTATTCACAGAAACGTGTGAAATATGGCTGATACTGTGAATGAACTTGTTGGCTCTCGCGCCAAAGGTGACATTCTCCCTTATTAGTAAACAGCGATTTACAATAATGTCACGTGACCGACAAACGTGCCCTGACTGTCACCCAATTAGACGTCAGCTAATTCCAAGTTCAGGTTTGTAACGCTGACACATTGCTGTGTTGTTAACACCAGGCTACATGGACACGGATCCAGCCTGTGACAGTGAACGCATGTGTGCGGCACACAGCAGCTGCAGCCGCTTCCCTCGGACTCCCATCAAACAGGCAGCGCTCTCTGAGAGGCTGCGTTGCTTTACAGCTACCGTTAGCCAAGCAGGCTAGCTGTCCACTGAGACGGGTTAACGCTGTGTTGAATGCTAGCGAGGTAAAATGCTGTGTCCGTCTCGCTTGGCGTGTATAAGCTGCCACAGTAAGTACATGATAGATGAAGTGGGGCTTCCTCACACGTCAGCGTTGTGTGTTGGAATGAAGTGCGGCCTCGGGCCATGCTAAAGTTAGCTAGCTCCTGTTAGCTTTGCTTCACGTTAGCGGTCGCCTTGACAACCACATCAGTCATCCGTCTGACTCCACGGGCTCCTCAATGCGCTGCTGTGGCAGACTGCTTTTATTTATTGCATTGTTCAAACATGAGGAAATAAAATAGAGTAAATGAAATAAAGTTAAATATGTGGATGAAGACAGAGTTCCGTGAGGCTTTTCTTTACAGGCTGCTACAAACAGAATGAATGTACAGCAGTCTCTCTTTTTATATTTGCATCAAGCTCTGGTACAAGGTGAGGTCTCACTGGTAGCCCACATAGTTACTTCAGCCAGCTCAGGCTGCAATAAACTACACTTCATCGATGGCAACCTGAGCCGGTCACCAGCTGAATCTACTGCAACACTTTCTTTTCATTAGCTAGTCATCTTCCTTGATTCATTGACAAAATGTATACAAAAGATTCCAATTATATTACCCATATTGATGTAATTTCCAAGTTGCTTGTCTGAGCAACAACCACCGTAAAAACAAAGGTATTTCATTAACATTTAGAGAGAAAGAAAAAGAAAATCCCTGGATGTATCAATTTGTAGCAGGTGCTTTGAATTTTTATGGGACCATTATGAGAACTGTCAGTGGTGTTGTCTGTTGCTGGACTGTAGCCTACATGCCAATCTGTACTAACTGTTTTAGTGTACAGAAGTTCATTTTAAGCTTTAGAAGATTTTATTTTTACAGTTGGAGTTCATGTGTTCATCAGCCTTCATGTGCAGCTGAAGAGGCATAGGGTAACACTAACTCTAGAGGTAAAGAAGTTGACATACATTGCCTATAGCAGGAAATAAATGGATGCAACAGGCAGTATATTCCTAGTGGTAAAATAGAACTGGTGACTATGGAAACAGAGTGAGAGGTATTTGAGGAAAACCTTTGAAGATGAATATGTGAATAGTCTTAAGCAAACAAAATGAGTTGGCGACTAAGAAAAACCTTAACTGGTGTAGGAGAGAACAAATTATTTCCCTGCTTAGTTTTAGTTTCACAGTGAGTGTATCTGGACTGAAAATTTTTTTTTCTTTTGTTTTGAATGTCTTACCTCAGATTTGTGAAGTGATCCACTGTTTGGCATCAAGTGTTTGTTCTGACCATAAAGAAAAGTTTAAAACCACAATTAACCATCTAGTTTCTTCAACTTTCACTCAGGATCAAAAATCAGCCTTTAAACTTGAAAGAACTAATGATTTGAAATTCATCCTGACAATTTGCGACATTGAATGATATGATATTTCTTTTTCAGTATATCATTTTCGGCCATATCGCCCAGCCCTTGCACATACAATTGTAGTAAACTCTTTAAGTAAAGTTACATTTTAAAAGTAAAAAACATAAAAGAAAGAGCATGTACGTGGACAAGTTGCTACATGCACTTCATTTACAGAGAGGAGCCTTTAATGGAGCTAGGCCAGCAGGTACATCAGATTACTATAAAAAAACCCCACAGCTGATCATAAGTGATTAGGCATTTGATACATGTTTGTGCAGTGGATATACAACATTACTGGTATTTCATATTACACACAAACATAATGCAAAATATATCTGCAATCCTGGTTTATTTCTGTAACGTGCAGTCCACAAAAGCACTGCCTTGTTGTTTTGTTGTGGAATGTTGGTTTACAGTATTCAAAACACTATATTATATTGTAAAGCTGTTGCTCCTTTTACGTTGTTGAGGTCATTGTGTTAGTGTATTTATGCTGGGAGACAGATGTTCTCACGGTTGATGCTGAACTATGTATGAAGTGTTTTGGTTGTGGTTAGGACGTGCGATGAACTGCTGTGCTGAGCTGCATGTTGGTGAAAAGGTGGCATTTAGATCACAAATTATTAAGTACATACAGCATCTGCTTTGAGAACTGAAGTTGCCGTTTGCCTGCTTCCTTTCCACATTTCAGATTTCAGAATCTGATTTGGGGAAAAAAAACGTGTTCACACGCAACTGAACGCTGCTCCGTGAAGGCTGTGCTTGTGTGTGGATCTGTTTGCTTCTTTATCTCCCAACAATGCAGGCTCTAGCCTAGGTGTGGTGCATTGGGCAGGAAAGTGATAAAAAGTAAAGGTTGCATTTGGTTAGTCACGTTGGGGTGCGTTTACATATGCACAATAATGGCTCTTCTGTCAAGAATATAGGCGGGGAAGTTCACACTTTATAGACAATCAATTGCCACCAAATTAGCTTGAATCCAGTTGCATAGAAAAGCAGAACAGGACAGAAGAAGCTGCTGGCCTCTTCCCTTTCTCAGCCAGGTATTAGCCAGTATAGCACACTGAAATTTATACAATGACAGCATTTATCTAAATATGAACATTTTTCTCTCAAATGAAAAGATACGACCATTTCGATTTTCCTCTGAAATAGCAAACAGACATTTTCATAACAACAGTAATGTTTACACTTACAATCTGAGTCCTAAAACAACACAAATACCCACTTCTGTACACTGTAATGTCCTTCAGTAAACCTCCATGGACCATCTTCTGCCGACTGGCTAGCCAAAATCTATATTCAGTAAATGCCAAGTGCTCCTTCAAAAGAGACTCATTCCTGTTTCCTCTCCGTCGCCATATTTAATTTTTTTCTCAATGTTCTGTGTATGTCTACCACTAGCAGTATGTCTCTAGTGGACAGTGCACCCATGTGTGTCCGCCATTGGTCACTTATAGTTGTAGACCCTTGATAAACATGTCTTGATGACACATACAGTGTTTCTTTACCAGTCTGCTGAATGGCTATCTTCTTTCTCCTCTGATGCCTTGCATTCCAAAAACCAATTTTGGTCTCCTCCATGTGTTGCTGTATCGCCTTAACCATACTGTTCATAAAAAACTACGCACAAACACACATTCACCAGCGACACCATCATCCCTGAAAAATGTTTTTAGGTCTTGCCATTCACATATGGGGGGGGGGGCTAGCACCTGACAAGTTAAATGAGAGGTTGGCCCATTTAAAAAGAAACCGCCTACTAATGGGAATATCATGAAATAT